GAATTAATTATTTATTGAGATGGATTTTTCACACTATATTTTAGTATTCAATATAGACATCTCCAATGCAATTGTACAAAATATCATTAAATTACTAGTTTAGATAAATTTAGTAATTCACTAGAATCCAATTATGCTTTTTCTCTAAAACCAATACTCATAAATTGCAACGATTAGTTAATACAAATTAAAAATTCATATATAATATACATAAACACAAATTATTATTATATTATGTAAATAATAATTATAGATTATCTCAATATTTTATAAACACAATTTGATTCAATACAAATGAAATACTAAATATTACAAATAAAATATGATATTGAATGGTTCAGTAAAAATAAATATAGTGTTTTTGTACTAATAATATTTACTATTGATTTTAACTGCTTAATTTAATATTTAATTTTAAGCGATATAATTATTCTTTTTCCTCTTTATTTCGCTAAAACTATCTATGTTTTTTTTTTTTACATTTTGTAGTATGATAGCGTATGACGGTTTAAGTTTAATAATATAATAATATCCATAGCTGCGATTTAAGGACACCGATGCAATTTTATGGAAACCATAGTCGTTGAATTATTATATTATTATATAAAACATAGGGCCGGGCTGAACAGACAGAAAACCGAAAATTTCTCGAGGGGCCGAATTTATTTTTAGGTTTATCGGTTTAGGCTCATTGTGTTGACAGACATAGACGCATTTTAAAATTAGAAATTGTCTAAAATTAATTAAACGGTCTTTTCATTTTTAATAATAATATTAAATGTTCAAATTCTCAAAATAATATACAATAATTTTATACAAAAAAATACGTTTTTTTTTAGGATTGTTTTTATACCTTGGGTATATCTATGTGGGCCGTTTTTTTTAATTTCCCAGTAGAAATTTCCGACCCAGTCCGACACCGATAAAATATACTATATTTAAGTTAAAATTAATTTAAAAATGGATATATTATTTTTAAAATTAACTGATATCAATTAAAGAATAAAAATGTAGCGCCTTTATCGCGTAGCATAATGTTAATCACAGAAAATATGGATATACGATATTAACAATATCTCACCACAGCGATCATAATATTAATATGTTTCTCCGGTTAGCATCGAAACTTTCCATGTTCAAACGCGAGTACAGTGGGAATTTAAAAACGTTTCGATGGGCATCACGCAGTACGAAGTGTGCATACGCTGTGAGTTCGTCTTCGCATGTCTAAAATTATTCAGGCGAAATAAACACTAAAATAGTATGCCAACAACGGGTATAACGGCGCTGGAAAGCAACTCCAAGTACATACCGTGATAAGACACGCGTGTTTGGCGTTTGGCACACCAAAAAAAGCGCCTATAAGTCACCGGTTCATATGATACTTACTATACTACTTGCACTTCTTGGCGTTTGTAAGAAATCAAAACAAAATAGCGAACGTTAGTAGTAGCGCGTCGCAATTAAATAGAAAAAATAATACATTTCTATATTTTATACATATATGTATATAGAAATTTTAAGTTATAACCAATAAGTGGTCACGTGGTGTGATGTTATGGGAAACTAGTTTTTTACGGATAAAAACAACACGTTTATGGCGGGAGTGAGTCGTGTGTGCGTACCAAAACGCATACGATCGCGGTCGAGAATCGCGTTCGGCGACGTCCCACGTGCGACCATCGGCTTGCCCCTACCTCGTGCACACATCCTCGTGGCCGCACACGATATTCTTATGTAGGCCATGCAAGTGCGTGCCGCCGCCGTCGTGTATACACACACGAACACAAACATACGTGTACATACTTACAACACTCAACGGCGGCCCAGGCATTAACCTACATGCTGTGCGCGTGTGTGTGTGTGTATACGTCATGTGCACGTGTCCGTGTGAGAGTGCGTACACGTTTTGTGTGCGCGTGTCCACGTCGGTGTGATTTTCTGTGCATCTGTGTGTGTGTAACGACGGACACAATATAATATAATCCTGAGCCACCAATCAAGGTCAGCAGGACTCTGACGCCCTCGCCGCCGCACCTCCTCCGCGGAGTATCGCGTGCACCACACGTACGACGAGTGGCAGCGTGCAATGGCCTGCGTGACCTTTGTCGGGTTGCAGCCAGCAGCTTCGGAGAGAAAGAGAGAGAAAGATCATTAAACCAATGGGTCAACGACGGTGATGGACGCGGGGGGTCACGGAACATTATTCCAACCGATGCCCTCTCTCTGTCAACAAACTACTGCTGAACAACAAAAATGGTCGCCCCCCTCCCCCCTTCCCAAATATGTATTACCAGTAGTGGAGGAAGCATTTTTTTTTTTTTTTAAATAAAAATATATAATTTATATATTATAATTTGGGTACATGTTGCAGTGTACCACAATATTGTTCTCAGGTATCTACGGGTGTTTGTTGGTTAGCCATCGCCGCCGTTGTGGGAACGATGGGAATTATAATGTTGGGCGCACGGAAACGCGAAGACCGGAAAACGATGCTTATGCCACAGCAGTCTATATAGTTTATATACATCAAGCCGTGTAAACCAGCTGTTGCTCGGGTGGGTTCCACACGGAGTGCGAAATTTTAAGACGATTGCCAGATTGTTGTAGCAACCGGTCTTCTACACATTATACTAACATCTAGGCCAAATCGAAACTGACCGCGGTTAACTCGGTCCGGTATACATATGCGTATTTACGCATATTATTATCTCGTTGGTAATTCGCATTAACCACCGTCGACACAGTACGTAAATAATTAACTTATGATCACAATCGATATTAAAAATTTATTGAAAAAAAATTTTTTTAAAAACACCAATATATTTTTAAATAAAATTTTCAACTAACAGAGTACACTTGTGCGGATAACTGAAATTCGAAAACACGACGCATTTCATGTTCGGCAAAGGCAAGTGTATATTTATACAAAAATAGTCTTGATCAATTTCACGGATCAACTATATATGTATACGTGTTGTACTGTCGATGGTCAATTATAATACAAGTCAATGGCTTTTCCCACAGTATATAATATATTATGTTAACCGTTTACCATTTCCCACTGCAATGTGTGTATAAACGCGTATTGATATTCCGTGACTATGGTCAGTATATACGGTAATTGAAAAATAATATACTATATTATGAACAACTTTTGCACGTGATTGTTCATATTTTGCAAAATCATTATTATAATTATTGTTATTATTATTATTTTCATAAACAGTAGGTGTTCAATGAATAAATATTACTTTGCAATCCCCACGGTTACAATTATATTTCATCTCTTAAACGTTGTGTATCGAACAAATACCTTCATGTCTTAAACTTAGTGAGAAAAAATTTATTGAATCTTTTGTAGGATTAATAATTTCTCTGTACACTCTTACACGGTACACACTCATTTATTCTGACTTGTTGCAGTTTTTTGGGCACACGCACACATTGACGCACATAGCTAATATACTTTTATGAATATGTGCAATGTACTAATTATTGCCAAATTTGTAGTACTAAAATTTAAACTAATGACAAACTTTTTATCGTAACGCATGAGATTGCAAAATTTAAATTCCTTACCCGGAATCCAATGCACGGGAACAAAAAAAAACATTAAAACAGTAACACTTACACATTCATCAAAATATAATATGCAATAAGCGCCCACAGAAACGTTTCGAGTAAAGAGGCAACTTGAAAACTAAAACCGTGATTTTTTTTTAGTTATAACTAATACTTATCCTCCATGATAATGTTTTATATTCCAAGTGGGTTTCTCGTTTGAAACAATTTCGTTAATAATTTTTTGATTTTTTTAATTTTACTTTATATTTCTTAGCAAAAATAAAAACTCAAACATAATTAATTTAGATCTGAAATTATTACAAATTGACATTTTCTAAGAGTCAAATATCCTTTAGTCAAATATCTTTGAACTCTTACCTTATTTGCAGCCATACATTAATATTTTATAATATGTATTTATATATATATATATAAATACACCGTTGCAAATGTCGAGCATACATAGTTGAATCACGACAATAATGGTAATAATTAATTATTGATTATGTTATAAATAGACAGATTACTGGCTTTTAATGGTGAATATCAAATAATCCAACCTAACTGATCAAATTAAATCTTCTTTAATAATTCTTCTAAAAATATATCGAACTTTGATTTTTCAACAAAAATATAAACAATTTTAATTACGTCAAATTTTATTTAAAATAACGATATGCTATGTTTTTTTAAATTTAATTCTAGGTCTTTAATTTATAAAAACTATAAGCTTATAATTTGTAATCGTTATTATTGATTATGACGAGTCTAATCGATTATGTAAAGGTATATTAGTTATAACTGAATACCTATAATAGACGTGCAAATATAATTAAATGTATGCATATTTAATTGAATCTTTAACTTACTTTTAAATCCAAAGTTATTACATTTTAAGCATGTGACGCACATCATTTATAATTAGATATTCTATTAAAAAAATAGAATTTGATATTTAAAATCTGGGACGAAAATTGTATCGGTTTCAACGACCAATTCGACAAAACATATATGAGGACCCTTGATGAGTTGGCTTATTCGCAGAAGAAAATCTGTATTCTTCCCGCGCGACAACCGTGACAAAAAAAAAACGAAAAAACCTATAAAAGAATACATCATGGTGTGAAAAACTACGACAAAGCAATAGTCTTGTTTTCTCTTTCATGCAGCATCCCGGCTGAGTTTTCATGCTCTACTTACCTGGCGCATTCACGAGACAATGCTCACACTATGGACGACTGTTCTACAATATTTCCCTAGAATTCAACACTACACGTTCGTAATTTCCCTTGCATTTTATTAGTGACAGAATAATAATTACAAATATATATTTATATATTAAAAAAATTCCAACAATAATAGATATCATTAAAAAAATTATCTTCATCAAAATTATAAACATTTTTATATCAAGATTCATAATCTCTTTGATTAACAATAACAATAATATAAATTAAAATTAAGTACGGTATATAATAATAATATTTTTGTATCACTTTAATTGGAATGTCTTGATTGGTATTAAGGTAAAATTGTAATAAATATTTTGTTCTGTTTTATAGTCTTAGAATTAAGCACCAAGTCTTAGTACGTCTGCGCGTATATGTATAATGGATGGAACACTTCGGAAGTTACAGCGGCTTTTAGTTATAATATTTAGAAACCTCGTCCACCAGCTTATCGATATTTATTTCGTTGATCTCCACAAATTTTTTATTCTGTCTGCTAAAATAATATATATCACCCGTGTAAATATCGAACCAAAGAGCGTGTATATGCAGATCATATGCCTCTAGACGCTTCCTAAGAAAACCATAGCTGGCAATATTTTGTAGTTGCTGCAGAGTATTAACCTATAACACAATTATTTTATATTATTGTAACTTTTATATAAATGTTATTGAATTATTTCAATAGACCAATGAAAATAAAATATTATTTTTAAAAAATTGATTAGAAAAAACATATATTTACATATGTAATAACTATATAACCAGAACACCATGAATTTAATAATACATATCAAAACAAAATTGTGTTTTAAATGCATTTTAGATATTATAGTTTATAGGGTATGAGGGATTTGATAATTTATTTGAAATTAATTTGTTGATTAAAAATTTATAAATATTAGATAGTAGATAGTTGATAAAAATATTGTACTACACGAATGATTTATACAAGGAAAGTAGTTAGCATTTCTATAGAATTATGTTTGAAGAAAACTTAGACGAAGTTTCAAATCTTATTTTACAAAATAATTATATACAATATAAATATTTTGGGTTTTTTATAACACAATATTTACAACATTAAATCATACGTTTTAATTGAATGAATTAGATAGCTAATCGATAAATTAAAAACAATCCTAAAATAAATGTATTTTTAAATAAAGCAGTGATGTGTCAATACAGCTTGTGTATACATACGTACCTGCGACAATTTATCTGTTACGTTGAATTTGTTTTCTGGATCAATGTAAGCAATAATCTTGCGTAAGGGTGTCTCGGCCTGAAAAACGAGTGGTGTGTCAAAGCCGGCTGCTTCCAGTTGTTGATACTTATCTAAAGATGATATGGCGTGTGTGCAAAGCCATGATCGGAGCGGCGACAGCCGGCGGTTATCGATGCTAGCAAATTCCGTATCCCTGAGCAGGTGCAACAAGTTCATTGCCTGAGAAATAAATGAATACGTGAATTCATTTTGAATAATAAAAACAATGACACACGGAAAAACTTAATATTTTCCGAAAAAAAAATATATATTATGGTTATAAATTGATAAAACTTTCAATCACCTGTATTAGTGATAATAATGATTAAGATTTAATTATTAAAAACGTTGTATAAACGTTTTTTTTTTTTTTAATTGCAATTTAATTTCTATAGATTACATAAATTCTACATAAAATAAGCGTAAAAACACGATGAGTAAGAACACTAATTTTGCAAAGATTGATTCAAAAATCAATGTTCAATATGGATTTCCATGTAGGTCGATTTTTATCAATAAATAAAATAAAGTTACTATGTATATTGTGCAAATAAAAGACACATCCTAATAGTTACACATAGCCGACGTTAGCAGTCACAATTCGACAAACACCATCAAATAAGGGTTTTATAAGGTACCAATAGTAAATATTGTAAACCCATAAAGGGGTACGGATCAAAACATGATTTAAAAATATGAATTTTGTACTAACACGCTCTTTCAAGACTAATTTTATTTTGCAATGCGTAGTATTGGTAAAATGTTTACATCTAAAATCCAAAACATTGTATATTTTCTTTTTGCTAAATCTTAAAATCAATAGATAAAATCATATGAACACAAAATGGATAAATAATTTATATATAATTAACATGCATTTTAAATATATAATATTTATGAATATAGTTCTGCGAAGAAAATCAATTATTAGCAAATAACGAAACATACATAGAATACGGTGCATATAAGTAATGCATTAATCTTTAGGCGATTCGATAGTATATTATATTATTATTATATATTACCTTGCAGTCTGAATGTCCGCAAACTATAACATGTCTTATATCGTTATGTACACATCCAAGTTCTAAGGCAGCTGGTTCGCATGTAGTGTATTCGTCAAGAAAATGTTGCGAGTGTGGAATCAAGTTTCCAGCGTTTCTTACTAAAAAAATTTATCATATATTATATATATATTTTATTTATTTATCATAAACTTTCGAAATCTCATTTTAAAAATTAATACATATTTTTCTACGCTACAATAAAGTATAAAATTTAACAACAATTAATACCAGTGAAAAATATATTCGTCGTAAGCAATATCGCACAACAATATTGCAGTACAAGTTAATCACAGGATACAATATTATTTTTAGACTTATTAAAATATACCTCTGTTGATGAATAAATAAATATTGTATTAAAAATACAAAGATAAAAAAATTATAATATATACTGCCCCGGATTTGTCAAATGTATACTAACCAATAAACATGTCGCCAACATTGGTTTCAGTAAATCTAGCTGGTAACATTCGGCTATCCATACAAGTGAAAAACAAAGCTTTGGGCTGAAACACAATTAAACCAATAATTGTCAGATAATTTGCTAATTCATAGTTATTACTTATTATCTTTTCAATCACCAAATTTATAATAATTGTCATAATAACTACTTAAAAGTTTCTATTAAACATTACAATTTTTCTAAAGGGTGCATCAATTCACTTATGCACTATTTTGAATTAACAAAAGGCAAAACGTAAAAAAAAAAATAATCAATTAGATTTTGATGGATGGCTAAGACTTGTCATAATATTTCAATGTTCATAATTTAGTAATCTATCGATTTAATATCATATAAGTGTTGCTAATGTACTATCAGAAAAAATACCGTAACATTACAAACCAAAACGCATTCTTGTTTAAAGGGATTGCAAACCACGATTTTTTTTCTCATTTTATCACATGCACAATATAGGGATTTAGACGTTTTCTATTTCCAACCGATCGACCTATTGAGGCAATAAGGATTTTGAAAACTGATTTAAATTCGTCGTAAAGTTTTTAGATCGATTTTCTCACATTTTTCAAATTTTGTTCTTAACATAGATACCTAAAAATTAATTTTTATGTTTCCAATTTGATTAATCCTATTTTGTGAAATTTTGGGAGACAAAATTAAAAAAGTAGGGAAGTTGATTTTGAGCAGACTTTACTACAAATTTAAACTATAAAAAAATTAGTTTTCAAAATCCTTATTACATGAATACGGTACGTTGGTAATAGAAAACGTCTAAATTCCCATACTGTGCATGTGATAGAAAGGAAAATAAATCATGACTTGCAATCCCCTAACACTTTATACATGTACGAATTTGCTTACAAAAAATACAATTTTTAATGAATGTTATGATATATTTATAATTTTTTATGCATGATACTACATTTTGAAGTATCAAATTAATTTTAGTTGAAATTTAATTTAATTTAACTTAAGTAATTTTTAGAAGATAAATGTTTGCGATATATACTGACACAATACATTGAATGTATCAATATAGATTTCAAATTACCACTTATTAAATTAACCAAGTATAATAAAAATTAAATAATCAGTTTTTGATTTTTAGTATAATGTTAAGATTACAAGAAATTTAAATGATTATAAAATAGTGTACACATAATATACGCGTTATAAGTTGCATCATTACTGAATGATTATTAAACGTAATATAATTAACAGTCATACATTAACACTTAATTTAAGTTAATCAAAAAGACAAAAATAAAATAACACCATGTCATATATCTAAATGCTTTTTAATAGTATTTTAACAATTACAAATTAAAATATGAATTTTATTTAAAAAATAAAATGAGTTTATGAAAATAGAAATAATTAATTACAAGTTTCATTTTACATTAAAATTAAAAATAATCTGTAAGGAATATTTCGAGTCATTGTTCTATTTTGTTCTTTACTAATGCAAAATTTCACTTGTACTCCGTCTATTTGTACAGTGTGCTATATCATGGTAAAATTGATGCATAAACGTAGGTATAATTATTTGGCACAGTTTTCACTTATTTATAATACCACGTAGATTTTGCGAAAAAAATATTTATGATGATTTTATAATCTATACTCTTAACAAGCATAATACAACTAATAATGTTACAAATAAAATCACAACAACTTAACATAAGAAATAAACGTTAAAAGTATTTTAGATTTCATGTGAATCTAAATATTAATCTCAGTAATATATATAAATATTCAATAAAAGTAATGTAATAATTTAATGTCCAGTTAGCGTGTTAAATTAGAACTAAGTAATCTACAATTCTAAATTATAATACACAATTGATACCATTTTCTGAGTAATGTTACTTATTTTTATTCCCTTCTCATTTTCTAAATTCTTCATGATGATTATTTAACAAATATATCATATTTTTAATTGTTTCTGAGCCCTCAATACAGAATAGATTAAATCAGAATGGAAACTGATAAAAAAAATACACAGCGCTTATGGTCACCCAAAAATATGGTCCACAACATTGAAAGGGCTCATCAGTGTAGACTTAAAATTGAATATGAAATATTTTAAATACAATAAATACACTGGTATACAATATTTTTTTGGTACTAAACTTAATGTTAGCTTTTTTTGAAGAATGTAAATATACATATATAATACATATTTACCTAATTATATTAAACAATATATTATATTAGAACCTTAGTAGAACTGTTAAAAATCAATAGAAAATGTAATTGTTTATTAAAATAAAAATAATTACATAAAAATAATAAAATAATTATTATTTTGAGACTATAATAATAGTTTAAAACAGTACATATTGTCTTTTATTGCACAGGGGCCCATAAACTCATGAAATCGAAAAAATTAAAAAAAAACCCTTATAGAATATCAATAAAGTTATTATTGAATCAATTTTTATTGGGTTTCTTGAAAAATTAAATTGATTTTTATATGGTTTCTTATATTTTTCATTGTTGTTTGTGACAAATTGTCAGATTCAATTAATTATCTCATTCACTATAAGTATATAAATGCTAGAAACATTGAACATCGCTACTGTTCCGAATAATTATGTTCAATGATTAGTTCTTGTATGACAAGATTTTTAAAAATAAATTACCTACATTTATATAATATTATACATAAATTAGTAAATATATTTTTATTTTAAATCATACACGGATATTAAAATATATCAAAACTAATATTAATATAAAAACAATATAATCATTAACTATGATTTATATCACAGTAAATTATCTTTAAAACTCAAGGTAATTATAAAATAGTAATTGAATTATAAATAACTGTAACCATATTTTAAATAAGTATTATGATTTCAAATATAATATCCAATAATAACATTATTTGAATAAAACACAATTAGTTAAGTACCACGTCATTATCTAATAACCATTCAGCCAATTGTAAATTATATACACGATTATACTAAATGACTACCTATCATTAAGAAAATCAGGATAATCACTTTTTTAAATTTATTAATTCCAAGACACATTGATCAAATAAAATACAGATTATGAACGAAATGTAAAAGACACTATGTGTAAACATTAATATTTATGTTTTTATACGGTATATTTTATGCACCATTAATTATTGTTAATTATTTTTCCTTAAATAAAATAATGAGTGATACACGTTCATTACGAGATTAGTGGTACTATAATGGTAATTGCTTCGACGATTGAAAACACATTGTTAAAAGTGATCTGGTAAATATTTATTACTTTAAAAACACTCTTTAAACAATTAACCATTCGAAAGCAGCTAATCAGCATTGCCCTTAAAATCTGATGCCCACGAATTTGTACGTCATGGACTACAATCGTTACCATAGAATATTATTTAATTCAACTAATACACAAACGAAATAGTTGGTTGGTTCTGTAATGAGGAAACGAGGTTAATTTAATAACCCTTTTATTCAATGAGTCATTATAATATGTATTGGTCACTTAAAGAAAGCCTGATTTGAAAATAACGTCCAGAGACTAATCGTATTTTAAATAATCTGGCGCTGCTTAAAATAGCCGCATAGTCGATAAAAACTTATATAATAGATACTTAATATCAATTTATTTTTTAACGAAATGTTATTAGTTTAAAATTATTAAAAAATGCTAAAATATTTTAAGAAATTAATAAAATTCGAATGTAGATTTCATGGTCTATTTAATTGTTGTCAAAAAGTACAAACAAACTCATTGCTGCGCATCGAAATAATTTCACAACAACTTATTAAATACACACATAATATACTAATTTTTCATTTGTAATTTCACTTGGATTACTTTGATCGGAGGAAGAAGCAACAAAAATTGCTATATTTCCTTGCTTATCAAACGGGCATGAATTAAAATAAAGTGTCGGTATCTGCGGACACCAGTACAGTATACAACATGAAATCCGTGACTCATTTGTAATTATCACCATAACAATTGTGTATTTTTCTAGTACTAGGCAGACTGGGTTGTATACGTAATGAAACACATGCGAATAAAATTTAAATTATGTACATGTATAATACATAGGAAACTTTGGAGCTACCATGGTAAACCAATCTACGATAATATAGTTCTATACATATTGCGAATCCAATTTAATTAATTAAAATTAACTAAGACAGGACTCGGATTTTAAAGCGATTCTTTTTTTAATTTTGCTTTTATGCTACGAAAATAGCAATTTCCAGAAAAAACATTCGTTTCGCTTAATTTAATTTTTATTTAAGAATATTTTTATTTTTACTTTTTTCACTCGTGAGGCTATTAATTATTTTCTTCATTCTTTATGTTATACGACATTTTTGTTGTAATGCAGCTGTCACTTGTAGACAGGTGTTTAAAAGCTATTAATATTTATATTATTACGGAATTTATCAAGTATGTAAGTCTTTCAGTATTGAAGATTCGATTTTCAAACAGCAATGTTTTCGTTTTGAACTCGAGATCGAAATCCGAATACCAAATAGGTTTTGTCGATGGGTTTTTGTGCTAGCAATAATGTTGCCGGAGCCAAAACCGAATGAGTAATTAGTTTTTAATTACCATTTCCGAGACTCAATGTTATTTCTAATCCCGGACAACAGACTAGAAGCGCAGAAGACAGCACCATAACAGTGTAATAATAATAATTATTATTATTGTTCCGTGGTACCGCGGAGTAAATATTTTCAAAAAAATAAACATATTAACCGCGGTTTGCGCGGTGTTGCAATGATGGTCGTGACCCTGAGAGCCTGGCAACACTGCGGCGGTGGGACGACTGACAAGATCCGCTTGCGAGAAAACGATAAGGATCAAATAATACGTCTGTTGATGATAATGAACGACCGTTGATAAGCGACTCGGCGCACATTCGTCCGTGCCGAGAAGCTTACTACCTTGAAGCTCAGCTGACACCGTCGAAAACAGGTAATTAACATAAGAACTGTTCACTGTTCATTCGCGCGCTAAAACGGAACCCTGCTCAGGGGATCTTACACGGACCCACTTACCTCCGGATGGTTCTTCACCTGGACGAACTGCTGGACCATTTTCGCCCGGTTCGTCCGCCTGTACTTCATTATGCCCCGGAAAATGCGGTCCATGGCTGGCGTCCGCCACGGGTGGTGGTCGGCGCGCGGCCGGCGCTCACTGTCCTTCGGGTCCCTCAACTCCGTCCCCTGCGATCGTTTACGGCGCACATGCTCGCGGCCCACTGCCACCGAACGATTAAATAAACGTTGCCGACGACGCGCGTGCAGTCGACCTTAAAGCGCGCAGCCCAAGGGCGTCCGCACCGCCGTCTCCGCCCCGGATTGATTAGGCGCGCACGCGTCCGTGCGCCACGCGTTTCCGCGTGCACGGAACCACAGTCGATTCGACTCGACCCGGCACTTGTACGGCGTTGGAGTCCGTACGCGCGTTGGATTTCCAAGACGCCGCACGTGTCCGTCGGACACCTGTTGTGTCACGATTTCGACTTGTCACCGGCGCCCACGCACCATCGTTTCGCCGACGACTCATTGTCTTTTCCCCTTGTCGCAACGCTGAAAATCGAACAACATCTCGTTTTCCGTTCGATTACGTGACCTTTGAAACGAACTCAGGCAGCATTAACCGTTATGGTCGAACCCGTCCGTATAGGTAGGAGATAACATTTCGACAGAAGGTCAAACGTGTATGTCATTTCATTCGCAACGTATACGTTCTTACGCGTATGAATATTACACTCGCGGTATATCAGTCGATAATGGTATTATTGTTTTAGGTTCGATAGGATGTTTCACACGTTTGGTTTGTTCGAATACTTTATTTTCTGATTGCATATTTTTCAGGGTTTAGATTTTAAAAAATTATTTGCTTTACAATTACAGAAATTAAAAATGGACCAAAACGTTGAAGAGATTCAACAGAAATTGTTAAAATTCGGTTGTTGCCGAGTGTGTGCAGTTAGGCATCTTACAAAACCTTCAACCATTAATGTTAAAACATTAATTGCAGCATCAGAACAAGACCACAATGAGCCTAAACGTTTAAAGAACAATCCATGTATAGCATGCTTGGGATTGTTTCAAAATCCGCAATATGATAACATTATTAATAAAATTATTTCATATTTAAAAACATCTGATTATGATTCTGATACATTTAACTTGGCGTTTAATTTACCTATGTGTACTATTATTCGAGGACATTCAATAGCATTATATGTGTCAAAATTGAGAATATCATTCAATCCTACGTTCCCTACAGCTTTTGTGTGCGCTAAAGATGCTTGGAAACTAATGGCTGAAGATGCCATTGTGAAAGCCACTGGTAAACGTTTCGATGTACATTCCCCTTTGCTAGTCACTGTTGGTTTCCATTATAACGATACCAAAGATGAATGTGATTGTTTAAATGCAATCATAAAATTGAGCAACAAAAATTTACAGAATATTTTATCTCAAATGGATAACAAAGATTTTGTGAGCCAATATGGAGAGATGCCAGCAATAACAGAATCGACTATAGAATTCAAAAGTGTTGAAGCTAGACATGAAAGTGTTTATATTGCTGGTCGTTATAATAAGTGGTCTAGAACCCTATCTCAAACACCTTGGATAGTAGACCAGGAAAGAAGGCTTGAAAGTTCTGTTGAGGAAATAATATCTGAACCATTAAAAAAGCATGCATTGGTAGATGAATTCAGATTCTCATCATCTGGTAGAGAGGATATTGATGTTAGAATGTTGGGTAGAGGAAGACCGTTTGCAATTGAACTAGTAAACCCAAAACGAACTAAATTTAGCTATGAAGTAATGAGAGAAATAGAAAACGAAATCAATATTGATCCACAAGTAACGGTGAAACATTTGCAAGGCATTAATAAATCTCAATTAAAGGAATTAAAATCTGGAGAAGAATTTAAAATCAAAGTTTATGAGGCTCTATGTTATGTTGAAGGAGAGTTACCAGACTTGGATAAGCTTAACAAATGTACTCCATTGGAAATATCACAGTTTACACCAATTAGAGTATTGCATCGAAGAGCCAATATGTCCAGACCTAGAACTATACACTCAATGAAAGCCACAGCAACTAAAGTAGGAATAGACAATGGATGTTCATTTTTCAATGTAATCGTATCTACCCAGGCTGGTACATATATAAAAGAATTTGTGCATGGAGATCTTGGTCGAACAAATCCTTGTTTACGAACAATTCTGGGAAACAATACCGTTGACATATTGGCTTTGGATGTATTAGACATAGAAATTGATTGGCCTACACCTGTAAAGTATTGATCAAACAATTATGTAACATTTTTGGTTAGTAATTGATGATCAATAATTTATACAATTTTATATTATTTGAGTATTGGTTAAAATTTTGACTATTAAATGGCTGTGTTAATAAATGTATTTTAACAACTTAAAATCTGAGTTTATTGATAGAAATTAAAACAATTATTTGAAAATCATAAAAAAATATTTGAAAATTATAGAAAGTCAGATGTTCTTTAATAAGAATATCATATTAATAATGAATTGATTATCTAGACACAATTTGAAATTAATTTAATTTCACAGCAATATTATTAAAAATAATAAAAACAAAATAAATGCTTAACATTTTTATTTAAATCAATATTTTGCAAAAAATTTTAGTTACAGTAAAGTCCAAATCAAATTTATACATGTTTATTTTTTATAAAAAAAATTAAATGTTAAAAATACTTAGTTATTGTACATTTTCTAATAATATATCTTAAAATAATGACTAAATGGTACAGTTAATTACAAATTATAGACTTAAAAATTATGGTTTTATATCAATTGTGCCGAAAATCGCAGGTAAAAAAAAAAAAAAAAGAAAAATTATGGGATGGAAAAAAAGGTATACATCTATTGCGCCGATCGATATTCAAGTTAATACATTTTGTGATTACCTCACTGATACTTACATTAATGAAAATTCAACTTTTCCCCTGTATCTCTGGTCGTCGTGTAACATATAAGGCGAAAAGAACAGCAAATGTCTGTGAGGCGTTTCACTCAGTGTTTGGAAAATATTTTTATTCTGCCCATCCAAATATTTTTGTTTTTTATGAAGTTTTAAAAATAATATAACGCAAAAATCATAATATGTGTTCTCTTAGTTATCACAAATATACCAAACTCTAAATTTATGACAAAAAAATAAATAGTAAAATAGACACTACCAAATTTAATATTAGACCTAAGAACTTTTCAAAATTTGTAGGATTAATGTAAATACCAAGTATGTAGAATGATAAGTTTGATTTTAATGTTTGTTTTTAGCCATTATGATTTTTACTTGTACTGTATAGTTGTTATACCAGCGCAATAGATGTAGGTATATCTTTTTAATATACCCTTTTTATACCGGCGCAATAGATGTATACTATACAGGTAGTGTCCCAAATTCGGCGCAATTGACGAATACCGAAAATGATCAAATAGTAACTTCTTTTTTTAAAATTATATTTTATACACTAGTTAATCGAATGCAAAGTTTTTTTTACTTTAAAAAGAGTAATACAATTATTGTATCAATAATAGTCAAAAATGTTCTAATATATTATTAAATTAAATTTAAATTAACAGTTTTATAATAGTTGGTTGAATTATTACTAACATAACTTAAAAAAAAGGTACTTAATTTAACTGTGTAATTTTACATTAAGTTATTAATATATATTCTTACGGTAAAAAATTCACAACCAGTCTTCACAGACGTAATATTTAAGAAAATAAATATATTTTTTAGATTACAAATAAAATGATAATGCTTATAAAATTAAAACAAAATAATTATGTTTTTCATTGCCCAAAAATGAATACTATTTTCATATTTTATATTATCAACTTAATATATTTTTGCTGAAAAAATCGTTTTCAATGAAAACTGCAATATTTGCATGTGCTGAAGTAAATAAATTACCAAATTTTACACTGATATAGTGTTTTCTTAATAGGTTTATTGATAAATATGGAACTACAGTGTTTTCGATATTTCAAACAATTTTATGCCATGCGGACCTTTGGAGTTAAAAATATTTTTAAAATAATGGTACGGTAATTTTTTTGTCCGTGCGGAACTATAATGCGTCCGAAAAAATATGATCCAGTTTCTACCAAATCCACCAAAGTTCCATAATTTAAAACTATATTTGCGTTACATTTTAGTTATTTTACCAAAAAACAATTATTTTCATTTAAAAATTTCTAATTTTTGTATTTGTTTTAGATAACTTAAATTCACAATTCTCTTTTATGTTGATAAGATTTCATGTTAAGAGTGGGTTGATTAATTTCATCTAAATGTTTATGAAGTAATGCAAGGTGATTTTTAACTTTCTGCATTTTTGGGTCGATACTTAATGCTTGTAAATAATTAATTTCTGCAAGTTCATATTTTTCCCAGCGATGATATAAGACTCCTAAAATAAATAGTTTAAATTTGATAAATAGCTTTTTAATAAAAGCTGATTAATTAACATTTATTATTCACCTAGATTGGAATGATATAATGCAACAACTTGAACTTTAGATACTAAATGTTTTAACTGAATAGCGGCTAAGAAATGTTTTTCAGCTTCTACAAACTTATCCATTTTGCCTAATATGTTGGCTATATTGAAATGTAAATTTGGTTCATTTGGTAAAATAGATAGTGCTGTTCGAGCTACATTTTCAGCACGTTTTAATTCTCCAATTGACTCCAACAATACAATCATATTATTCCATGAAATCACATGTGTTGGTTGTTGAAATGTAGCATTTTGCCAAGCAAATAATGCTTTAGTCTGTTCTCCCATTTCCAAATACTATAAAATAAATGTACAATATATATATATATATATATACTCATAAATATGACAAATATTTCGACAGTACTCACTAGATTTCCCAAGTTGAAATAACAATGAGGATAACTTTTTCGATGTTGTAGAGCTATTAAATATGCCTCCTCAGCTTTATTATATTGATGTTGGGCAGACAATACTATGCCTAAATTCATCCAAGCAGCAGCGAAATCATTCCTAAATGCATGTTAAATTTTTAAATTAGAAAAAAAATGTTACTTCACAGTTATATAAATATTAGGTATAGTAAACGTAAATAAGTTTTTTTTTCATAATGTAAATTAATAACTAATAAGTAATAATAATCTAAATCTTATTAAACTAAATTATGTATAATAAAGGAAGATAATTATTATAAATAATAAATTCAATTTATTTTTTAAAAACCCAAAATGGTTATTTATTTCATGATAATATAACTGTATCCAAAACTAAAATTTTGCAAAAACATTAAATTTGCATTAAATTATAATTATTTTATTCTTACCTAATAGAAACAGCTTTTTCTAATAAAGATCTAGCTTCTTCCAATTCATTTTGATCTTTCAAAATGTTTGCTAAATTATTCATTGCTTGATCATACCTTGGATGTAATCTAATGAATAACATTGTATTAATATTTAAACCATTCATAAAATATAACAAATTTACAAAAGTGCATGCTTATAACGATTTATAGCTTCTTGTGTATGCCCAATATCGGCTAAACTTTTTGCTAGATTATAGTGCACTTTAGCATTCATTGGACAAACTTTTAAAGCACTTCGAAATAAATCTAATTCAGAACTCCATTCTTTACTTCGTTGGTATGTTCGAACAAAATGAATAAAAATTAATAAAATAATGCACATTCCAACTACCTAAATAACAAAATTGAAATTAGATGCATCAACAAAGAATTTTACTAGTTGTATAAAATATAAAAAAAATTTACTTTTTTTGCAAAAGAATATAGACACAATCTCCTAATACCAATAACCACAATAATAATAAATCCAGCAGAAGGCAAATATAAAACTCGTTCTGCAATGACAAAACCAACAGTAAACATTAAATTTGAAGCTGGTAAAAATAATAGTAGACCAAATAAAAATCCTATTTGTAATTGTCTGAAACAAAAATAAAATTTTTTAAATGTTTATATTTCATTTTATTACAGATAATTTATACTTTTGATCATAGTTCTTTGAGCATAGCAGTTTATACAATACTATTACAAGTATAATCCAAAAACCAAAAACAATGAACAATCTTGGATCTTTAGGAAATTGATTTAACCGTATCAAAGGAATGCATCCCATTGACCAATCAAAACACAGCCAAATTGGACATATCATTATCCAAATGTTAATTACATAGATGTAACTATAGTTAACAAACTAAAAAAAATTATAAATGTGTAGTACAGAAAAAGAGACAGATTGATTAACAGGTATATATAATACAAATACAAATTATGAATATACTCTTTCAATTGGAGATGTTACAAATGATGCAGGATTATCAATTTGCTGAAAAACCGGAGCTGAACCCATTACGGTCCATCTGCCATAAAGAATAACACAAAATCCTACAGCAAATAAAAATAGCCTTTCTAATGATTCTCTTTTGAATAATCTAATCATTTTTGAAATTTTAATATTTTTCATAAGACTTTTAAATGTGATTTTATTGATTCCAATCACTTCATAAACACCACAAAAAGTCTGTAAATTGTTAGTATATTAACATTAAGACTATTTAAACAATAAAAATGTATACCATAATCATAAGTCCTTGTTCTTTACATAACATGGCCATTAAACTTATAACACAACATAATATTGTTGTTATTATATTGATTATGCTGGATATTTGTTTAGCTTTTGCTACTCTATGATAAATAATGAAGACACCAAGTGATAAACATGCACTTAGCAAATCAGCACGGCCGACTACTCCAGATACCTAAAAATAAAAATAAATATATTATTTTAAAAATAATTTAAAAAATGGTACATACCACTTCAACATGGATAGGATGAACAGCAAACATTAGAGCAGCTAAGAATGAAGTTTTTGGTGCATTTCCATCAAAAAAAAGATTATAAACATGTAAAAGTTGACAGGAGACAATGGCATGTAAAATAATATTAGTCATATGGAATGACTTGGGAGATAAATTTCCATTATCCATCCAAACATTTAACCTAATAAAGATTAAATACATTATTAATGTTTAAAATCTCAATAGCTTGAAATGTCCTACTATACATTCATACAATAATTTTAATACATGTTTTTAAATTTAGATAGATTATCAATATTTTACTATATTTAAAAAGAAAATATTTTAAATTTTACAATAAAATATATTTTTTATCTAGTTCCTACCTAATAAATAGGATACTTTAATTGTGGTTTACCTGAATGATAGTATTGTTAGAGGTCTATATGATTTATGACTGGCATGGTTGGTAAGTCTTGTACCCCAAAAATCATGGTTAAAAATCTTATATACCGGTGTTTTCAGGTTAACATCTTGATTATTTACAACTGCTTCAGAGTCATCGAAAACAAATGCACCATAATATGAATTACCATAGCATAATATGGATGCAAATGCAACTATTAGAATATATAACCAATTAGGCAACTCTGAAAATCATACATTTGTTATATTATATATTATAGTAATTCAGATTAAATTGTCTAACTCAGAAATGGCAATTTCGAGTCACAGAAATTATCCTCTAATTGTTTTGTCTTCATTATTAACTCTGTGGCATGATTTAAATGTTAACTTAAACCCATATGCTTGTTATGACACATTAATAACAAAAATATTGCATTTTAGCATTATAAACATTTGTTGAAATATGATATACAAAATAGTTAATGCATAAAAATATGTAGAAATACATAAAAATGTTAAATGGAAAAAAAAAATAACAAACTGTTTAACTACCACAAAATATACACAAGTGAGCTTAAACGGTATAACGAATAAATGAGACTTTAACTATAAGCACAAATCTAAAATGAAAACGATAGATCATAATAAATTTACTCCTCCAAATTCCTTCAACTTGATTAATTTCTCATGCTGTTACGCCGTTACCGGCAAGTTATGTGCGTCAGTCAGAAACATGACAAAATAGATTTTATCTATTTCGTCATGACTATGGCTGCAGTGCAATCCTTATTCGTGGATCGCAGTTAAAGATTTTACTCATCAAAAATATATTAAACAGAATCCATAATTGTTATCGTGATAGCAATAATAAAGTATCACAGGACACGCACAGACTACCGCTGCCACTGATTAGGAGTCAGGACGTAAATCTTATCAATCCGCTATCCTTATCAAGAAATTCTCGAGTAGTTATGACCGTAGTCCTTATATTCATAGGCTTGCGTTGACCTGTATTTCAGGGGGTGCCTAAATTACTTTTAAGCCCTATTTTATAAATACGTACCTATAAGCTAAACTTAATAAATTATAATGCATAAATAATTAAATAAGCATAACTTAATTTTTTAATTAAATGTTGTGATATATTATTCCCAATGAATATGTTTTTCTCGAAGGTCGTACATTTTTCTCAGATAGCTTTTATTTAGCATTCAGAGATGTAAATCAAAATGGAACTAAATTTATTATCTTTTACTGACAGTTTATTTTATTTTCTTAATTATTATCTTTTTTTATAATTATTACCTATCTTTATTAATAATAATAATAATAATAATAATAATTATTATTATTATTATTATCTTTCACCTGGAACCCACAGTGCGCGCATCTATGCTTATACTATACGGACTTCTACGGTTATGATCGTTGAGTGCTGGAGAAATGTGTGTCCTAATTAGTTGTGCTTAAAAACATAAGGATTTGGATGATCACGCTGATAGTATAGAAAATATTTTATTCTCATTTGTTCTGAAGTAAGTAATAATGTTAAATACATGTTAATCATAAATTAGATACGTTTTTGTATAATTTAAAGTAGTATGAGGTGTGTTATGTACAAACACACAAACAAAATACAATATAACATCGAATAATTATTTAAAATATAAGTATCCATATAAAGAAAGCGAATTTAAATTGGTTTTTACTGTTCTAACATTGTTTAAATAAAAAATATTCTGGCTTAAATAAAAATATTTAAAAAAAAAAGAGAAACATAATAAAACTTAAACCAAAAATATATGTACTTAAATACAATAGAAGTAATCAAATCATAGATACACATGTGCACAAATAAAATACAGATATAATTTATTTTAAGTAAATTTAAAATAAAATGCAATTTCATCTTCAATCAACATCAATAATATATATATATATATATATATATATATAATAAAGATATAGGCGTAAGAAAAAAAAATAAAGAAATCAATTTTTTTAACATCAATCAAACAAATAGTGATCGAATTGCAACTTGAATAAAATAATAACAATTTCAACACCGATTTACAACACTCGTAAAGCTATTAATACTACGCATTCTAAATTGTCTCTAATTATCTTCTCATCATCGTGACTTTTAATTTAAATTTTTTTTTCTACTCGACTAAGTGTTTTTTTTTTTAAAAAAAAAAAAGAAGAAAAAAAAGGGTTAGCAACAAAAACGCGGGGTAGACAAATACTTGCGCGGTAAGACAACCGTGGGGATTTTTCGAATACCGTTTGTTGGTTGCGCTCGTCTTTTTAGCGTGACACGTGTCGTCCCGATCACCGCGGTAGTCACGTGCAGTCGTCCATCACCAGATCGATGCGGTCGCACGTGGCGTTCGACACTTCTTCATCGCCGTTTGGTCGTGGCAGTCGCTCGAAGCCGTCGGGTAGTCCACGCCGTGGAACACGATCTTGTGCGTGCCATGTGACTCCATTTGCCAGTCGGCGCACGTTTGTACTCGTTTAGCACGGCGTTGTCGACGCAGTCATCGTAGTTTCATATAATTGAAATGACGGTCATCGTTATCCACGTACTGCGCACCGAACCCGACCCACAAGCACACACATCAGGGGGTAGAAATCTCGATCGCTTCCGCACGCTTAAGTACGAAATCGCGTAAACCGCTAACATATGTTCCACCGCGTGCTACGTGTAGGTGTACCTACAGCCATAACAGTCTCAATGGTGGGGGGGGGGGCGAATAGGGTAAGTGCCCTAGGGCGTAAAATATATTATGAATTTAGGAACGTCATAAAAATTAATGATAGTAAGAAAAACTGTATTTTTTGTTTTAGATAAGTAAGCATTAATTTTCTTTTATACTGAAATATCTGAGTATCTATAAAATTGTACAAAATATATTATTTAATATGAAATAATGTAAATAATGTGTCACATGCCTACATGTATAAATATTATGTATACCGTAGGATAGAATATTATTGGGAAATTAATAATGATAATTGATGATCTTATATTATGACTTTGTAGGTATTGTAGTTAGTAGGTACCATGTGCCATAGTACTTTGATTGAACTTTATATTATGATGAATATTATCCGTGAATCATAATTACCAGGATATGGATTTCATAAAATTGAAAAGTACTGAAATACGTACTAGGTATAATATGAACAAAAACACCTTGAAATATAAATAAAAAGAAAAAAAGTGTAAATAAAAATGTAACTAAATTTATTATATTTTACTGATTTTATTTTTTTAATTATTATCTATAATATAATCTTATGAATTAATATAATTATAAAAAAAAAAATGACCTGTTATTTAAAAAAAATTGTGACAAAAAACAAAAATGTAAGAATTTTTCTTAATATAAATTAATTATTACTATTTATGTATAAATAGGAACCGCATCGAAACTCTTATTGGACTTCTTCAAAAACCGCGATCTATAGAGAAGTGATCTCGCAAAAATATATGTCCGTATTGCAAGACACATTGCATATAATCAATTATCGTTTATACTCGTAACTAACAATTATTAATATTGTAATAATTTTATTTTATTTCGCTATTTATCTATTTATTTGATTATTATCTTTATTTTATTTTATTTATATCCATCTATACTTACTCTATTCAATAAACTATGTACAATTATATTAATAGGTCAACTGTGTTGTAAGGCAACTCACTAAGTGACCAGTTCGCTGTATTTATATTTATATTAATAAAGTTTTTTATATATGTATGTTTAAATCAGTGGCGTAGTTATCATATGGCGAAGCGCGAAAGTGCCTTGGGGCCCCGGAGCACAGGGGGTACTTTGAATATTTTTGAAACTATACTTCCCTAAAATAATTAACAATGTTGATGGTATTTAACTTTCCTAATCGTTCCAGTAACAATCAGTATTGAAGCAGGATAATAATAATACACGCAATATTTGTTTGTTTTTCATAATAGGTATCTCCCAATAAACGGCATTTTCTGTTTACTCTGCATATCTGTTAATTATCTGACAGTTAATTTTATTTATCATTTCGTAATAAATAATTATTCACAATAAAAAAAAAAAAAAAAACAATATAATGTGTATACCTTGAATTTTCATGTAAGGATAATATCAGTTTGAGAGCCATACAGCACCGGGGCCCTTTCCTGTATAACTACGCCACTGGTATAAGTCAGTCGATATAAATAATCTTTATGGTAAATTCTAAATAAAGCATTATATTATTATGTGTATTGGCCAATAATTGCACCAAAACTTCGAAAACGATATTAAAAATTCAAAATACTTTGAATATTTAAAACATATCAAAATAAAATTTCATTTTTGAAATTTCTGGTGTATAAAACAAATTTACAACTCACTTTGCTATTTTTATTTGTATCCTATAATAATTAACAAATGCTATAAAATTTGAACCCTTAATAATATTCATTAATAAATTAATATTATTACAATATTACCCAAATATACTATAAATATATGTATATTATGATATAATAAGAGCCCGGATTTATATACATTTGCATGTTTGTACTAAGTGTATGCACGTCTATGGAGGTTTAAAATGTCCACAATTCATATCACACCAAATTTTATATTGCTTATTTTGCATATTTGCTCATAAATGCATATAACCGGGGACGTATTTAAGGGGCGAGGGGGTACCATCGCCCTAGGTGGCAAATTGTTTTCGTATATAAGGGCGGCAGCATGTTTTTGTAACCATAATCCATCATCCATTTTCATTCGTCAATCAAGAAATTTTAATATTTTCATATTTTACAAAGCTACCACATTGCGATTTTTATTTTCATGATATTATCGATAGTTTACCGCGTAAAATCTATAGATAATAAATATTATCTTTCTTGAAAAATCGTATAAAACGTGTGCAGGGGTGGCAATAAAATTTGTATTTGTATTCTCGTTTTTAAGTTTCTTAAGTTTTAGATCGATTTAAATAATTTGAAATATAAAGCAGTGAATATTATCTTTTTTTTTTGTTTTTGATAAAATATTTAGAATTTTATTTGGTATAAAAGTGTGATTTTTTTTTCAATGACAACACTTCATTCATTGTTTTGTTACAGAAAAAATAAAACTAAATCATCTAGATTTTCATGCAAAAACTTATCATGATAATATAACAGCTAAAATTGACTACATAAGTTCAAATTATAAATAATTGAAGCTATCCGAGAATAATATATGAGATTCAAGGAAAACATATTCATTGGAGTTATAATATACCACAACATTAAATAAAATATTAAAGTTTTGTTTGATTATTTAAACGTTATAATTTATTAAATTTACCTACCTAAGATAAGGCCCAAAAGTGTTATAGGCACCCTTTAAAGTACAAGTCTACACGCATATATTTATAAGAGAATGGTGGTTGTGCATAGAGGGCTCTTTAAGCAATCGTTCAAAACCGTTGGTGCATTAAATAAATTGTAATCAATGCGTCTAACAAATATAACACCCTTGGAATTCCAATTATTAATGATTTGCAACTATATGCATTAAGCAACATCAATTATTACTATTGATAAAAACTTATTATGTAAGATCAATTTACTATTAGCATGGGTGCACTATGCTATAATTTACTATTGATCTCTATGCACTATGCAAAATTAATTATTATTAATGGTAAAAAGTTTCACTTAGTATTTCAAGATATAACATAAAACTATCAATTTTAAACTATTAGTTATAAATTCAGTTCTGATAAGTTATTTGTAAAAGAGTAATAACAATATTCAAAATCTGATCGAAAAATATTTTTAACTATAGTAAATACAAATTATTAATACAAGTTGAATAAATATACATTGAAATAAAATTAAAAAATTATCGATTGTTATGAAATAAGATTACTATAAACAAATATATAACACAAATTATTAATCAATTTAATTTAAATACATCATAATTTCAATAAAATTGATTAAAGGTCTGCTACAAAATTAGGATGGACTACTAATACAGGATCATCATCAGCATCTTCCTCTTGTTGCACATCACCAGATTGCGTTAAGGCAATTAGTACATTATCCTATTAAATAATAAATAATTATAGTAGTATATGCTATGGCATAATACATATTAATAAATATTAACTTACATTATATATCAAACGATCTAAAACTTTTTCAATAAAGCTCTTTTTTTCTATTAACTCAGATTCATTATTGATTTGATCTTCAATTTTTTCCAGGTACCAGTTAATTAAGCTACTACGTAATAAACCAACATTTTCATCGCCACCCTCATTTTCTAAACACAAAAATGTAATTATTTTCAATTACTTCATAATAAAAATCAATTACATACCAATTAATCTATTTTCTTCTTCATTTCTCATATATACAACAATCATATTAGTAATTCTTTTATATTCATCGAAAGCAAGAGTTAACTTTTTTTTAGTTAAACTTCGTTTGTCAGGTTCTTCTGTTGGATCAACATCCATTCCTAGAAGACATATTATAGCTCATACATAATAAATAACAACAATAAAAACTATTTAATTCATCACTACCATTAGTTTCTGGTATTCTACTTAATAATTCATCATCATCATCATCATCATCTAGATTGACATCAGGTTGTTCTACCCTTATAATCGATTTATTAAGTAAACTAAAAGCTTCTGATACATGCTTTATTGTTACCTAATTAAATATTAAATTGTTATATATTTATTCATATCTTAAAAAAGGTTTAATCAGAAAAATTAATTATTTACATGATCTGAACATTCCATTTTGGCCATAGCTTCAGATAAACGTATCAATGATTCTAATTGTCTTACAGTTATACGCCATGTTGACTTAGTACTAGATTGGCTATCACGCTGTCTTAATTGTGTATATGCATGTACTAATTTTTCAGAAGCTTCCTATATTCAATATCATTGATAAAACATAATTTAATTGATAACCATTTTTTTATTAGTATACATACAACAGTGAGTTGAGGTTTGAACTGTCGAGCAAAACTAATATATGTTAAAATATCTTCTTGGTTATATAATGTTTCGACTGTATCTTCCATATTACTGTGTATATCTACAATTTTCTTAGCTATTGCATAATCAACAACCTATTAACATTTAATATTAATTCAAACAATCAACACATAACCGAATTTAAAATGGTAAGTAAAAGTATAATTTATTTACATACTTCATTGCATTCATCTATAAGGACATAGAATAAATCAAAGCGAGACATGATTGGAGCTGAAAGGGATACATTTTGTTGAAGAGATTTACTTCGTTCATAACGACCATTAATAGGGTTTGCTGCAGCTAATATTGATGTTCTAGCATTCAATGTAGCTCTAACACCAGCCTAAAAGTATATAATTATTATTTCATAAATATGTATTAAGGATCATACATATACAGTATGTCCCGTTTTAAATGTACCACTAAATATCTCAGCCCTATAATCTTAGATTAAAATACAGTTTGTTGCAATAACTAGGGGGTATTAAAGTACACATTATAGGAAAATTTCAAATTTTTAACTTGTAGTATGCGCATGCACAGTACAAATATTTTTTTTAATAACAACACTTATTTTTTCATTGGATATGAATAAACTATTTTATTCTAAGTCATTTTGATCCATTGATCATAGTTCTAAACCTAAAATTGACTCAGTTACAGCTTTTTGAAATTTTAAAATTTTTTGGATTTAACTAGAAACATAAGTGTATACTTCAATACCCCATAGCTATTGAAGCAAACAGTATTTCAATCTAAGATTATAGGGCTGAAATATTTAGTGGTACATTTAAAACAGGACATACGGTATATTTCTGTACATAAATAAGCTTTTTGTAATAAAGGGTCAAAACTAAAAATAATTAAAATATATCTACTATTTTAAGAAGTTACTTTTAAATAATAAAAAAAATGTATTTAATATAATTATAATGAATATAATATACTTTTGCTATTGATATGGTCTGTTGTTCCATAGCTTCATGAATAGCTACTTGATCACGGGGATCCATTTTATCAAATTCATCAATGCAACATACACCATTATCGGCTAACATAAGAGCTCCAGCTTCAATAACAAAGTCAAAAGATTCCTCATCCCTTACAACAGCAGCTGTAAGACCTGCAGCACTAGAAGCTTTACCAGAAGTGTAAACTGCACGAGGGCACATATCAGCAACTTGTTTCAATAATTGAGATTTGGCAGTACTAGGATCACCAACAATACAACAATTTATATCCCCACGAAGGGTTGTCCCTTCCAATGTTATTTTTGGCACTCCTCCAAAAAGCATTAATAACACTCCTAAACAATTTTTTTTACTTAAAATGTAATGAAAATCAAAATATTAAATGTGCATATTATTAACCTTTTTTGATTTGATCATTTCCATGAATTGCAGGGAAAAGGCTATCAATTAAATGTTGATATAAATTTCGATCACGATTCATTTCATATATTTTTTCCCATTGTGGACCAGTCATTTGTTTCTTCATACGTTCAATTGAATCAGCAGTCAATTCATCATTGTGCATTTCTCCAGTACCACCAAACTATAAAACATATTAAATTAAAATTTTTATTCGATTTTTATAGAAAAATTAGTTTAAATATTTAAATTATTTTTAACCCTAGAATCTGTTGCAGATATGCTACATGCTAAGAATGCCAGTTTGTAATTTAATTCTCTGATTCCTAAACATTTTAATCCTTTGACACCTTCATTATTTGCATCGCCTCTTTTTTGTCCAGATGCAGATTCCGCTCTGGCAGAAGGTGTAGACATTACACTTATATCAGGGACCACAATCAAAGTACCCGTAAAATCATATCGGTCCCCAGCTTGAACGGTTTCAACATTTTCATTTCTCAAAATAATTTCAAGACTAATAACAAAAATAATAAAACAATTTTAAATTCATAAATAAGTTATAAACTATTAAACTAATTAAAAAAAATTTTGATCAAGAAGTAATTGAACTAAAATAATTTTTTACCAATTTAATTTATTTTAAAATATTGTAGGGAACATTCTTAGAAAATGTTTCATGTTATAATTCTTGAATTGATTCAAATTTCAATACAAACTATTATATGTATATTATACCTCCGTGGGATACAGCCTCGAGGAAGTTCTGATTGACATTCTTGCACTCTAATCTTTTGGAAATCCACAAATCGAGATTTATTAACATTTAAACTGAATCTTCTTCTATTAGCACAAATAGGATTTCGACATATAGTTGGCTGAGTGTACTAAAAATGAATAACAGATGTTATATACATACAAGTTTTACAACTATTAATCAATATACTTATTACTATACATATTTACAAAACATTAGTTCTATGCTTTTAGTAGTGAATTGTTAAAAACATTTATTTGCTTAGTAACTGTTAAAAATAATAAATGTTCATTAGATTACATTATGCTGACGAAAAAAAATAAGAAAACTGAATATTTGATTTTTAATAGTAAATTCACATTATTGAATACCAATAAATATAATACAAATGAATCAGAAAATAATATGTTAATATGTAAAGATAACAGTGAATTAGAAAATTACCAATTGAAGAATAAAAGTTCTAAATCAAGAATAAACTCAAGTATTATTGATAGAATTTATATTTATAAAGACCATAAGGAAGCACTTGATAATGAGCTAAATAATTCGAATAATCAACAAACTAAAGCAATGCCAAATAAAAACCAAGTGGTTACTAACAATAATATCATAAATGATTCGTATTCTGAAATGTATTTCCCAGAAAGATATGGATTGAAGTACAATAATACGTTTGTAATGACATTTTGTAAACCTTCAATAAATGATTATTTTAAATGGCTATTTGGTATAAATAGTTATGAATATGAAGACTACATTCAATATAAGCTAAACAAAAAAAATTATAAGAAAAAAGATGTTTTAATAAAAACTATAATCGTGGAAAAAAATGCATTTCATTGCCAAGGATTGGTTAAAAAGCTAATAGTGATTAAAGATAGAAATCATGCTCCTAAAAAAGTAATATTTGTTTAAAAAAAATAAAAATATTTTTAAAATACTATATTATCATTTCAATTTAAAACTTAGGATTTATAATTTAACAACTAATTCACTTGATTGTGCAATATTTAAATTATTTTTAAAATTTAATCGTAATGGTAATACATTAATTATTTTTGTTATTTTACAAATTTATAAATAATGAACAATAAATTTGTGATATAGACCAAGATAAATTATACTATCTATATAACTTACTTTGAACTGTTGTTCAACACTGGGTATGTCTGTCTGACAGTCTTGACAAGTGAAATGTCCAGATACTAGCTCTGGATGAACAGGATGGGTTCTTATGACTTGTCCAGAAATACGTACTAATTCGCCAATTTTAGCTGTTGTTAATTCTCTTATATTAAATCGGGTGGTCACATCTACAAAGCTCACAAAGTAATCTTGAGTATTGCCAGTAGCTTCAGTACGATCAATAACAAAATTACCAACTGCTAAGCACAAAGCTGGATACACCCTTAACAATTAAAATAAATAGAATTTAATACTGAAAAATAGATTGAAGTCAAAAATTAATCTAACCTGTAATATTCTTCAAGAATGGTGATTGCAAGATTTTGATTGAATTTTTCAACATCGAGGAAACTAACCTCTAGTGTGAAACGTTCAGAGTTTGTCATTTCTACGGCCACTTCCAAATATTTAGGTTCATTACTGCCTTCTTCCACAAATCTAAAATGTAGATGTAAGTTTTTAGCAAATATTGTGAATGCGAACAGAATTACAAATATATCTAAGGATACTTACTCCTCTAAGAAATCTTGGAATAGTTTTTGAGATCTAACTTTCAACTGATCGCGTACCCTGTTGACTCCAGTTTGAGTTTCTGCAACATCCATGGTTAAGTGTAAATGTAGTTATATACAGTTGGTTAACGGGACGAAAATATATCGAAACCACTTGGTTTGAAATATTAGAATAAATTTCTAAGAGCACTCAACAACAATGTTAAACTGTTCAATTTCGGTGAGAGAAGCACGAGCAGCGTTTTATGATAAACATTAAAAATAAGGCAGTGGCGGTCAGCGGATAGCACATTTCGTTGTTGTCTAAAAAAAAATTGGCGGGAACAGTCATTGTTATGGGTAATGGTTGGCTTCATAACCAACATATTAGTGCTACAGGTGGGTGCATTTTCCACAAACGGTTTAAAATGGTGGAAAAATATTGAATTTTCAAATAGTCATATTCTAAAATGAATAATGATTATAACCTAGCTCAAAGTTATACAGATCATTTTTAATAAAAGTAAGTACGTCAAACGGTACAGTTGATGGTGTACCTATAACGATTTCGGAGTGAAATAAAAGCAACGCGCTATCTATCATCGATACCAACAACCATACGATACGAATCTATTGTGGATAAAAAAAAATGTATATTTGAGGAGTAGTGGAGGTATAGACCTACAAAAATATATTTATGTTTAAAAAAAATTATATGTATCTAATTAAAGGTAATTCGATTTACTATATTTACTTTGATACTCGATATCCTTTATTACTCAATTCTCACTCCTTCATCGAAAACAATGAATACCCACTATTTAGATAGACAAATAATGTAATACCATTGATTATAAAAGAAGTACATATTTTATTTGCTTTTTCTATAACCAATGATAATATTATAAAAGTAAATACACATGTTAAATTTATAGCACTTATAGTGTTTAGTAACATATTTCAAAATATGTATAATTATTTACTGGTTTATTATCGATTTGTTTCAGATATGTCATTAGATAAACTTTTATTTTTATTTTAAAAGTATAAAACAAACAATATCAAACTTAAACGACAAACTATAATATATTTCTTGCTTCACTTTTATTTCTCAGGCGGTTAAGTATATGATTGAGGGGGTCGGAGCACGTAATATATTTTATGCATTTAAAACAAAAAACGAAAGTAAATTTAACATACTTCTTAAAATTTTAAAATTTAACTATGTTTTACTAAATTAAAACTATAGTTTTTTTTTTCATATAATTATTTCTTAGAGAAAAATAGAATAGTTGATTCCATAATCAATGGTACCTACCAAATACCATTATTATAAAATATAAATAAATATTACAATCTTATTAATCTATTCATGTTGAGTTATCATTCTTAGAATGCTTTAAAATGTTGTCCTCAATTGTTTTTTATTTAATGGTTTACTAAAATGTTATTTTTTTAAATCATTATTGTCGAATAAGTGATTTTTCACTATTAAAAATAATTGTACAAACTATGAAATACCTGTCTTATTTTATGAAAATTAATTACTTAAAACGGATTAAAAAAATAAATATGTATCAACAAATATAATGTCTTGTAAAAATGAAATATTTCTTTCACTAAGTATAACCAAATAAGAAGATATCAAAAACTATTGGACACCTAACAGAAAAAATTCTGGTTACACACCAGTTGATACGTTATCTTTATATTTATTTCATTTAGTTTTTGTAGAAAGTGATTATTGATTAATAATTTCATTTTTCTCCTAAATTTTCACGATGACTTAAAATACAATAAAAGTAATAATTAAATGAAAGGAATTCGAAAATATTCTTTCTTTTTTATTTATTATAAATCTATAATTAAGCGTGTCTAATGCACAATATAATATATTTTATGTATAGAAGTGGTTATGATAGGTATTTACTATAAAAGTAGCCGTGGAGTTTCATGTTACTTAATTTTTCTTTACTTTTTGACGTACAACATTCTCTGTCTGTATGTAACATGACATTTAAACAAATTTATCATTTTTATACCAATACATATTATATTCATTTAAAAATATTGATTTTTGTACTTATTTGTTATATCCCATCAACATTTGTAAGTACAAAAATTATACCTATATTAGATTAACTAGAATATACTAGCATTATTATTATTGATTATTTTCTATGATAAGGACATTTTTAACAAAACTATAAAGTTATATATATATATATATATATTATTTTTTTGACATATTTATGTACAGATTTTTGTATTTGTCACCATCAAATATTAATATATAATGATTTATTGTTATGCAATTTCATAAATTACGCTTGAGATTGGTTTTATAAACCTTATTAATTATTTTTTATCTTAGGTATATGCGTGGAAAAATATAATAAATAATTATGTTCAGCGTGCTATTTTTATGTATATTGAATATAAATACCTGCTTGTCATTTAGTTAAAAATATATACATTTGTACTTCGTAGTTATAAAAAATAAATGATGAAGTTTTCCTCGTTAATAGTTTTAATTTTCTACCAATATACGAGTACATCTACACAATATTTTTTTTTTTTACATCATATAACAATAATTTTGATTTTAAATAGGCACAGTCACCATTTTTACACGTAGATGAATATCCTTCTGTAAATGAAGATTTTTTTAGAAGGTGTATCCCAGTAATAGTATGTAATTCAAGTTCAAAATATAGAACTTTCAATGGAACATGTAATAACTTAAAAACTCCTTCATGGGGTGCTTCTGAAACTCCACACTTAAGACTCCTTAATGCTGATTATAGTGACGGTAAATTTAAATAATCATTTTTTTTTTTTTTGTATAAAATATAGCCAATTATTTTATTTAAATATACATATATTTTTTATTTTTAGGCATTTATCAATTTCGACAACAGTCGAATGGAACTCCATTACCAAAAGCTAGAAAAATTAATACAGAATTATTTTTACATAACCAATGGCATGACTATGACGAGTTCAATTTACTTTTAATGCAATGGGGACAATTTATAGCTCACGACATTGCTTTATTAAGACCAGATAACTCTGTTGGTAAATACTAAATACATTAAAAATAAGTAAAAGGTTTTAAATAAAAATGAGTAGTAAATAGTTTAGGTTCTTATTACATTTAATATTATAGTAAAAATGTTCAGGTATATAACTACCATTTGAAGTATAAAACACGAATCGTAAAAAAAATTATTAAAAAGTATAAGAATCTATGTTCGTACTTTTAAGTCATTAATTTCTGAAACCATATAATAGTTAATATAAGGTAATGAGTCACTGGTAGGTATTTTAGAAATAAATCAGTAGTTATTTTTTATAGAAAATTGTTGTGCAGCTCAAAAATTACTTGCTATACCACCTCAATGTCAAGAAGTTATTAATGTACCCATAGACGATCCTCTATATACAAAATATAAAAAATCATGTATATCATTCAATCGCGCTGTGACATCAGCTAATTTTAGTTGTCCATTAATACCTGCAACATTTGTTAGTATATACAAAATAAAAATTTAAAGTTAACATGAATAAATTTTAAATTTATATATTACTTTTTGCATTTTGTATAGATGGTCGAAGTTTCTCAATATATTGATGGATCTCAAGTTTATGGGTCTAGTGATGTCATGGCTGCTGGATTAAGATCCTTCATAAATGGAAAACTCCGATCTGATACTTTTTTAAGTAACCAGAAAACTTACATAGAAGAATTTTGTCCACAAGTGAATCGAAAGACATTACAATGTGAGACATCGACAAATTCAAGAGTTTGCTTTCAAGCCGGTAAGTTAAATGAATAATATATTTTCATAAAATAATTAATGAATAAAAATCATTAAAGAAAAATGTATTAAATATAACTGTATAACTTGTATTTATTCAATTTTATATATTAAAAATAATAATTTAACAATGATTTTATTGTTATAATATCATTAAAATCGTTTAAATTATAAATAAAATTATAAAGCATCGCATGCACATCAATGGAACGACCATTGATTTAAAATATAACATTGTTAAATAAATAATTTTGGATACTAAATATATTTATTATTTTATTTTATGATAACTATAAATAAATAGGAACTATTTTTAACTATATTGGTTTGGTGTAGGAGATGTTCGTGTAAATCAAAATTTGGGAAATGCTCTTCTTCAAACTTTGTTCTTGAGATTTCATAATTATATAGCGACCAATTTATTATATATAAACCAATTTTGGACGGACGAAATTCTATATCAAGAAACTCGAAGGATTGTTGGAGCTGTTATTCAACATATTACCTATGATCATTATTTACCTATTATATTAGGTATAAAAATGGATTTATCTGTAGTTTTAATATTAAAAACTTTTTAACATAAATAATATTTTAGGGGAAACATATACACAATATTATGGGCTATTTACTCAACAAACAATTTACAATGATAAAATTAATCCGTCTACTTCATTGGAATTTGCAGTTAGTTCGTTTCGAATACTTCACAACTTAATTCCAGCACAATTGAAGTATGATTTTTAGTATTGTAAAATATTTAATAATTTATTTTTTAGCTGTTCTGTTGTCCTACACTTACGTTCCTTGACCATCAGCAACTTTCCTCTTCTACCCTCTCGAGGATAGAAAGAATAATACAATTTTTGTTTTACTCTGTTATGTTGTGTGACTATTATTACAGTAAATCATTGTATTTTAAATAAATATTTATATAATTTTTTTGTAAATTTTTTTAAATAAATTATCTCTAAAAATCATAAAATTAAAGAAACTTATTTTCATTTGATTCCTTTAAATATTTATAGCACTCTATGACTGTTGTGACACTAACAGTGCCGCAAAAACCGGGTGTGCAGTGTGTGCCGTGCACACGGGCTCCAAGGCCTACATACATTTGGGGGGCCCCCTAGTCCCAGCCTAAAATAAACTACACTTAACAAACGCACAATTATTTAGTAATATTATATTATTATTTTATAATAAAAATAAACTTTTTTTAAAATTCAGGTAAGGATGTTATAATATTTTAGAGCAATATAATATTTATTGAACAATGAGTCCATTAAGTATTTGAATAGGCATATAACATAACTACCTAAGCTACTTAAATAAATTTACTACATAAATATGTAGTGAAGTATAATATACAACAGTTGTATGTATTTATTTTGATATATATATATATATATATATATATATATATATATATCATACACTAACTGATGTGAAACGTGTTTTAAAATCTAAAGAAATCGATACTTATAAATAAGACGTACAACAAAAATAAATCCTTGGAAGGGGCCTAAAATAATTACCGCACACGGGCCTCTTATTTTGTAGTTGCGGCACTGCACATTGACCCCAACCCTCTTTTATAATAAATCTTATACATTGTTAACTATTTTATAAAATTCTACCAGAGATTTTTCTAATACTAATAAAATTAATACATTTCAATTTAATTATGAATTGCAATAAGAACTTTTAAATTACATGATGATATAAATATAAACGTGTATTATAATTATACTTTAAATGTTTGTAGTTTTATAGATAAAATGTATAAAATTCCATTTCAAGTTAATTTAACTGACTGGATGAATAGACCTGATTTGTTATACATGGGACAAAATGTTGATTGGTTAGTAAGAGGATTGTTAGAAACTCCAAGTCGTGAATACCAGGCGTCTTATAATCCATTGGTTAGAACTGTGTTAATATTAAATTGTTTATACTAACTATAGTAACATTAATTGCATACCTAATAATGATATAAAATATATAATATTATTTTTTTTAATTAATAATCAGTTATCACTATTATATTTAAATTACTAACATATTTTGATTAATTTTAGATTTCAAATTATTTGTTTCGCTTTAATTTACCCGATATAACTGGACAAGATTTACTCTCTATTGATATACAGCGAGGCCGTGATGTTGGTTTACCAATATATAATCAAGTTAGATCTATTTGCGGTATCCCACAGGCTAAATCGTTTGATGATTTACTGGATTTAATACCTACAAAAGTTAATTTTGCACACATAATTATTAGATTCATAAATAATGAAGATATTTTTTAATAGGCGGTGCAAATATTAAAAAAACTTTATGCGACCGTAAATGACGTAGATTTACATGTCGGAACATTACTTGAAGTACCAGAAGAAGGATCCATGGTTGGACCAACTACTAGATGCATATTGTCTGATAGCTTTTTTCGATACAGATATGGTGATCGGTTTTTTTACGATGTACAAGGACAACCTGGTAGTTATACATCAGGTATAAAATTAAATATTTAATCAATCACACATTCATTTTTAAATGGAAAGCAAATCAAAATTAATATTATTTTATAAATTTTCAGAACAACTGAAAATCATAAAACAGATTAACTTGGGTCATATTATATGCGCGACAACTCAATTACATTTTCTTCCGTTAGACGTTTTTAAAAGTTTTCACGAGTATGTATTTATTTTGATAATTAAAATATCTAATAATTGTTTACAGCTTTATTTCTCAAACTACTGAGAGCCATAGAGGGAGGGACATGTCCACTTGTTATAACTAAGAGGCAGTGACATTTTTAAAAATGTAACAAGTTCATAATATCGCATTGATACTTACTAAACGTGCATGTCATTTTTAAATTATTTAGTAAAAAAAAAAAAACAAGATTTTCACTAGTTGATATTATACTTTAAGGACTGCAGAAAAATATCTTTTAGGTGCACTGATTTATACTCGTATTATTAAGCTTATCGATTTTTCCAACGGTATACACTTACATTTAGGCTCGTTTCACACTACACGGTTTTGACCGTACGGCAAAAATCTGGACGACAAAATTCGAATCAATGGCTCTTTACACATTATACGGTTTTTAACGTACGGTAAAACACGATTTATGCACGATTCCTATGCTTCGTATACTATTGTACAGGTTTAGTTTTATAAGAACATTTAAGTCACGCGTTATTATTAATGACTGACAAACAAATTATTGCACTATGGTTATTTTTTTTTAAGTTTTATTTTTAATACATACAATCAATAAATAAAATTTTACAATAAGCATGTTTGAGGATTTACGTATATTTGGCATGATTGACATGATGAAGTAATCACTCAACGGCAAAACTTACTGGCTGGAGGGAATTATTGTTATTTCAAGTCACGGTTCCAACTATGTTTTAATCTTCTAGGTGGATTTCCAGAAATGGATACAGAGTTTAGAGCAAGAATTAGAGGGTTAGAGTGGTTTGTAAGACGGACACGGAAAAGTTTATAGGAATTGTTGGCTTCTTCTTGAAAAGTGAGCATTTTTAAGTCTGAATGTAAGGTGTGGTTTGAAACATACGGAGGAGCACATATATTCACACGTAATAAGATCGATTGGAATGTTTGAATTTTATAAATGTTAGATTTTTTAGCTGCACCCCACAGTTGGATACCATATATATGTATATTTAATAAAAATTAATGAATAGGTCATATTTTAAGATATGATGGGCTACTATTATTAATCTTATAAAGAATAATCGATGGAAAAAATTATAGAGGAAGAACAAGATTGCAATACATAAGTTAGATAATAGAAGATTTAATTCATATCAAAAGTTGAAGAAGAAGAATAGTGTTAGAGAAACATGGAAGTTACTGCAAACTAATCATTAATGATTATTATTATATTGAATCTAATTAGATAGAATACTGCAGAGAGAGAGAGAAAGAGAGATATTTACATTAATACATATACTACAATATGATCATCAATTTGTTTAATTATTATTAGTTATTTGAATTATTAAATAAGTCTATATAGTATAAGTTCTATAAACTAATTATTTACATTTTTTATGTTTATTAAAGATTTTCTTCAATTAAATGGAATTGTGACGAACACTTCAAAATAGATTTAAAAGCTTGGAGAATATTCAAGAAACCGGGAAAATCATAATTAAATTATAATAAATAATACAAAATATTAAAAGAATTGAGTTAGTTAATTTTATAGTATAGTAATTATTATTTAAAAGGTTTTATTTCTTTATATTTATTTACGTTTATACTGTGCACACACGACACAGCATGAGCACACATGATCGGTCTGTGCGTGCGCTAGTGTGGACGCGGCTATACAAGCTTTTTGGGCGTGAAAATGTCTATACTGAGCCAGTGGCGGAGCTAGGGGTGTGCGAGCTGTGCGGTGGCATAGAGCCCCGCGCTTCCTGAGGCCCCGCAGTTAACAAAAAGTCGACCAAAATCTGTAGTTAATTCACGATTTACTATGAAAAATCGGGGCCCTGGAGTAAAATTTACAAGTATAAACCCGAACACCGTTTATTATTATCAAATACTTCAAATTAAATTTTACCATGAAATAGTCGTAATCTGGGACATGCTATATAATGATTAAACACTATGCCGATAGCGCGTAGTGAATTGTTTACAGAAAAAAAAAATAATTAACATAATTGTAAAACCATAAGATGCTTTGCTTCATTCAGAATTTAAAATATTTTTACAATTAATTTGTACTTCTTGAGAACACTTAGTCATAATTTTCTAAATAGTTCTTAAACCAAACATTTTTTATTGATAGGAAAATAAAGAAAATTGTAATTTTTATTTGTATTATAAGGTGATAACGCTTTTGTTACATCTTTTTTATTTTTACAAGTATTTAATTGAAGACTTCAGTCAAAAAAAAGTAGAAGCAGGGCCGGATTAATCCATGATTAATACTACTGCTATGCTATGCTACCCGATCGAGAATGCCCACCCAACATTAATGACATTTTAACCAAGTTTCAAGAAGCAAAATATCTAAGCTCAATTGATCTCGCAGCGGGATATTGGCAATGACCACCCCGAAATGACTGTAGAGAGATAACAGCTTTTCTACACCGAGGACGAAACTACAAGTTCCAAGTATTACCTTTTGGGCTAATAATCTCAGTTATACAGAATTTCAAAAGACAATAGATAAAGTATTAGGACCAGAGGTGCTACAATTTACAGCGGTATACGTGGACGACATTCATGTTACCCCAACCAGTTTCGGAGAACATCTTCAAAGACTGAAAACGATTTTTCAAAGATTTGATAAATATAATATAAAAATCAATCTGACTAAATTACATTTTCTAAGGGACAAAATACTTTTTCACAGTACGATTTCGAGTAGATTTCACACAAATCAGTCGCCGAGTTCGGTCAGTTACGAGAAATCGAATCAGTTATGTTCAGTTTGTTGTACCAAACACGTGTTTACACATAGCGTATTAAATATTTTTTATATATTTTTGTTTATTTAGTTTAATAATAGTAAAATTATAACGTTAATATGGCAAATTTCACTGACGAAGAATTATGTATTATCGCGATCATTTTGGACGAGGAAACCGAAGAAAAAGAGAAGAAGACTCCGAAGAGACGAAAGTGGATGCATGAGGTATGACAAAAAAGAGATGGTGAATAAGAATTCTTGACATTATATATAATGAACTGATTGAAGATGGAATTAAATTTTATCAGTATTTCAGAATGTCTGAATATTGTTTTAATACGTTACTTGGGAAATTGTATAAATATTTAAAAAAAAAAAGAGAGATACACATTGGGGAAAAGCTATAACACCAAAAGAACGGTCAAAGGACGGAGACGCCGTCCATCGAAACATAAAATATCAACGAGAATTCAAAAGTTCGCGGATCTGTGAACGGATAGAAAACGGATGAGTGTAGATGACGCGATATAAATTTAGTGAAACGTTATTTTCCATGACTGAAACTGACCCAACTTCTCGGAACTCAACCGTCTCGTGACTGATATGTGTGAATGGACCTTTATCAAGCAGTTCGGTCGACTTGCAAGCCAAGCTTAAAGCCGGGTTTACACGCAACGATAAATACTAGCAATTTATCGTAAAGATCGAATTGTTCCAATTTATCGTTGCGTTTAAATAGGATATTGTAGCGATTTATTGGAATTGGAATTGGATCGGATGATTGATGCCGACCGGCATCAATTTTTGCGAATCGTAACGATATTTGTTATAAACATGTAACAACCATTTATGGCTACAATTTGAATTTGCGTTGGCTGTTTACGGAGGATAGTTCGTTTTTTCGTTGACAATTGTTTTTTTTTTTTACTCAAATGATCATGGCAGAACAAATACTTTGTGACAAACAAACACCTCGAAACTTCTTGAGAGAATTTATTGAGCTATATCAAAGTTTTCTCTGCTTGTGGCTCGTTAAGAGCAAAGAATACTCGAGCAGAAATAAAAAAGGCCTTGCTTATGAAGAGATGGTTAAAAAGTACAAAGAGTTTGATCCATCGGCAGACAGAAACACTCTTATGAAAAAAATTAATGCATTGTGTACGGTTTACAAGAAAAAACTATCAAAAGTTAATAATTCGTCAAAATTTGGGGCTGGAGCGGATGACATTTATAAACCTAGTTTGTGGTATTTCGACCTGCATTTTTTGAACGACTAGGACTCTGTAAGATCTACTAGGAACACAATGGATGAAGAGGACGAAGAAACAAAACAATATATTGTAAGTAAAATTATTTTTTATTTATAGTAAAATTAGCTTAATAATAAATAATAGTAAATTATAATAATAATAATGATTAAATAATAATTAATATTAATAATAATAAATAATAATTATTAATAATTTTATCTAAATGTATAACTATGTATTAATGAATTAATGATAAATAGTGTTCAAATGAATTGTCTGTAACCTAGTAAAGTGTAAAAATCACTATAAAACTAAATAAAACTAAATTCTTACAAGCAGTTAATATAAGTTTTTTTCAAGAACTATAAATTTCAAACGTTCAATGCACTTTTTTCTTGCCAAGGAACAGATCCCTCACCGTTAAAATATGTACAGAACTTTTCTCGAATAATTTTTGCTCTTTGTAAAACTTGACCTTCTGAACGTCGTTCGAGGTTGTGTAATATATCGGGATTACACCTTGCACCTAGTTGAATAGTACCATCCATAATATTTTCGTGATCAAAACATTCAAGAGAGGTGTAGGAAACTGATTTTTTGCGTAATAAATTGTGCAAGGCACAGCATGCGAGAACTACTGATCCAATAGTTTCCACATGTAAATTCATTTCAGTGTTAAAAATACGAAATCTTGATGTTAAAATTCCAAAATTGTGCTCAACCGAGAGCACGGCGAATGGTTGAGAACAATATATGCGATAGTTTCATATTCTTTTCTCGTTATTATGTGAATCTCGACTGTAAGACTTAATAAGATCGGGTCGTATTGCAAAAACATCATCCCCCACAAAAACAAGGTCAAGATCGAAGCTTACTGGTTCAAGTGCAGGAATATCCAATTAGTTATTAACAAGTTGTTCGTAGAAAATAGTGTTATTTATCACACCTCCGTCAGATATTCTACCGTTCGTTTCCACATCACAATATATAAATTCGTAGTAAGCATTTGTGATAGCCATTAAGACTATACTATGTGTCTTTTTGTATTTGTAGTATTAAAAACCACTATCCTTTGGTGGAACGATCTGGACATGTTTTCCATCAATCGCACCCAAACAATGAGGAAATTGCCACTTCTCTTCAAAATCTGAAGCGATTTTCATCCACTCATTTGCTGTTTTAAGAAACTGGAACAAAAAGTTTTTTTAGATTCTGAGCGGATCGATGTGTATGTGTGTTTTCAACAGTATCTTATCTGATAGGAAAGTGAATCTAGTTAGTACTTTGGGGGATGAATGTTATTATTCATTAATTATTATTTCATTAATATTGTTAATTAATATTTATATTTATTAATTTTGATGTTAAGAAAATAAATTTATTAAAAAGCATTTTTTTGCTTATTTCACTTATATTTTTAAAGAATATTACAAGATTAAAATAATATATTTAAGAGAATATCCGCACTCTAGTTATATTATTATATTTTCATCCACTACGCTAGTTCCAAAATTTGTAATAAAAGCATGTTTTTCATCGAGAGTGCATAGCGTTCAAGACCATGATAGTTACTTTATTCCTTATCACTAATAAGTAAACTAATTTATTATCATTACAATATGAATATATTCTTGTTATCAGTATTGAGAATTGGAATTATTTTCAAATTATATTTTATATTTTTATGTTTATTTAAATTTCTTACGTTATATTTTGTATGTAGTTCTTTAACATTTTATATGTAACTTATATACTGTTTGTCTACATAAATTTTAATTATTAACCTCTATATTATTACTTCCTTAGTATAATTTACTGATCAAATTACTTAATGTTTCTTTGTCTGTCTACTGTGAAATTTAACTCACGTTTATTATTAATTATTTTGGCCTTGCTGGTCATAACACCGTTGATTGGTCATTATTATCTTTCAAAGGTTATTGTTCAATTAAAAGAGTACTAAATATATATTATTTAAAATAAATATATATATATACCTTCCAGGAAGAAAAAGATGGATTTGAAAACTCTTATAATACACATTCAAAAGTGGAAGCTTATGAAGACTATGGAGTTCTTAGAGCTACCGACTTAAAACATAGAATAGCTGAACTAGTTAGAATAAAAAGTATTATAAATTACACATGGATAAAGTATGAAATATGCATTTTATTTATCATGAATTATTATATTGTTTTAGATTCTGTAAATAATGAGTTAAGGAATATTGAGGGCAAACGACAAAAACTTCTTAGTGAACTCTCTCTAAACCATAAAAAAATTGAAGATGCCAAAACAGAGCTCATACGACAAGAAGCAGAGTTAGAAAAACTTAAAATTTCTGTTAAACAAGTAATAATTAAATTAAAAAAATAATTAATTGTGAATAAATTAAACTTTTCAAAAAATAAATACTAGTTATTATTTAATCTTAGGCTCAAGTTGCAGAAAATGAAGCTGTTGCACAGAATTCTCCCCGTCTTGCTCCACCAACTGTTATATTACCTGCAAACCCTCCATCATTCATACCTTTAGTTAAGACTCATTCTTATAAGTGTCATAATATGAAAAATTGTTTTGATTATTCTCGATGTTCTTTAACATCAGGGTTTCCATTTTATTTTTACCATTCTGAAGAATTTTCTGAATTAGTTTCTACTTCATTAAATAAAATTGTATTTCAGGTTTTACGCTACAATCCACATTTTACCAATAGTTCAGATAAAGCTTGTATTTATGTAGCTCTAATTGGTGAAACTCATAATTCTATTAACACAACTCAATTAAATCAGCTTCCATTCTGGGGGGGTGATGGTAGAAATCATATTCTATTTTATTTAAGTAAAAATATGTATAATAGGCCAAATTTTGATCAAAATATAAATTTCGGGCGTGCCATAATTGCTCAATCATTTTGGGATGAAAAAAATTTTCGTTTAGGCCATGATATATTATTACCTGCTAGTTTTGGACCTCCTGGCGGAGATGTATGGATGGATTCTCCGTACATGTTGCCAGCAAGAAGAAAATATCTTTTGTCTTTTGAAGGATATAAAAATGTTAACTCATCGAAGAACCAACAAAGCTTTGGTAAATCATATATTTATTTATAATTTAGAATTAAATTGTTATTATTTTTCAATTTACTTTATTTTTAGTCGAAATGGTACAAACATTTTTAACACAAACAACCATTGATCAATTTTACATAAAAACTGATTGTAAAAATAACAGAATTGGTAGCAATGTATTTGACTGGTGTTTGTGTGGCAATGAAACTAAACGCAAAGAGTTCCTTACTCAGTCTACTTTTACTTTGGTCCCTGCGCCTTTAGATATTGATATGATATCAACTGCAATGATGCAAGCTCGAATTTATGAATCATTAAAATTTAGTGCAATTCCGGTATTTTTAGAACACGACAGAATTGGATTACCTTTTGATGAAGTAAAATTAGTTTTTAATATATAAAATTGTAAATATCGAAAGAAAAACTGTATTTCAAAATATATTAGGTGATTGATTGGTGTAGAGCTGCTGTATGCATAGTAGGAGAAAGAGTTCCAGAACTGCATTGGCTGTTAAGGACTATTCCTGATAATGATATTCTGATGATGAGAAGACAGGGTAGAATGTTGTACGAAAAATATTTTGGAACTGTACAATCTATTTTGGATACTACTCTTGCTCTTATACGTAATAGAATTGGTATACCACCATTGCCAGTGATTGATGTACCATCACCTAGTATATTCAGTGAAAATTTTAAAGTGAGTTTAATTGTAACTAAAAATTTTATTTTATTTTAATATTTATATTTAATTTAGCCAATTAAAATGGATCCTATTATTCCGGATGCTGAGCCAGAAGAAAGCTTAGGTCCTTTGGAACCACCTTTTAAGTCTCCAGATTTTAAAAGAAATTATACAATAATGAAAGTTCAAGGTTATGAATTATGGAATGGTTGGGGAGATCCATTTAAACTTTACCCTTATACACCTTTTGATCCATTGCTACCATCAGATGCAAAATTTATTGGTTGGTAAATTTATTTTTGAATTAATTGTGTATTATTTTTTAAAACCTAAAATATATTGTCTTTTGTGTAGGATCTGGTAAAGGTTTTCGGCCAGTAAACAATGGAGCTGGTGGTGCAGGTAAAGAGTTTTGTCAGAGTCTTGGAGGAAACTCACCACGTGAACAGTTTACTATTGTAATACTCACTTACGAACGGGACCAAGTAATTATAATATAATATGATTCATACCTGTTTTTTTAAAATTTGGAATAGTTATTCATTTACTATATTTTACTAGGTGCTTATGAATTCACTTAGTAGATTGAATGGTTTACCTTATTTAAATAAAGTACTTGTTGTATGGAATTCTCCTAAACCACCTCTTGAAGACTTACGATGGCCAGAAATTGGTGTACCTATACATGTTGGAATTTATTTGATTTTAATTTTTTATAATATTTTATATATAAATAATATGAATTTCTTCTATGCAGGTCATTCAGGCAGCTAAAAATAGTCTTAATAATAGATTTTTACCTTATGAAGCAATCGAAACTGAAGCTGTATTATCAGTTGATGATGATGCTCATTTGAGACATGATGAAATCATGTTTGGATTTAGGTAAATTTTATATAATTTTTTTCATCTTTGTATATTTTATATAAATTATTTATTTATATTAACATATTATTAAGGGTTTGGAGAGAACAGCGAGATAGAGTTGTAGGTTTTCCAGGACGGTTTCACGCATTAGATCTTAATAATGGTGGATGGCTTTATAATTCAAATTATAGTTGTGAATTATCAATGGTTTTAACAGGCGCTGCATTTGTACATAAATATTATTTATATTTGTATTCCTATTGGTTGCCTCAAGCTATTAGAGACAAAGTAGATCAGTATATGAACTGTGAAGATATAGCAATGAATTTCTTAGTGTCTCATGTCACCAACAAACCTCCTGTTAAGGTAGCAGTAAATAAAAAATTAAAATTTGTTGTTATAATAATATAAATATAAATTTTAGGTAACTTCTAGATGGACTTTTCGCTGCCCTGGGTGTCCAGTATCATTGTCTGAAGATGAAACCCATTTTCTAGAGCGGCATAAATGTATAAACTTTTTTACTCAGGTAAAATGCATTGATCTTATTTTTTGATTGTTTTCTTATTCTTAAACAAGTTACAATAATCATGTTTACATATTTAAACTATTTATCAATTCACATCAAAACATCATTTTTACTACTTTTTATCATTAAATATGCATTATGTTTTAGATATTTGGATATACGCCTCTTTTAAATACGCAGTTTCGAGTAGATTCTATACTATTTAAAACACGAATACCACATGATAAACAAAAATGTTTTAAATTTATTTAATATTTATAACTATAAGATCCAGGATTTGTTCAGTCTACATTTCTGACCGTTTGTGACTGTAATATGAAGAAACAAGACTGATAATTTTAAATTTAACGAAAAAATATAGTAGACATTTCTTTTGTTTAAATATAATCATGTTTTATGTAAAAGATAGACTATTGTAATAGGTAAACACATTAAATAGCAGTAAAGCTTGTATCTGGTTGCCTAGTTACCGTGTCATAACAATACATGTACTCTTTTCCAGTTCTGTTATTGACTAATTTACTATTGTTTTTAAAAATTATAGTTATTATTATTTATTATTATATTTAAATTTATAGTATAATTGTATTGAAATAATATGATTTATAATAAAAAACAATAATCATGGTAAATTGTTCATTATTACCTAATTTTTAAATCCTATTGTTTAATTTTGTATCAAAAATTATTATTTCTAATTTATAAATAAATAAAAAAATATTTTATATATAGAAATAAATAAATAAAAGCATAGCCTGGAGTATTATTATATTTGTAAAGTAAGGTTTTGAATTAAAAATTCAATATACCATCAGGTATATTCAAAGTTAATAAAATTGGGTTCAAATTTAAAAAAATTAAATTACAATTCAATGAGTTACTAAGTTTTTATTTATTTATTTCTAAATATAAACAATTTTTTTATTTATTTATATAATAATTTATGACTAATAACCATAAATTAATTTTTTATTTATTATTTTCAGGAGGGTAATATTTCTGTAAATGAACATCATAAAAATGTCATTAAAACTTATGTTGAATTCATGTCTCACCAAAAAAATCAATCTATTATAGTAATTAATAAAATGTTTGAAGAAGTTTTTAAAACAAAGTACTAATCTGTAAAAGATTTTTAATTAAAACTGCATTTATTTAAAATAAATTTTTTTTTAAAGTTTGTTAGATGAAACTTTCACAAAAGAAGAAGTAAAGAATATTTTGAATAATTTAGAAAAAGTACTGACACATGAAATAAAATGTGAATTATCTGCATTTACTAACACCAATCTTTTAATGATGTATCAATTTTTTCAACAAGCTGAAAAGTGGCACCTAAGGCTCAATGCAGATATATCAGAAATGCAAAATAAGTATAAAATATATTTTAATATTTATTGGTTGAAATTCTAAATATAAATTATGGATTTATAGAGAATTATTGTTAGAGATGGAAAGAATTGAATCCAATTATGACATAATGAACCAAACATTAGAAAAAAAGAAGCTTTTACCAATTACTGATCACATTACCAATGATTTTGCAGAAATGCTACAAAAAAGATTACAACAACTAGAAAGTCATAATTCTAAACTGAAAACAGATTTGAAATTTTTGGAAGACAATGTAAAATGTTTATTTGTATTAAACAAAATCAAAAATAATTAAATTTATGAATATGTTTTAGTATAATCAATTAAGTAAGGAAAATCAAACACTCAAATTACAAATTGAAGAACAAGGAAATCAAATAAGTTCTCAGAAAAATGTAGTTGAATGTGAAGTTCAGACTCAGAATATATTTTATGTAAGTAGATTTATAAAAAAAAATTGTGTAAATTTAAGAATTTTAAATAAAAGTTGTTTACATTTAGGAAAAAACAAATGATCATGAAGAATGTAAAATTACTTTAAATCAGTTAAAAAATGAATTAATAATAGTGCAATCACAATTAACATTGTCAAATTTGGTACGTTTATTATATATATACACCCATATAAAATAAAAAGTAGATTTAGATAAATAATGTTGATTAAATTAATACATTTTTATTTGTTATATCGCAAGTTATAGTTATACTATTTTAATAACTAAATATCATTACCATATCGTATACATTTTACTTACTTTGAATGCCATTCATTTATAAATACTTAAGTTTAATCTTAAATTATTAAATTATTTATTGACAAAATATAATAACAATTCATAGATTATATTTTCTACAACTCCATTAAAACTAAACAATTTAAATATTCATAAATAATTACCCAATTACTGGTTTGATATATTTAATTTGTATGAAATAATATTTTCAGGTTACTATTCTGTTTTTATATATGAAATAAAATATATTTTGTCATGTATACAAATAAATAACTTAGTAAAATGTAATAGTAAATATGATATTTCATATTTATGTTTTTTTATTTCAAAATTTTTTTTTAAAAATTGTGATTACAAATTATTGTAAAATGTATTGTAGTTTTTATGAAAATTATATCAGTATATGTTTAACATATGTTTTTTAAAATATAACATATGGAGTAATTATTAAATTTTAACATTCCCTTTTAGTTAAGGCCTTTTAGACATCTTTTATCACTAGTTATTACATGAATAAATATAAATTATGCAGTCATATTTTAATCTGTTGCAACAAAGACAATTGTTATAATCATTAAATAAATTACTTAAATCTTAAATATAATAATAATTAGAATGATTAAGTTTTTTTTTTTTTTAAGGAATTGGAAAGAAAATTTAATGACACTGCAGCATACAATAATATGAAGAATATAATAACAAAAAAAAATGAACAGGTTCGCAGCCTAAGAGATCGTTTGCTCGTTTACGAAAAAGAAGACAGTGAAGAAAATGTTTGATTTGAACTTTAATTAGTTATGAACGCAATAGTTTATAATACATGTTAAATACTTAGTTAGATAACAGCCATATTCTGATAACTAAAATCTAGTTATTAATTAAATACTTAGGTACTAATATATAAATTAACAACATAGTATTAAGTTTTCAAGAAAATTTATATGTATAATTCAAGTACTAAAAATATAAAATACGTATAGACACAAGTTTCAATACCTACTATTGGTATGTTACTTGGTTTGTACCAGAAAGTTTGGTCACACTCCTATTAGTCATGTTATATAATTCATATTATGAGTCAACTTGAAAGTTCAGTGTATTCTATGAGTTTGCTCGTTTCGATTTACTAAAAAATATTTAATGAACAATTAAGTTAATAAAATTAATTGATAATTGACATTAAATAAAAAATAATACGATTATTAATAGGTAACATACAAAATTGATCATGATTATTTAATTCCTTAATCAATATAATCTTATATAATCTTTAAGTTAAGTTTTTCTAGGTTGTCGACCAAAAAAAAAAAAAGTCGCTAAACAAAAATATAATTTATATACATGCATGTTACACTTCCTTTATTTCTTTTGTTTAAAACATTTATAAGTAATAGTAATTAAGAACACTTCTTTATTATTTTACATAACATGTATTTTAATACGCTTTTTATCAATTATTGTGATGGCGTCTGAGCGCAGGGGCGCAATTTCAATGAAAAAACTGGCGGTGCTGAAGCTCTTCTATCTTTTTCATGTTCCTTAATGGTTATAGACACCCGCAAACCATATAATTCAACAGTTACTAAAATATTTGGTAAATATATGAATATTTCTAAATTTAAATTGTTCACTTTGATTTTATATTTTTATTGTGCGTATAACGAATTACCAATCTGTAAACACAAATGTTTTACCACATGATTACTTTTAGATTCTGTCTGTAGCGAAGGATATTATGGTTTTATAATGATGTTTCTATTTTATTTATTAAACATTTTTTCGGATAGAAGTACTGGTCCAAATTTTTTTTTTTATGACCTTTTTTAGATTTTAAATTGGCATGCGGCCAAAAAAAAAAGATTCTTTAAAATCTTAATAGTTTTTCTGGGCATGAGGAAAACACTGTCCTGAAATGGTAAAAATACGCTGTAAATAAGACTTTCACATTTCAAATTTTATTTATTTAGTCATAATTCCAAAAGTAATGTGGGTAGAAACTTGAAACTTTTACCGTTGGGAGTTTGATAGGTACTTATTGCTTTGTTCTCAGACTAGTTTATGATCCTACTTCTAGAACAGGGCGATTGATTTATTGTTGATCATTTCCTATTGCACTGTTAGAATTGGTTTCATTTCGCCACAAGCTTTTAATAATACTGTGTTGGGCTGCACATGTTACCAATTTTTCAATTTTTGCTTCCAGGGAAACGATTTGTGTTGCTACGGTTAAGGTGGTTCCAGTCGGAAAAAAAAATCGTTTTTAGACCCTCCGCTCTGACAAGATAGTGAGACTTTAGATGGTTTGATTTTAATGAAGTAAGAATAATAACATTTCTTAACATCTCTTCTAGAGAACGGTCGGAGCTTTTTCTTAATGTTTGAACTTTTGACAATATTATAATATACAAATTTAAATTTTTACAACATTTTTGTTCAACCATACGTATTGAATAAATTTATATTTCTAAAAAATTCTTCGACCGTTTTTTAGAGAATATGTTAATAATTGTTAGGATTGTTACGGAATCAAAATCGCACCAACCAAAGTTTTACAATTTTGTCACATAAGAGGTAGGTTTTAAATTAAAATTAACCGTATACTTTTTCATAATTTAATATATTGACATGTGCCTGCGAGTGCAAGAACGCCGATAACATATACACTGTGGTGTGTGCTCACACACACTAATGTTCATTTACACTCGTACACATTGACATGATCCTGTTGTACTTGCTATATAATTTGTCTAATTCTTATTCCTCAGAAAATAACCAACTGGAATCGTCTTGGTCTATCTGGGAACAGCTAGATATAGCCCTTCGCAGAGGCGTATATAAGAGGGGTTGGGAGTTTAACTTCCTCTATTGTCAAAAGCTCAGCTTATAAATAAATAGATAATAATGAAAATAACTATTACCTAAATATATCAAGCCTCCCCATAAATAACTTTTACCGACACCCATGACCCTTCCTGTCTCCTCGGGTTTTATTTTATTAATAGAGGTATTTAAAATTTGGAGGTCACTCATTTCCAGAAGGCAATGGCTGAAAGATCCAGAATCTTGTCCCTCTACCTCCCGGGGGATAAATATTTTATATGCTTTATTTAGATCTTAATATAATGCACATTAAATTACTGCTGATCTGTATGTAAAGTAGTAAAAGTGAACTGAACTAAACGATTAGTGAAATAGAAAACATACAACTGCGTGAAATTGTATCTAGCGAATAATATGAATTCTTCATTCCCATTTGTATTTTTTATTAGATATTAAATTGAAAGATGCAGTATATCTTTTAATTTATAATATATTTATCCTCTGTTTTACAAATAAACAAATAAATATCAGTGATGACACAGTATTAAATTTAAAATTAATTATTTAAATAATTCAGACGGTAGTACAAAATCAAAATGGACAAGGCTCGTACTATCTTCATAATATCATTCGTATACAAAAAATAAAATAAAATGTATACACTAAATAGGTATACATACGAACTATGAAGTAACCACTTGATATTAATTAAAACAAATAATTTTAGGAAGCAGATGCACACAGGGACTCGCATCATTGAATCCAAACAGTATTATATTAATATTTAAACGTTAAAATCATAAATTGAATGCTTATAGTCAAATTGCCCTCTGAAATTAATCATTATAATTATATATTTAATTAAATATTAATCATTATACCACCAACAAGAATTAAATGTTCATATGTATTCAGTATTAATGTTCATACGTAGTTCCTATATTATGCACATAAACTGTTTTTTTCTAATGTTCCTTCTAAAATTTGGATTACCTACTCCTCCAATGATTTGTTCTACCTACAGGCTTGCATCAATACAGATAAATCCATTACGTATATCAGTTATATGTTATTTTATATGTCTATGGGTCTTCTTCTCTTCCTCTTTCTCTTAACTATTTGGGAACGACCACCCTTGATTTAAACTTCCAACATCGCACATACCAACGGCCTTCATATAATTCTTAATCGTATCGAACCATCTCTTTTTTGGTATTACTTTTCCTCTTTTCCTTTTAACGTTAATTTTTATAACAACTCTTACTGCATTTTTTGGCTGCATCCGAATTGCGTGCCAAAAAAAATGAACACAAAAACATTTTTCTTCTTGTCTCATCACATGCCCAAACCATCTCTTTTTCTCTCATCTTGTACACTATAAATGTTACACCAACGTTTACCTCTCATATGTTCTAACCTACCACATGTCTCCACGAACTACTAAAAACTACGTAGAGGTAGGAGTAATTTTTTATATTTAAAATATTACCACAGATTATACAAAGTAATAATAATTATAAAGGTTAACAAAGGAAGCATAGAAGGAAAAAACCACAGAGGGAGACCAAGACTAGAATATATTCAACAAATAATAAAAGACCAAGGATGCAACACATTTGTAGAAAGGAAAAGGAAAGCGGATGGTAGAGAAGAATGGAAGATGGCTGCAAACCAATCTACGGATTAAAACCACAGAGAGAAAATAATTATACGTGACCTCTGCTATTACTCCGGAAAATCATAACACACGCCTTTATAATTTGTAAATATTATATAATAATCCGTGGTTGATTTTTTATATTTATTAATTATTATAAGACAAAATATCAAAAATCAAAATCGTCAAGTTATTAAATTTAATATTTAATAAGTTATTAGGTTTTTTATTTTGAAAATTATTATTTTTCTTACTGCTAAAAATTATGAGTAATCAACGACCCATTGGTGTTGGAAATCTAACTGAGTTAACGCAGGACATTTTTGATGAATCCACCACAGACAATAATGTTGGCTTTAAATCATTAGGATTAACAAGTAAAAATTTAATTAATTTCCATACAAACATTTTTATTGTATTTAATCGGTCAAGTGTTTAATTGTAGATTTACCAGTAACATTTGAAGAAGCTCAGCATGAATCAGGTAAATAAAACAAAGTTCACAATTTTGTAGTACATTTGTGTAAGTTTTTATCAAAATTATTTATTTTTTCATGGAGTAATTAATGATTTTTTTTTTAATATTTTACGTAAAAACATTTTTTTTTCATAATTATATAAAAAGAAAAAATGGAATTGAGGTGAAGTAAAGTATCTTCGTGATATAGGCAATTTTATGTTACTATTTGTTGAACATTTAATGTGATTCCCTATTACACGATTAACTAGAAAATTACATTGATCCTTAAAAACATTTTGGTCATTTTAATGATCAATGTAATTTTCAAGTCTACCGTGTAATAGGGAATTATATTATGCGTTTAACAAATAAATTAACGAAATTGCTTATTCCACGAAAATATCTCACTTCACTCTACTTGTTTTTAATTATACTTTGAAAAGTTTTAGTCTGTCTTAAGGTAACTTTACTCATCGCTTTTATATTAAGCAAAAATCACTTTTTAATTTTTATTGTATTTTAAATTGTATGTATTGTTTTTATTGAAAATTTTGTATCTTCCCATCCAGATAAGTTATTAATAATTTTTGTATTTGTTTATGGACATAACAACAAGAAATACGCACTTACGCAGAGTATCACATTTAATAATATAATATAGCTTCTAATCTTATAAGTTTTGTATTCTAAATAAAGCGAAACATATGTTGTGGAATGTATAAAAATTTATACATAAATATAGCAATAAAAAAATTTAAATAAAACTATTTTATTACTTTCTGCAGGAACTGGAATCTATCAGATTTTATTATTAATAGTATGTGGCATAGTGAATATGTCATGTAGTATATCTACGACAGCTATATCATTAATTACACCTGCAGCCGAAGTAGATTTAAATTTAAATTCGACAACTAAAGGAGTGTTAAATGGAGCACCATTTTTGGGTAAGACTACTATACAGCTATTTAAAACATGAAGTATAAACATATAAACATTAGGTTAACATTTTTTATTATTACAGTAATCCCTCGTTATTCGCGAAGGTTACGTTCAGCAAACCTGCGTGGATAACGAGACCATTAATCATTGTAAAAAGGGAGATTAGGTTTAATTTTTTTTAATTTTAAAATATAATTATTAATCAATTATTAATTTTTTTAATTCCTACAACTAATTTATTTATTATCTATCGTATTGTTACTTCATTTTTACGTATTTCTCGAAAACTAGACTCATTCATTTTGTACGTTCTAGCAAGTGACGTTACAGTACCACCATTTTTTAATTTGTCTAAAATTTCAATCTTTTGAACAAGTAATAAAACATTTCTTCTCCTTTTTATTGAAATTTTACATTGAGAAGCCATTCAAAAATATTTTCACTACCAAATTTATTAAAAACTGCTGTACACACATCATGCACAAATATTACCTTACAACTGAGCAATTGACGATTATTAATCATGCATGTGTAGGTAACCTTTTGTGGTTTATCTGCAATAAGTATAAGTATGTATAATATATGTATATGTGTTATACCTATAGCGATATAACAACAATTATTGTCAAAAATAAATTTCTACAGTGTTCGTGTAATAACGGTAAAATGTTATCGCAATTGCAATCGCATTAATAATATGTTATCGTGAACCCAATCGCGGATAATCGAAACCATGGATAACGAGGGATTACTGTATTATTAGTATGAAAATTATGAAAAATATAAAAATGATTATTACTATACTTAGCCAAACAATTTTTTCTTTAGGAATGGTGTTTGGTGCATATTTTTGGGGAGTTTGTGGTGATATGAAAGGAAGGCGGTTTGTTATTTTGGCTTCAATGGGAATGGATGCGTTGTGCTCTGTTCTTTCTTCTTTGACACAGGATGCTTTATATTTTTTAATAATTAGAATAGGAAATGGATTCGCGTAAGTTATTTAAAATACTCGAATTAAATAATGTATGTTTATCCTACAGTTTTTTTTCAAATTCAGTTATTTAAAATTCAATATGACTTTATGATTTTACAAGCCGAAACATATTATTTTAAATAGTTTTGAAACAGTAATTAAGCTTTTTAATTGTTTATAAAAATAAATTTCTCGTTAAGCTATAAATTCAAAATAATAATTCTGGGATTATGAGAGAAGTGTGTCCTTGTGTCAAGTATACCACTATTATGTAGTCTCACAAGAACTTTATTTTCAGTATAATTGGTGCTACTTGTATGATTTATGTGTATTTTGGAGAATTTTTATCACCCAACAAAAGAGATATTTATTTACTTTCCCTCGAAATATTTTGGGTTTTAGGAATAATCGCAGGACAAGGTAAACATGTATACTATTTATTTTACATAATCCAAGCTAATAAATTTTAATGAAAATATAGAATTTTAATTTAGGAATAACATTTTTTTTTTCAAATTCATCCCAACAATGTTGTAATAATGTATAATATATACATATGTATATGTACTTATTCATACTTTAGGTATAGCTATGGTAATAATTCCCAGTGATCTAGTTTTGCTGTCAAATACTTATATTGTATTCAATGCGTGGAGAGCTTTTATATTTTTATCATCTATACCAAGTTTCATTGGATTCATATTGATTTACTTATACCCAGAATCTCCACGATATCTTATGTATAGAGGTCGTATGATCGAATCAAGAGATATTCTTGAAAAGATTTATATCGTAAACAACAAAAATACAGTTGCATCATACCCGGTATTTACAATATATTTATCACATATTTATAGTTTTAATAAATAAATTAGTTTAAAATATTATTTTAAATAGATTAAACGATTAATTTAAAAAGTTTTTTAATAAATTATCAAACACTTGTATATTTACAAAATTACATATTTACTGTAGAATTATTATTTAAATTTAAATGATTAAGTTATTATTGTAATAAATTATTGTAGTAAATTATTATTATTTTTTAGTAGTTAATAATTATAAAATTTAAGGTGACAAGTTTCACTCAAACCTATTCAGCAATTGGATTTAACAGAGCTTATATTGAAGGAATTCCATTTATGACAAATCTCAAGATAAGATTAATTACTTTAAAAAATGGTCATAAGACTTTATTCACCTCTTACGGTCGAAAAATTATTGTCACGAGTGTTATTGAGTTTTGTTTAATGGCATCGTAAGTATTTAAAAATGTTCTGTACAAAACCATGGAGATTGCTAATTGTTTTATTCTAATACCTACCTACAAATTCTTTTGTCATAATAATAATAAATATATTATAAAGATATGGTTAAAGATTATAGTACTAAAGTTTCTATTTATAATATACTTTTTTGACAATAGATTTTGTTACAACTCTTTTAAGTCAAACATATTGTTGAAAAAAAAAATGATAGATTTACACATACGTATATATATAACCCCAAAAATAATTGATCAATAACAAAACTGCAGTGGTCTACTTAATGGACGAAGAATTTATTTTTTTTTATTTGTGCATTTCAGATATATTGCCGTTCTTTTATGGTTACCAGAACTGTTTTCTAGATACTACGAATTTAAAAAAAAACGGTTAGAAGATGTATATATATGCACAGCTTCAGAATGGGTATTGAAATACCAGAGTAATGATACAGTTAGAGAGGTTTCAGCCGACGCTTATTTTGCAGCTATGCTTGTGTCTTTGTCTACAGTACCCCCCATCATAATCACCGGAATCTTAATTAAATATGTTAACAAAAAAATTTTGTTATGTACGTATATTACATTTAAAATGTAAAAACACATTATTTTGCAGGTTTATTGGCTTAAGATTGAATGTGTTACGGTTACAAAATTGTATTACTTATTTATTATTAAATTAAGGCTTCAACTTCAATGGTTATTATTCTGTGTGTAGGTATTTAAAAAAAGAGTTAGACAATTTTGATATGAATAAGATTACTTTTTGATGAGATTTTTTTTGCTAATATTTTTGCTGAGAGCCTCTTCCATATTCTATCGTATGGAATGGTTACCTCTTGTATTCTGGTAATCTGTGCAGATGGATAAGAAAGTTTTGAATTTTTTAGCACGGGGAGGTGGATTTTTATTAATTAGGTATAAATAGGTTTTGGAGAAGTGTCCAATTCTGAATTTTGTTATGAAGATTTCATGGCACCTCATGAAGTTCTGAAGGATGTGCTATTTTTGGTACTTTTCTTGGTCTTTAAAAGTATGTTGGAGGGTGAAATTAAGTCCAAATAATTTTACGGTATTATATGCCTACATTTTTTGTTCGATAAGAATTTTAATATCATTGATTAGTAAATTGGTTAATATTAGTAACCATGTAATTTCCATATTATTTTAGTTTGAGTTTAGTTCAGTTTAGATGTTTTTGGTTTTTTCGTTTGTGGGGAGAAGGTTTTGAAGGACTAAAAGAGAAACTGAGTAAATTACTTAGGATTAGTATATCGTTTGAAATACTCGTTTTGGCGAATATAATTCATGGGCCCAACTAGTGCCTAAATATTTGGGGTGCTGAAATTTCTGAAAATAAAATTTAAAGATATTTCACTGTAATTATTATAGATTATGTAGATCTGATAGAACAGGAATGCTTAATTTGAACTCATGGGTGCTAAAATGATATAATTGTTTCATAAATTGTTTGGTTTTCTGCAAAGAATATATTAGTTTCTGAGGAGAGTTTGTGTTGTATTGAATAACTTCAAAGCTACCTTCTTATGTTGATTCAAATGCATCAATATACATTTTTTTGAAGTAAGAAAATGCACTCTCAATAATTTCATAACATTTTGAGGTGATAATTTTTGAATTTTTTTTTGTTTATTGTACCTTAATTGGTCAGAATTTAGTTTAATTTACTAAAATTAAGGAGGATATTTTTGAAATATAATTTTATTTTTTATAGATATATAGATATTAAATTTATTGCTCAGATGAGAAAATATGTTTTGTAGGTAAGGCAGTGGGTTCTTTACGAGGTTCGCTGTATCTGTATTTTTGTTATTAAAAATGTTTTAGTATCCTATACGATTTGGAATACTTTTTTATTTTTTTATTTTTACATAATTTAAAAGATTTTATCTGAGGCGTTTGAGAGATAGTTCATCAGCATAATATAGAATACTACCTATTGGACTGGTTCTAAATATTCCTATTGATATGTGTATTTTTTAATTAAAAAAAGTATTAAATGATTTTAATTTATAAGTTATATTTTAATATTAAAGAATCTGGGTTATAGATAAAGTAATAAGTGTTATATTATTATTATTTATTTGGGTAGGGGGGCATAAACTATATGCCGGGGGCGCCAAATTTTTAAATACGGGCCTGACTGTGTATAACTATTTTATTTAAGTAGTTGGATTAAAATTATTTTTAAAAATCTTATTTAACAAAATGCAAAATTTAATTTACTTTATTTATAGGTATGAGTTGTGGAATTCCAATTATATCAGTGGCATTAATAACAATAACCAAAAATGATTTACAAGCAGAAATAATGTGCTGCATTTTTGAAGGATTTACAACCTTGACTGAGCCTATTTTGTTTGTTACAATGGTTGAGCTATTTCCAAGTAATGTAAAGTAAGTTATAGTAAAATAACTTTCAGTAAATAGTACTACATAATCAAATGTTAATTTTATTCAGAGGAGTGGCATTCTCTATGACTGTAATGATTGGTCGATTAGGTGCTATATTTGGAATAATTGTTTTTGGTATATTGATTGATAAAAATTGTACTTTGACATTTTATCTCATAGCTGCTTTATTATTTAGTAAGTATCAGAGTATAGCATATTAAATAGTCTTATATGATACAAATTTATATTTAAATATTTCCTCAACTCATTTACATTTAACAAATCACTAAAACAAAAATGTCTTTATCAGTAGGTATTAGGGACAGGGACATATTTAGGGGGGGGGGGGGTGATATGGTTGTTGGAACACCCCCCATCAACCGTATTTTATGGTATTTCACCAAATTGCAAACTTAATTACAGTATAATTTTACTAAACGTAGGTATATGTAAATATAATAATTTATATAAATACATGGTATTTATAAATGTAAGGAGTAGGGGGGGGGGCAGAATCCCCATTTACTATAAGTCTATTAAATTTTAAAACAATTCCGTTAAATGAATCCTGGATACGCCACTGATTAGGGATAGGCATGAAATCCTAATATCTGAATTATCTGGATATCCGGATATTCAAATCCTGGTTTGAATCAAATTCTTATCCGGATTTATGAATTTGTTTTTTATATAAATTATAATTATTTTTAATTTCTAGTAAAATAAATTATTTTATGAATTTCAATTTACTTATCATGATTTCAACAGTTTTTATAACGTATTATTAGTTACCAAATTTACATTAAATTTATTAAATTGTTGGGTTTACTTTATGGCTGCATCCGAATTGGGTCCCGAATTTAAAATTACTACACTAGTTGGGTCCTGAATTATTTTAGCTATACACTAGTTACTGAATATTTTTTGGTAATTAGTATATTATATTAATATTTTCCTTCCCATTTTTAACAGACTTAGGACTGCCTATGATCTATTTAGACCACAGGCATTGATACATGTATATTTAATCAATGTCACAAGTATGGTAAAAAAAAAATTGTTAGTTTCTTTTCCACTAATTTAAATTTATATTTTATAATGATTATAACTTTTTTAATTTACCTATATGGCTATAATTACATTATATAATATGTATTTTTATACATGATTTTTAATATTTTTACCAACATAATTCTAATAATTTATATTTTAAAGGAAAAGAAACTAAAAAACAAAAAAAACCATAAAAAACATTTTTAATCATACCTGTGATCTAAATAAATTATAGATAGTCCTAAGTCTGTTAAAATGGAAAGAAAAATGTAGTACTTACCAAAAAATATTCAGGAACTAGTGTAATACCTAGAATAATTCAGTACCCAACTAGTGTAGTGCCTATAAAAATCCGGAACCCACCTAGTGTAGTACCTATAAAAATCCGGGACCTCACTAGTACACTACCTGTCCCTAGTACTCAAGATCCAACTCGAATGCTCCGTACTTTATACCTCTATGATTTACAGTGATATGACTGAATACCCAATTACCTTATCTTAACTGCATAACTTTTGAATGGTTATTGAATAAAATTTTCTGAAGATAAGTTGAATTTATACTACAATACAATACAAGAATGATACAATTATAATTGTTATCGATGTAATTATTTACACGAACAAGTTTTCTAACAATTATCAAATAAAAATTATCTTTAAGTATTAAAAAGCATCATGGGGAGATATATTGTAGGAATATTATTAGTAATTGAATAGAAAAATTGAATTGAATAATCCGAATAGTTCAAATAATCCATGAAATCCGGATATGCCCATCATTACTAGGTATAATAAAATCTCAATTCACCGTCAGCTTTTATTAAAACTCACCCATTGCCATAAACTCACAAAAACTAAACATGAAAATCTTATAAAAAAAAAAAAAAAACTGATACCTACAAATTAATTAATTTTATTATAAAACTAATACATATAATATTAAAATTAATATAATTTCCATTATTCATAGTTATGTACACATATGATTCTTCTTTTATCTATCATGTTTGTACCGTTACAGACCAAAGGCGTATTTGAGTTAAGCCATAGGGGGGGGGAGGAATGAAACTAATTTTTATTCAATACAAACTTAAAAATAATTTACAGTTCATTACCTACAGATTATGTTCCTGTTATAATGATAACATATATAATTATAGACTAGTAATTTATATTCTTAATTATTTATGGATTATATTTTTTAAATAAATCAATATATTATATTCAAAATAATACGAGCCATGGGGCAGCAAATGCTCCCTTCACCCCCCTTGTTTCAGACTGATAATTTAGGTTTTATTGTACTTAAATAAAATCCTAATAGTTTGCATACATTGTATATTAAAAACTTTTGTAGAGCTTTACTTAGAATTCAAACACAAGTTTGAAAGAATATCCTTTACTATACAATTTAAACTTATTTCATATAGGGTTTTTTATTAACATGTAGACTACTTTATTATTTTTTACATTATAATATTAAGTAAATTATTTATTTCAGTTGCATTTTTAGCAACAGGATTTTTACCAAGATTGAAAATTGGTGGTAGCCACTAAAGAAAAAATGTTATGTCACCAAGTATCATCAAAATAATTAATTTATAAATTAAAACAACTTAATGGGTGAAAAGAAATGAATTCATATTTTTTTTATTTTGGATTGTCAAGCTTTATGAATAATTTTTGATACTTTATTACTTGTTTACTAAATAAAAATGTTGTTAAATTTTTTTCAGATATAATGATTTATGTAATCTAGTAATTGTGAAAAACAATATTTTATCATTTGTTATTAATGGGTTGGTGTACATTTTAAAACAGAAGTAGGAAAAAAAATGTACATAATTTACATTTTATTTGTCAATGGTTACATTTTCAAGTCAACATATATGAACAGAAAAGTTGATCATTTAACATGATACAATTTAATTTTGATTAAAAATAAAACTAGAAATTTGTCTAGTTGTCTCTATGAGTTTCTAACTACAATTTATTTTAAGAATTTTCTCAAAATTGTATCATCAAATGTATTAATTAAATAAGTAAATAACTTTTAAATCAAACTAAAATTATTCTTTTTGTTTTATATTTATTATTTCAAATTTTAATAGTCATTAATTTTATTGAAATATATACTTTGGGTAAATACTAGTTCAACACAATATCAGTTGCAATGACCATTTAATTACCATAAACAACTAAAAGAAATGAAGTGAAAATAATATTAATAAAATATAAAAATATTGTATAAATTTACATTATTAGCAATAGTATAAATTATTCACTATTATCCTCTTCCTTGTTCTTTTCAGACTTCTTTTTCTTCTTTTTGTGACGATGTCTAGACCCACTTCTACTTCGAGACTTGTGTTTCCTAGAACGTTTTTCATGACTACGACTTCTAGAACGATGACGATGAGACCTGATAAAAATTCATTTTCATTAAAATAAAATTACAATTATTTATTAAATAAAAATATATTTAAATAAAGAATTTGTAATTACTTGTGTTTATATTCCCTTTCTTCTTTATAGCTTGTTTCTGGACTTTCAACACCATCACTAAAATAATTTAAAATATATTTTTCAATAATTAGGTAAGTAGTATAGTAATATGACACAATGACTTATTATTAACTAACCTCTCTCTGTGTCTACTACGTTCTCTGTCCCTATCACGTTCTCGTTCACGATCCCTATCACGATCTCTTTCACGGTACCGATTACGACCTTCACGTTCTCGTTCATATGCTCGATCTTCTGGTTCTTTTTTAACACGGGAGGCATAATATTCTTTATCTCTTACCAAATCCTATAAAATATAATAGTGAAAATTACAATCATAATTTACAACATTATTAGTTAGCTTACAGGTCTTGATTTGTTGTAAGAATCTCCATTTGCCAGCGTGGGAATGTTCTCTATACTTTTAATGTTGGAATTCCAACTCTAGTTTATAAAAATAAATATAAATAATAATAATATATAATAAAAATATATTTATGTCTTAATAATGTATCAGTTATTTATACCTAAAAATAATTTTTTAAATAAAATGTACTTTAAATATTTAATTACTTGATTCCATTGCATATCTTGAGTAGGTTCAAATGCATTATAATATGGATCTGGTTCATGTGGATAATATTCTGGTTCATAGTTAAGTGGTGGAGGAGCAAATCTAAATTATAAATTACAAAGAATAAGATAGAGTTTTTGAATTAATTTGAAGGTTCAAATTTACCCTGGTGGTGGTATTGAATTTATGGAACTTGGAATCATTGGTGGAGGTACATCAAAATTAGTTGGAATTATCGGTGGAGGTACAGATAAATCTGGAGTTGAAAAATGTTTACGGCTGTATTCTCTCCTCTCAGCTGTCATTACCTAAATTCATATATATATATATACATACACACATATATATATATACATAATTAATGAATAAATAAATATAGAATTTATAGTAATATTATTATTAACAAACAGTTTCAAAAGAAATAACTGATTTATTAAATTATTTAAAATTATTTGGTGTCACATTAGCAATATTCCATTGCCTTAAACATTTATACATTTCAAAATATTTCAAATTATATATCATTATAAAATTAACTATACGTACTTCAATTGTGTTTTCCTTGGGCGGAGGATTTGGTGTTTGAAATTTAGGGCTAGATTTAACATCTAAGGTTGGAATCAAATTATTATTTGCTGTTGTTGTAGAAGTTTGTTGGTTATGCATAGCCAATGTTGCCATTCCAACTAATGATTCATTACAACGCATTTTCCTTTGACGTTCACAGTATGCTAACCATGTGTTTTCATTAAACCCATAGTTAAAATAATCTAAATACAAAAGCAAAAAATATTAGTGTAATAATAAATTTTATTAGATAATTTATAATATGGGAGTTATAATCATTGAATATAATTATTATATCATTTTTATTAATTATTAATATATTATTATATTATATTATTATTATTATTATATATATCAAACATAATATTTATCCATAAATACATACATAATACATACTTAATAATTGCAAATAATTGAAATAATTAAAAACTTAAAGTAAAATATAAATAATAAAATTTTTAGGGATACATAATACATTTGTTAAAAAATTAAAAATTTTCTTCTTAAAATTGTTTTAAATCTATAAAATATGACCAATATTTGGAACTTTTAAAATGCATCAAAATTCTCTTCAATCTTTGTATTTAATTGCCATTTTATGGTCATTAATGAGAATAAAGTCACAAAAAAAAAAAAAATTCATCATACCAGTAATATCTGCACCAGGTTTTAACCAGGGTTTTTCTTCAGTAGTTTCAATAGAATACTCGTGAGCAGGAACACCATTTATAGTGCCCATACTTTCAAAATCTTCAACATTAAATTTTCCTTGATGCTAAAAATATAAAATATATGAATAGGAAATGTAAGAAAAAACACATTTTTACTAAATAAATCTAAAATCAAGCAGTAGTTATTTGAATTTTGGTAATTTAAAATCTTTGATAACAAAGATGACACAGAGAAAAAAATTTTCAAATATAGGTTATTTAATATTTAATTTTTCTTTTTTAGATTTGAATGATCATGACTAACACTACTAAAGTTTGAATAATTTAAAAAAAATGTAATTTTCAGGTTTCATTAAGAATCTGTGATAAAGGAATGAATATTAGGTATAATTATTATATGAGTCGTCCAGTTGCAAAAGGTAGTATGTCCAAACAAATAAAGTTTTCACAAACAGCAAAAAACTGATATTTCCATTAATATTTTATAAAACGTCACCATTTTTTTTTCATAAATATATATAAAAAAAAACATTTTACTTTTTTTAGACTATAGAAATCGTGGATAAGTAGTTTTTTAAATAATTTATATTTAAAATTGGACATATTCTCTTTTGCAACTAAAATATGGACATACTACCTTTTGCAACTGGACGACTCATATATTATATTATATGTTAATATAATATTAAATTTAGCGTATTATTTAATGATACAATAAATTGATAAAATAAGATTTTTATCACTTAATCGGTAAAACATAATACCCAAGATGCACTCAATGTTCAAATTAGAAAAACTAAAATAATATTTTCTATTCTAAATATAAAATTTGTACTTATAAAAATATTAAGTTCTTTATCTTAATCTTTTTTTTAATAATTCAATATAATTTAACATTCACTGATGATTTAATGAATATAAACATAAGAGAAATAAAATGATATGCAACAAATCATAATTAAATAATTTTGCTTACTTTACTTCCAGCTGACATTCCCGGTATATTTGTTAATGTTAGTAAGTTATTCCGTTTTAAATTTATTCCAGCAGTAGATGGACTTGAATTTTGTTGGGAAAGAGATGCCATATTGGTTTCCATTGAAGACAAAGTAAAATTTCCAGCTGCTACAACAATATCATCATCACTATCTTCTTCACTGTCTTCAGATGATATTTCTTTATCATCATTGTTTTCTTCAGTAATTTTTTCAGGAGCATCCGAGTCTTCTTCAGTTGCAGTTTCAATTGTGTTAGTTTCAACTGAATCTTTAAGAGGTTCAACTAAACTTTCAGATTGAATTCCTGATCCTCCTAAAAATATTTCTGGACTACGTGGTCGATTAGGATCATCATTAATCAATTCTTTCACAGGAGGAGGCACATCTATGCTTCCTAAAAATAAAAATTTAATTATGACAATTTTACTTAGTAAACAAATAAATCTCATAAATACAAATAAAATTAGATAAAATAGACAAAATGTGTTAGGATGATTATTAATAATATTAATACAATACACAAAATAAATATTTTTATTTTTGGCATTTTGAATTCCAAAAATTATCAAATAATTGTTATTTCATTACTGAAAGTATATAATTAATGTAAAAAAATTATATGATTTAATATAAAATATAATTTAAATTTCTAAGATTAAAAGATATAAATAGTTTGGTAGTTATTTATTCTATTAGCAAAAAGAAATGTTTATATAAATGTAAGGGTAATAAAAGGTAATGATAAATAGAATTTAATAACATTTTTTTAGAAAAATAGTTCTTATCATTGGTATATTAATTAATCATCACAACCTGATAGTTTTTTAACTCATAAAAATTTATAAATAGGAACTAAGTAGCTAATATTCTACTTCGAGGGATATTTTTGAAATTAATTATGCATGGATATAAATATTTTGAACTTGTAATTTCAATTATAAAGAAAAACAAGTTAATTAAAAAAAAAACTTTTATTTTTAACTTAATATATCATATCCGTTGATATGCAATAGTTATAATTCTTATATGTATTTAATTCATTTAAAATGATGTATTTATAATAAATTTGTACTGTTGAATAAAAAAATTAGGATATGCAATAATTGTTAGTGTATAATAGGTAACTATAAATGTAGCGACTTAGAAATACTATTGTTAAATGTGCTCATACTAGTAGTACAAATAAGTGTAAAATTGTACTTAAAATGTCTAAGTACCAGTAAAAAAAAAGCAAAATTTTTTTCAATTTTGCAGGAGTGCTAATAAGACTTCTAACACCACTGAATTAATAATTTAATTATTTAATTAATTTAATATTTTAAATAAACTAATATGAGTATCAAGGGAAAATAATAAAATTTCATAATGTTAATAAGTAAAATGATTTAAAATATTACCTGGTCCTGGATTTGCCAAGAATTCCATAAGACGTGCTTCCTACAAGTAAAACAAAATGTAAAGAATAAAGAATTTTTTTAAATTTTAGTTGAATAATTATTCTAAAAAATATTACCTCATCTGCCACAATACCAATAAAATCAGTTGGTTTAACATCTTGAACTGATGTACCAACAGGGTCGAGGTTTGAATTCGAGTCCCCATATAACCACTGATCATCGTCTCCATTGTCAGCTATGGTTTCTTCGGTCTTAGAATCTGCCATCGTGTGGCAGTAATTTTATGAGTTCCAAATAATTTTCAATGTTTCATGATCATAGGATAAATTCGTTACATCTCAATATCAAGATATTTTGACGCACCTATAAGAACATTAATATTAAATATTATTTTATATTAAACAAATGTTAATGATAACTGTTACCTAATATTTTTTATCATGATAATAAAAAATTAGATTACCAAAGATGATACAATCACGAATTAAATAACATTCAATAATTTAGACAAATATAATTATTGTTAATATGTATACTGATGATGTTCTTTGAAATAGTGAATTACTATAAAAAAAAAAATATTTTAACCATGCAAAAGAATAATTTTAAATGTTGACTATATTTTGAGGTTAGAATATTATATAGTTAAAAACCGAGGGAAATTTGTTTTTCTAAAACAAAAATGATACCAATCACAATTTAAATTTTATAAGTTTATAAGTCAATGACAGTGGTCTGAATTTCACTAATACTATCCATAACTTGTAATACTTTTCGTTTTCCATTATTTTAATCATACTTGGATGACTAAATTAATAATTTCTACAGTTTATATTCGTTTTTAATTTTAACATCTACCAGTTTAACAATTAATGATTTTACATTTTTAAAAATTTTCTGGTATTCAACAAGATGATTTTGTAAATTACAGTCTTAAAATGGAACAATCAATTAATGAAGATAACAACGATATTGAAGTGCAGTTTATTGATGATCAATCAGTCATCCATATTATTAAAGATGAGACGGCACAAGGTTAGCTTTAGATTATCTATCTATTATGGCATTATAAATATATTATTTTTTATTGAAAAGTATTTATATTTTGCAAATTACTAAGTTTTTTTAGTATGAATATAAAGTATACTGCATTTATTTTAAATAAATTTAACTTATATGCATAGAAGTATAAAAATGATAAATTTCAGAGAATACTTCAAAAATCTTAACTGGAACACCAAAAAACCGTAAAGATATTGTTCATAAATCTGCAGCATTAATTAATAGTAAGTATATATTTGTGAAAAATCGTTATAACTTTGAATATAAATAATTTTTTATTTCATATATATTATTTTAGTACTACTTAATGAAATAAAACTTTATTATTCATATCCTATGCTCAATTATTTATTGTATTTGTAAATGGTTATAGTTTGATTACATTTCATTATTTTAAATTATTGATTTGTTAATAATTCTTTAGGTAAAAAATCCAACCGAACATCAAATGATAATAGTTATGACCGAAAACATAGTGACAATGAATTAAATACCATATTAAAACCAAAAGGTAAATGATTATATTTAAATACCCTTCAAATGTTATTTATAATGAAAAATCTTTTTTTTATTTGTAGCATTATTTGTGGATGGAGATGTTCCAGGTGAATGTATGTTTAGTTTTAATTCAAAACATAGAAAATCATCTACAAATCAACTATCTATACCAAAAACTCCTGCAAGTAAAAAAAAAATGAATACAATTATTGGTATTAAACAACATAACAAGAGTCACCAAGATGACAATACAAGTAATAATAAATGTATTATATTAGTTTTCAACGTATATTAGTAAATTACTCTTCCATATTCTTCTGCAATGGCATATCTTATGTATTTAAAATATTTTCAAATTAATGAAAACAAAAATGTCTGTTTTGTAATTTTTTGAATTTTAGTAAAATTATATTTGATTCATAATTATTTTTTTTTTTTTAAACAATAATTCATGGTCTTCAACTTAATATGTTTTTAGTTAACATATTAGTGCTATAGTTAAACTAATCATTTTGTAATTTATCAGTTTTATAACCGTTACTTATTTTAAAATATAATTGTAATCATTATTTTTATACAATTGTTAATAGTTAGCTTGAACATCATTATACATCAATACATTTTTATCTTTTTATGAAATTCATAATTTTTTTAGTCTTATTCTATGATGTAAGTGAAAACAAATCTGAAACGCCTTACAAGAAATTAACTAGAGCATCATATAAATCAGCTACACCAAATGCCAAAAATGAAATATCAAACGATGGTAATAAGCCAATGACTAAATATATTATACTTTGTTTTTATTATTGTTTATTATTTAAAATAATTTTCTTTTAGATAGTAAATTTGGTTATGTTACACCTACAAAATCAAAAACTATGCATACTCCAAATAATAACAAAACTAAAAATGTTACAGAATGTACAACTTATATTAATTTAACTCCCAAAACTCCTAGGTCGAAGAAATATGTTAGCACTGAAGATATGGAAACAAAAACACCTAAAACTGTCCGAAAACTTCTTGCAAAAGGTTTTTTAGTTATTCATTGACTTGAAACCAAGTACTTATAATACATAAATATTTATTTTTTCAGGAATAGCGATTCAAAAAAGTGAATTGCTTAATGAATTAAATGATTCTGATTATAGTATCAGTGACAAAAGTGATGAAAGTGACAGTGATTCTAATGATTTAAATGATAACATATTACAACCACAAGTAAATTTATCTAGAGATGTTTCATTAAGAAGATCATGTAGAAAGAAAGAAGTACCATATGTAAGTATTATTATTGTTGTTAAATATTTATTTTTTTAATTAAATATTTTTTTAGGTGTATAGGTGTGAAGAATACTTCTTATCTAAATCAGCAAAATCTATTAAAAAATCTAAGACATCAGATAATACATTAAAATTATTGAAAAATCCTGCTTTAGATAAAGAACAAGTCGATAAATTATCAGAAGATTCTAACATTACACACAATAAAAAGTTGATAGCTCTTTATAAAGATATTATATCAAATTTTCCATACTGGTTGTGTTTACTAAAGTAATTATTAGTAATAATTACTATATAAACAATTAAACCTTTTACTATCTCATAATAATAAATCAAAACCAATTTTTTGATTTTATTTTTTTTTTCAGGGAAGGGTTTAATTTATTACTTTATGGATTTGGTTCTAAAAGACAGATTATTAATGATTTTAGGATATCTATGTTAAAGAATGAGTCCACATTAGTTATTAATGGATTTTTTCCTGGACTAACTTTGAAAGAAGTATGAAATTATATATATCTGAATTACTTAATTGATTATTTATATTATTAATTTACATTAAACATTTGCTGTTTTATAGATACTGGAATCCTTAACCATTGATTTACTAGCTCTAGATAGTTGTCCAGGAAGTGCTGAACTTGTAATACAGCAAATTGAAGAAAAACAAAAATTAAAAAATGCTGAACATATTTATATTCTTATTCATAATTTAGATGGTGTTGAATTACAAAACTACAAAATACAACATGTACTTTCAAGGATTTGTTCATTAAAAAATGTGCACCTTATAGCATCTATTGATAGAGTAAATGCAGCTTTGAGTGAGTGTGAAAACTATTCAAAATTTGGCGAATACCTTGACTTTTTATAAAATTAATTAATAATTAAAAAAACTTTTAGTGTGTGATAATACAAAATTGGGCGATTATAATTTTATATGGATGGACTGTACTAATTATTTACCATATACTGTTGAAACTGATTTTGAACAATCTGTAATGATCAAAAATATAGGAACACAACATTCATTATCAGGATTAAATAATGTTTTCAAATCACTTACATCTAATACTAAAAAAATACTGTTGTTGTTGATTAAAGATCGTATTGATAATAAGAATGATAAAAAATATGGAGGTAAATAAATTTATAATTGTTTATTAAATTTCTTTGAAAACAACAATTTGACTATTATTTTTTAATCATATGCAGGAGTTCCATTTTCTATTCTTTATCGCTGGTGTCGTCAGCAGTTTCTAGTTAGTACAGATTTAGCACTGAGAAGTCAACTAACCGAATTTGTTGATCACGAATTAGTGAAGTGGAAACGTGATGCTGATGTTCTTTATGTTCCTGTAGATGTTGATGTTCTTATTCAGTTTTACAAACAAAATGAAGATGACAATGAATAAAATTCAATATTTTATGTATTTAGTTTTAAAATGCCTAATAGAATAATTTGTGGAAGTACTTATAAATTATTATAATATAATATACAGCATAATAAAAATTATTTTCATATGTTTAGACTATTCTATGTTTTATTTTTCAACATTAATTTTATAAAACTTAATGTTACATATTATAACTGACTAGATATCTACTGTCAAAATATGAATTTTCATTAATTATGCCCATACCTAAAACAATAAAAAAATATAAATTAATTAGATATATACCAAGTAATAAAAGTTAATAATTTTAGAATTTTAACTTATTGTAATACTCAATGCTAAAAATTAATTTTTAAACATTTAATAGCTCTCATGTATTGTCTTCTTTTAACCTAGCATTAGTCGCGCTATGGACAAATAATTGCATTTTTTTTAGGTCTTCAATAAAACATTTATATTTTATATTTCAATCTTTGACATTCAGTATACCTTTTAAAAATGTTATTGATTGTATATTATTGATTCATATTATATGAGTATCAATGATTGAAATATAAAATGTAAATGTTTCATTAAAGATGTAAAAAGTGGGGCTATTTTGACCATAGCACAACTAATGACAGGTTAACAAACATACAACAGTAAATTTTTGTTCAGCAGTTCAAATGTTGTAATGTTAGCTTATATATTTAAGTAAACTAACCTATTTATCAAACATAAAAAAGAACAATATCATGTTTTGTAAGTCAGTTTTTATGATTTTTTAATTTTTAAGCAAGTTATGAATTTTTTCAAGTTATAATATTTCACATACACATTACTTGCTTAAAGATTAAAATATCATAAAAGCTAACTAACAAAACACAGATAAACAGTTTATTCTTATATTTTGGAATACTGAACACAAATTTGCTATATCACACGTTTATAAACAGACAATACATACGGGTATGGTGTTCTCCAAATTCATAAAATAATTACGTCAATACATACACGTAAAGAGGCGTCCCAACTGGCAGAAGCTAATGCTGTTCCATCAGGTGAAAGTTTTATACTTGTAACTCTATTTTCATGCCCATACAACAAACTGACTCGTTCACATTTTAAACTATCCCAAGCATTAATTGTGTAATCTGTATAACCTCCAAATAAAATTCTACCTAAACAATTAAAAAATAAAAAATTTAATTTCAATTACTACAGTTATTAAATTAATTTTAAAAAATGATGAGCAATTATTTTTAGTTAGTGAGCTAAATAAAAACATTTATAAAATTATAATTGATACTAACAAGTGAAATTACTTTTAATATACTTATTTAATTAGTTCATATGTAAACTTACCACTGACAGAAAAGTCAATAGAATTAACGCCAAACAAAATACTCTCTTTTGAATATACAGCTACTTCTTTATCTGCTCTTAAGTCATACATACGACACTATCAAATAAAGAACATAATAAATATAAAATAATCTAAAATATAAGGATTTTCTAATTACTGTAGAATCATCAGAACCAGATGCTACAGCATCTCCACTAGGATGATATTTGACACTGTTTATATCAGAACGATGACCTTCAAATGATTGGACACTTTGACCAGTTCTCATATCCCATAGAAGTAACATTTTATCACAACTCTGATCATAGAAAATATTAATAGATTAAAAAGATTTGTTCAAAATAAGATACCATGATGAAATTACTTACACCTGATATAAATGTATTGCCAATTTCTGATGGTGATAAATCAATGGACATTATGTCACCAGTATGACCATGGAAAGACTGTAACATTTGACCAGTCTCAACATCCCAAAGTGCAGCAGAAGCATCTCCACTACCAGTCAATATCTTAAAAATAATTTTGTACCATTTATTAATGCATACATTTCTATGCAAGATTAATATAAATACCTGTTGATCAGAATTTGGAAACAAGCAACAAGACATAAAATTTGTATGGGTACCAACAGTTTTCTTTTTGGCAGATGGATCTTCTTCTGGATTTGATATATTAAATACTGTTACCTTGTTATCCAAACCACTTAACAAATAAAAATATACATAAAAGTATTTTTTTTTTACTATACAATTGAATAATTAAAATTTTTATTGAAATATTTTATAGTTATAATTAAAAGGTAGCTATAATGATACATTAATGTTTTATATTAAAAACGTATAATGCCGTCCTTTATTTTTCTTATTTCCCAATAATTTTAAAATCTTTAACAATAAATAACATTATCAAATCAGGTGAAGAAGAATAATATTTGACCTCTTACAGACTTATTAGTCAGTTATCTGAATTTTCATCACAACTGACTATTCTCAAGATGGAAATATTATACCATTTCTCTATTATTCTTAATTTCTGACTTAATTATAAATCTAAAAAAGGTACTTATGCTGATGACATGACACTTCTTAATTCAAATTATACATATCAATAGTTAAAATAAAAATAATCACTAGCTTATAATTAAAACTAAACATATACTGAGAAATAAAATTAAAGAATCAAGGCAATGTAAAATAATATTTTTGCTTTTCACTCTCAAAACTGTGAAGTCACTTTTAAAAATATAATTAATTTTATATACATTTGAAATTAAATACTTAGGTCAGGACATTTTCTTTTAGCATTTAATCAATGACCAGGGGGGTACCTGCTTGTGCAATGCTCTTGCCCAACTAGGTCAGGACTTAATACTTAGGACTTGGTCTGCTTATCTTCCATTTTAAAAATTAATGTAAAATTTTTAATATAACTCTTTTATTCAAAATTGTTAACACTAATTAACTTAATTAATTTCATTATACAAAATACTATAAAACTATTCAAAAATGTTAATCCATCTGTTTTAAAATGATATTGTCAAAGCCTAATAGTATATTATCAATGGTACGCAATTATAATAAAAAAAAAAAAAAAAAATCAATACCCATAATAAAATGGCAATTATATTTTATATTAATATAAACTTTAATATTTTCATAATGTTATTGGCCTAGTAATACTCCCTTGGAAAGTCTTATCAAATGATTGAAGCAAAATTAAACAAACAACTTTGTCTAATCAATCTAAATACATTTAGGCAGGTAATATAGCTGTTACTTCTTATTCACACCATTAATTAATTATTCATTGATAATAGGTTTATTTGTTAAACTTAATTTTTTGTACGGATTTTAGATATTCCAAATAAAACGGTATAGTTAAAAATTAAGTATAAGTAATACAAAATTCTATAATGAGACCCTAAAATATCTTACCCGCATGCAACCAAGTTGCCTGATGGTGAATAGGCACATGCCATCACCCAAGTTGTTGGCATGGTAACAGTTTGTTCTTTTGCAGATGTAAATGCATCCCAAATTAGTAATTTACCATCCTAGCATTGTGTGCACCGACACCAAGCAAGCATATTTTATTAAATACTTTTGAACATTAGTTGAATTATATTATGTACCTGTGAAGATGAAACAATATGTCGTTTATCTGGAGACCAATCGCAACATAACATTTTAGCTTGATTTCCTTTTAATAATCTCCTAGGTTTTATATTTAAGAATGTAACTTCTTCCAAGCGTTCTGCAACATTTGCCACTAAAAATATTCAAATTAATAATAAATTGAATAAATGGATTAAGTAAAAAAAATAATTTCAATTACAAGATGCATACATGTTACATCATTAAGTTTTTTTCTTTCTTCTTCAAGTTTGTGTTTTAGGCAGTCTGCTTCACGACTCAACAATTCGATGGTTTCAATTCGAGTATTAACGTCTAATGCCATATCCAAATTCCAAAAGTTCCTTAATGCAATATCTGCCAGTGGTGGTGCTACTGAATATGATTTACAGTCTTTCATTAAGCAAACTTTTTGAATTGATTATTTTCTATAAAGTATAAAGAGTATAAAATATATAATAAATATCTATCATATTATACTTTTTTAAAATAACTAAATAAAAAAACCTAGTGAAAATATTTACATTAGATACTTTTAATTGCAAATTAGATGTATGAAATTTTATATTATATTCATTGAGTTAATATATTGGACAATAGTTATTTAATTTAAAACAAAACTATCTCTACTGACTATAAATTATTATTTCTTATAATATGTAATTGAATTAGTAATTAAAAATTAATTTTAAAAATGCAAACACAACAGGACTAAAAAAAAAAAAAAACCAAGACTTAAATACATTTAATCATTTTTTTCTAAGTCATTATAATAATATACAGTTAGTTTGTAAATTATCAAGATTTGTGGCATAATTCTTTTGTAAAATTGTTTAGGAATTAGAATTGTTCAAATTTTTTTTAACTTTTAGTTTATTTAAGACCATTTCATATTCTAGGACAGCAGTTTTCAACCTAGGGGACACATGGACATTTGTAAAAATCAAAGTAACATAAAAACGTTATTTTTGATAATTTATATTTAATTGAAACATTATTAAGTTACAGTTAATTAGAAATAAGCAGTTCCAACTTTCTCATTAATTAATATTTACTTAATAATAATAAGTTTAAAATTTAATATTTAAGAAAGTGAATATAAAATAATATAATTTGTTTTAAAAATGTCAATCATAATAATCATTTTTTCTATATAAATAAATTTATTAAATATTCAAAAAAATTCATTGATTTTCATATTATGATATTTATCCAATAACCACAAGGCATGATTTAAATTGCTAAAAATTAGACCGAATCTGTAGAATATGCAAACAAAAATTCGGCTCCTCGAAAAACTGAAAATATTTTAGAAAATTAAAAATTATTTAAGAAATACTTAAGCACCTCAATTAACAAAAGCGATTGCATCATGAAAATAAGATCCAGAATCGCACAGGCAAAGTCAGCTTTCATAAATAAGGGAATACTTTTATGTTTCAATAGTATGAGTTTTTAGGTGAGGAAACGTTTTATAAAATTATATGTATTAAATATGACAGGTATACATTTGCGAAACTAAGATACTAAATGAGGAAAATCAGCGAATCCTTGAAAGCTTCAAAATGTGGTGTTAGAGAAGAATAATGTGAGTGAGTTGGATAGAACCAACGAAAGCATAATTATTGAAATAAATTAATCCAAAGAATGAACTTGAAACCATCAGACGATGGAACATGATGAACATGAATATATTGAAGCACAAAAACAAATCAATTTATAGAAATAGTAATACCTAATAAAAGGGAAAATTAAAGGTAAAAGAGACTAAGGAGGTCCAATAACATTATTTGTCAAATAAATTATGTCTAATGCTAAACTCTAAAGCTACAGGGAACTTAAGAGGTTAGATGGAAACAGGGAAGAGTAGAAAGTATGGGTTCGACTGTAAACAAACCATATAGTTAAATACAAGAAAATAAGATATATATATATATATATAAACATAATTAACTATGGTGAGAATGGAATGACAGTTTTTTTATAATTATTAAATATAGATTAAATATCTCAGCTGCATACACCATTGTTTCCCCAAAAAGTATAGTTTGATAGTTGCAAGCCAATGTACTTTATCTTGTTATTTTACTATTTGTAAATAATGCAGTTTTTTACAGTATTTTTATTTTGACATTATTTATATTAAGATGCAAATAGTACTAAATAACAAGTAATAATTACATTTATATACATATACATACATACATATATGTTCCCATATATTATGTTAAGATTATACTTTGTCTTCACTCAACAAACATATATTTTATACACATGAATGTTACATTTATTTTATTTCTTCTATTTAAAATATTAATAAATAATGTTTAATTTTACTTAACACATATTTTAATATATTTTTTATCAATTTATATGAAAGTGATGAAGACCATTATATAATACAGAACATTTATTAGAAACATCACTAGTCACATATTATTATGAAATGCTTTATGAAAATGAGATATTAGTAAAACCATATACTAGTCATATATTAAGTGTAAATAGGACTTTAGTTATACTTTTTTATCAGATAAATAAATAATCAGTATTTTTACGCTCAACGCATAGTTTACTAATATCTGATTTTCATAAGATGTGTGACTTCTGAAGTGTCTGTAACAATCGATTCAAATAATGTTTACATTATTAATGAAGATTTTTTTTTTTTTACAGTTCACTATACGTATTTGAGAACAGGGACGGATAGGCATAATTTGACCGGACCGGGAAAAATAGAATACAGCGGCTCGCATGATTATATCCAAGTTCCAACTAAATAATTACCTCAACTTTGAGAGAATCAACCCGGCAATCACCACCTTTTTTTTCGACGTTCTTAAATAATATTTAAAATTATAATATATATTATACTATCCAATTTTACACATGTTTTGCTCTCTTCTAACAACTCTATGATTTTTATCTCTTTTATTTTCTGCACCTCCTTTTCTTTTTAATTCATTTAGAAGCATACCTGATTATATAACATTTTAGCAATATTATACTATTTACATAGTTCGCGTATAATTATTGTGAAAAAACATGATATCAACTTTGCCGTGGGGTTTTATTAGTGACTATATATGATAATTATAAGAATAATAATAATAAGAATCTATCCAAATGCAAAAAATCATTGTTTCATGACTTGAAAAAAATATAATTAACTATACTTTACTGAAAAAATATATAACTCTTCTTAATATGAAAAATAAAAATATGATATATATTTATATATATACTATATTCATGAATGATTGTATTTTACACTTGTAAAATTTGAATGTACATCAATGTACTAGTTTTAAAAATTCAATTTTAATTAATTAACAAAATAAAAAAAATAGATAGGTAGTTGAATAAAATGAGATTTGAAATCTTAAATATAACAAAATATTTTAAGAAGAATAGAATTAATTACCTACTATGATTTTAAAAAAGAGGAAAGAATATAATAAAAATATTTTCATTTCAGAAATTTTACAAACAATTGTTAAGTGAAATGTACGTTTACTGATAATACACATTATTACAAGAATAAAATACAATTTTTCAAATGATGATTTAAGCAATAATATTATATTACATATATATTTTAATATTTTAATTATTTATAATTTTAATATGATCGTACCGTCATATTGCCATCCGAGTAGCGAGCGAGAGATTAAGAGAAAAAGGGACAGCAAAATAGTAAAAGAGGCAGGAACCTTAAACGCTTACCTCGTTCAATTTATCTCCTATTCAGGAAAATCTCCTCTGAATAACACCATAAAATCATTTTAACGACGTGTCCGTAACTGGAAATCATAATTATTTTTATTATTATTATTATTTTTTGTTCACTAAGACCATCGACGATCGGGTCTTCTTGCAGAGTTAGATTTATAATCAATATAAATACCCGTTCGTCGTGGTTGTCGGTCAGCTGAGCACTTTCAGCTTACTTTACGTTTTCTGTATTATCAGAAAACATCCAAGCTGAGCAACATTTTCCGTATTTCCCATGAAATTTACTTTTATTTCCTTTCTTGGAATATTAACGCCGATGCGATAACAATAATGTAGGTTATGGTTGTTATCCTTCGTTTGTATATCTATTACTCTTGCAGTCCCTTGTTTATGATTTGTGTTGTTGGTTTTGGATTTTTGTTTTTATTTAAAATAACTAACACACAAAAAAAAAAAGTTCATAATAACGAATTCTGTTTTTAAATAATAGTATTGTTATTTTTTATTGCTGTGTCTTGTATTTTTAATACTGATCTGCTCGAATTTTCTTTCAAATTATAGAACGTGGTGTCACAATAGTTGTAAATTTGTTCGAGATTCGCATTTAAAAAATGGAACTAACAGAGGAACAAAGAAAACGTATAGAAGAAAATAGGCAAAAAGCTATATTATTAAGACAGGAAAAATCGAAATTTAGAGCACATACTTCCCAAAAGTATATTATTCATATAATATGTGTACAAAAATATTATGTTAATGATCTATACTGTTGTTATTTTGAAGACCTGTTGTATCACAAAAAGTTGATCAAGATAATATCATCACAGTGACAGTTGCTGGACAATCGTATGTTGATACTGAAGCTGGATTTTTGCTTAACAAGGATGATTTATCTGATACAAATAAACAAGTATGATAAAATTTAATTATTAAATTATATGTATAGGATATTGTTGTAGAGCATTGATCTTGTTTTACTAAATTATGAGAGTTTACTACAATTTTCAAAAATACAAATAAAATGTATATTTGAAGCAGTTACCTTAATACATTATAATTTTAATAACAAAAATCAGTAAATGGTTCAGTACAAATGTAGAAATGGATCAACATTTTTCAAAATACTTTATATTTTATTTTTAATAACTCAAGTTTAGTAAATTCAATTCTAATATTAATATTCCTTGATAAATATGAAAACATTAAAAACTATAACTAAGTTATATTATTATGTACTTATATTTTGGTACTTTCAATTTCTAGTAAATATTTATAAAAATATAAAATATAAAAAAAATAAGTTTATGTTAAAATAATTGGTTAGCTTAATTTTAATTAAATAATTTTTTTTATTTCAAATGTTTCATTCCTTTAGAACTTCTTCATACAAACTTAATAAATTATCATTTATTAAAATCCATCAAAATGCACTATATTCATATTATTGTATTTAATTAAGGTAAGTTTAGCACCAGAACCCAATCCAATATTATTAAAATCGGAGCAACCAAATTGTCTAGAATGTAATCAAGAATTTGGAATTTCTTTCTTAATGACAAATTTTGATCATCCTGTCTGTGATAGATGCAAGTATGTAATCAATAAATATAATTATGTAAATTATTAAATATTTACCAATATTTTAAAATTGTAAAATATAATTTTGTTGTACAGAGAAAAATTTGGAAAAGAAAAATTTGATTTAATTACTAAAACAGAAGCTAAAAAAGAATATTTATTAAAAGATTGCGATATTGATTTGCGTACACCTCCACTTAAGTTTATTTTAGGCAAAAATCCTCACAATTCCAGATGGGGTGAAATGAAATTGTATCTTATACTTCAAGTAACTAAATAAAAAATGTTAACATTTTTTTTTTAAAAAAAATATGTGAAAACTGATGTTCATAGGTAGAAAAAAGAGCATTAGAAGTTTGGGGTTCTGAAGAAGAAGTAGAACGACAGATTGAATTAAGACATGAAAAGCAAAAAGCATCAAAGTTAAAAATGTATAAGAAAAAATTAAAAGGTATATGATTATTGTTTATGTTTAAATGAAATTGTATTTACGATTTATTAGTTGTAATAAAATTTAGATTTAAGAAAATCAACTAGAAGTAGCTTGTACACCAAAGTCACTAAAGCATCTCACGAACATGTTTTTGATTCAGAGATATACAATGAAAAAGAAGATAACTATGAACGTACATGTATTACATGTGGTTTCCATGAAATTTTTGAAAAAATGTGAGTGTATTATTTTCTTTAAATTTAATTAGAAACTATTTTTGGTTTTGTATTATTTAATAATTATTATCAATAATTTTATATTAATTAAATTGTTGTTTATAATTATTAGTATTTGTATAACTTTTAATGATATAAATTAATTAATCCTCATTTTGAGCAATGTTTTATTAAGTAATTATGTATAATATAATATATTCATTTACTAAGTGCTATGGTATAATAACATTTCTTTCCCTAAATATTTGAATGCATCAATAAAATTAAATATAATTAAAATAGAAATATATATATATATATTTCTATTTCTTGTGAAATAAATTATTTTTTTTTTTTTTTTACTTAAATTTATTTATGCTTTATCCATAATGTAATGTATTTAACTATAACATTTTTTTGAACTGAATATTATTTACATATATTAAACAATGTTTTTTATTTATATATTAAACATAAGTATAATATATTTCAGCATTTCTAAAAGTGTGCACTGTGATACTGTATGTTATTATAGGGCTGCTGACTATTATCTGATTAACCATTATATTTTCTATAACAGAGGTCATGAATTTCATTAAGGGTGCTCTGAGATTATAATAACATCAGTTTTATTAAGGGTGCTCTAACGTCAGTTCAAAATTGCAGTGCCAGTTGAAAAGGTTTGTGAGAATCACTAAAACTCAATTAAGAAATTGGACTAATAGTAGGTATCACTATTTAAGATATGATAGTCTACTTGATGAATTAAATTAATTTTTGTTTTTTTGTTAGAAATAATTATTTAAGATTAAAATGGTAGAAGAGTACTTCTAAAATACTGTCTCCATGTACAAATTATTGAGTTTCTACTAAAACAGTTACTAATATTTGAATAGAAGCTTGATAAAGTTTATATATTTAGAAAAAATAAATATTGAAGGGTTTTCATGGAAAAGTTTGATCAAATAACAAATAAAATTATTTCAATGCAATATCTGTTATAATCATTTGTATGAACTGTTAAATATATTTTATGATGATAGGTATATAAAATTGTTTAATATTTTATTAATAATAAACAATGAAACTATTATAATTTGGATAACAATTTTTTTTTATCATTGTGATTATTATTAATTTATGAATAATAACATTAAAGACAGTTAGGCCAGTGCACAATAGGATTAGGTTCTAACTTCTCCCCATTTTTGTTTATTTTTAGAAACAAGGCTCTTTGTTCAGAGTATTCAGCTGTATACCCTATATACCCTTGTGCATGCTCATGCCTAACATAACATTTATAATTTTGAACACCTTTTGGAAACTTTCTGTGCACCATCCTGAAGGCAGTTATCATCAAAAATAATAAATTATATAATTCCAAAACTTTCAAATAAAAATGAAAAATGTTACCAATACATAGTAGTTGAATTTATAGTATAATTATACAAGATACCATCGATTAAATCAATGAAGATAATAATAAATATTAGACTAGCTACACTAAAAATCTTGATTAGATATTGTTGCTAGGTAGTTTTTATTTTAAATAAACCAAAGGCATTCATTTCTTATTTCAACAATGGAACATTTTGATTTGTTGCAAGACTAATATTGAAAAAATAAGAAATTAAATTACCAATAATATTTGATTTAAAATTATTTAAAAGAAGTAATAATAACAAAATATGTTAGGACAGGTTTTACTAAAATTTTCCATTCTGCTATAAATGATCGTATTTTTACTTTAGACATATAAATAATAATAAGCATAAAATTATTTTAATGGCAAGTTGCCTAAATTAAAGTAATTTTAAAAGTTTTGGTTGTGCCTGCGGTACACGTCTGAACCAAGTTGATGAGCCACGGTTCAACTGATCAAACCTGTACATATATCTCATGCATTCCAACCAATTTCCAAATACTGGCATATCTGGAGGCATACCAGCAGCTAATCTATAAAAAAAATATTATTAATTTAAATAAATAAATGAAAAATAAAATATGAACATACCCGCAGTTGTTGATTGCTATACAAGCGGTTACAACATTGAAAGGATATGTAGCAGCATTAGCTAAATACTAAAATAAGAATATAATTTAAATTAATAATAATATATCAGTATTAGATTATTAATTGATTAGGTAATATTAATCATAAGTTTTTGATATATTTAATTTAATATGCTTAAGACAAAAATTACTGTTAGTGTTATTTTATGATTGAAACATGTTTTGAGATATAATTAACTATAAGTGAAATAGAAAAATCTACTTTACCGAAGCAGCAAAATCAGCTATGTTTAAAGCTATGGGTGAAGGATCAAACAAATAACGTGAGAATGCTTGTTTTGCTACATTAACAAGAATGACAGTGCCTAAACCAGCTAATAGACGTGGAATTAATCCAGCAAAGAGACCATTTACTCCTTCTTCACGATTAATGAGTGAAAGTGATTGTAGCACGACACTAGAATTAAATAAAAGGACTTATGACATTTAAAATTACAAAAAATATAATTCTATAATAAACTCACGTATAACGATGTTCATAACCTACAAATTGAGCCATCATTCTCATAGAAACAACATATAAGGGATGGCTCATTACAATACTCGTGGCTGTACATATTATTTCTTTTGATGTATTAACTGCACATTTTTTCCATCTAGATTGAATTTATAAAATAACTAACTTTAAAAATATTAACAATTTAGATTTAATTTAAAATGATAAGAGTAGTTAAATAGATTATAGTATAAAAAAAGTGTCCAGAAATTAAAATTTAATTTTAAGGAAAAAAATAGTATAATCATGTAGTGTAAATTAAACATTGAAGTAAATTACTTACACTACCCATATTTTCCCTTAATTTCTTTACTGAATTACATAACAAATATAGATGAAAAGTATTAAATATAATAAAATAATATACACAAATTAAAAAAGGCTTTTATTTTCCGTACAACAGAATTTAAAAATTATATCAGTTATTATTTATAACTTATAACTTAATTTGGGTTTTATACGCATTGTTGAAAATTGTATTGTTGTATGTTTCATTATTAATAAAATTCACATGATTGTTTTATTGAATTTTTTTTTTAAAAATATGAAGATACTATAACTTACATTTCTAAATCAGAATCTTTATCTACATTGTAGTTTTTATCACTTTTAATGTAATCAGATACAAGTACAAATGAAAAATGTTCAATACAAATTCCTAAAATCTTAGGACCTAATCCAATATACATTCCTTTAAATCCATCCACTGAATAAATATACTTAGCTGAAAATAATAAAACAATTACTAAATTAAATAATATAATAAACTAATGATATTAGAAAATTTTATTTTTTGATTCTAATATAGTTTTTCTATTCGACTAAATACAGATTACTTTTTTTTTTACAGGAGGACAAAAGTTTTTATAGTAATTAATTTAATCTAAAAGATATACATAAACATATTTATCACTTAGTTCTTTATGTATGAAGAAAATATACTAAATTTTAAATTAGGAGCAAATGTCTAAAAATGATTTTAATTTAGAAAAAGATGTATTTATAAAAAATTGAAACATAATAACTGATTACCATAGGTTATTAAATTAGGAAGAATTAAACGTTGTTCACCAAGAAGAGTTCTATAATTGTATGGTGACATAGGTTCATGACCAATCTGTAAAAAATAAAAAATAAAATAAATAATTCTTAAAAAATTATATGGAAAACTTAAAAATTAAATAAATTTATTCGCTTAAGTAGTAAATTGAAAATAATATTAGTCATTAAAATTTAATAAAAATATAAGTATGTTATAATCATATAATTATAAACTTAAAAAAAGTTCACAATAAGTTATTTTAAACAAATTAGAGTTTATAAATATTAATATTAGGATAATATTACAATAATATTGTTTGAATGTTAATTATTATAATACAATATTATTGAAATTAACTAATTTGTGATTTTTATAACTTTTATTATGAAAATGTTATCTGCTTCTAATACTGTAGAATTTCACTATTAAAACTAATTTAATTAAATAACAAATATAATGTAATATTATTTTAAATGAAAAAAATATATATAAGTAAAATCAAATGTACATCACTATTGATAAATAATAAATTTTATAAAGTTAAAAATATTATTAACTGCAATAAGTACATCTAAAATAAATATATTGGTATTTGATAATGACTTACCTGAACCAAAAATCTAGCATAGTCCAAAGGATGTGTTATAGATTTCATTACACATTTCGCGACCAAAGTGTTCCTGGACAGATCACCATTTTTTTCATTTCTGTTTTCATTGTCGGAATCCATTTCCTTATGTATTTTTTAAATATAGGGGAATATGCTGATGATTAAATTATATAACACTCGATTCCGCCAATTATAATTGTTTTAATATTTAAAAATAATATCAACCAATATTATAACCTAGACTACTCAATGAAAAACCTATATCGAAAGAACTATTCATTTATTTTTATCACTCTGATGACCGACTACGATAACTAGAATTCGATTATCGGGTATGTAGGTACTTATTCAGGGTCACGGTTATGAAAATCTATATTACGAAGTGGTAAGGGTAATTTTAACGATAATTGATAAGGCTTATCGGTGTATACCATGGTTAAGGACACGGGCTGTGGGGATTCGTCCCCACTTATCACAACTCGTTGTTTTTCCTCTATGCGTATCACCTCCATAACAGCACCACAGCGACACGCCGTTCGTCGGCGTTTCTCTCTCGCGTATGGACCATCGTACACAACCGTAAACTTACTTTATGCAGGGCCGTCCCAAGGTTTTTCGAGGTCATGGACAAAATAAAATTTGGAGGCCCTCCGACCATAATAATAAGATATGATACACAAAATACTCACTGAGAATAACAAAATATTTACAAACGTATTTTTCCAAACCTTAACCAATCAAGCTCATTTAAATGCATGTACTGCACTACATACATACATAATAGAATTGAATATTATTCATATTATTTATAATTTAATCGTTCAATGTAATCGGACAAGTAACTACACATTCACACGCGTGAGACTTTAATCGCCGACACGCAGCGTGTAAAATTGCTCAATGTAAACGAGGCTTTATTATTAATTATGATACATTAAGACTTTATGGGAGCCCCCTAAAAAATATTCCAAAAATGGGGCCAGTGACAAAATGGTCCCATTGCCTCCCTCCCTCTTAATGGCCCTGACACTATGTACACAACGCATATCCCGTTTTACAACGTCTACGCGAACTTTTTGTTTTCACGCTTTACGCCATTCTTGCGACCTCTCCCTTCTTGTTTATACGCGCGAGCCGTTCTGCAGTTTTAAACGAACTTTTGCTTTAAGGTCCCCACACACTGCCGCGGTGGCGATATTAAAATCGCAGACCTGAACACATTGTGGCGGTGGCGATTTTTATCCAATATAAACATAATATATTTATATATTACCATTGATTATAAATATTTATAATCAATGATATCACATACAATAATTGTATAGTTAATTAATTAATTCCCATGTCATTGATTAATTGACGATTAATCTATATTGTACGTTAGTAGGTACTATATTAAGTACTTATACTATTGTATATATCATATTCATTATATATATAAATAATATTGTATTGATTATTTTTATAAGTATTTTTAATGAAGTTAAATAGTATATTAAACTATAACTTGAATAGTTTCTAGGAAATAATCGAAGTCTAGACTAATGTACACTAGATTTCAGCACGGGCCGTTTTTTTTCGGCTCGATCCGACCCAAAACTTAAACTTATAAATCGTCGTCGTCCAGGCCCGATCCATATTTTATTTTTTTTAAATCTAGTCCGTTTGTAAATAAAAATATACATCAACTGTATTTCCTTTCAGTATTGACTTAGCAGACAAAAACATTTCATAAAGACAGTAAATGTTTTACAGAAAAAAAATATGCTAAATTTTATTAAAATTTAAATATAAAATTATTTATTGATATAGAATACATAATGCTACAAATTAAATTAATTAGTTTTGGTTTAACCGATCCGGCCCAATGAATAATATTACGATCCCACCTATAACCTACTCTTAATATTTAGTAATATTTAAATTATGGCCCGGCCCGTGCTGATCTTTAATATACACCATATATTAGATAGTATAAGTACTTTAGCGTATATTTGATAAGGTAATTGAAAATACCGCTGAGCGGTGGTGGTGAAATCGAGCATGCTGCGGTTTTTAAAATATCGCAGCAGCAATATTTTACCGCGGCCGAATTATCGCAGCAGTGTGCGGACTCAGTGTGCTGGGATAAACGACGTATATCAACCATCATCTTGGTTATTTGAAGAGCTATCATTCTTAACGGAATTGGAAAAATCAATTAAAAACGTATATTACAGTATCAACAATTGATCTGAACTACTGTAAAAGTAAAAAATACTGAGTATTGACTATAATTTGTATTGACCGTTTGAGGAGTACACTGTCAGAAATGTAAATACTGTCAGTATTACTGATCGTGTGAGGCCCACTTACAGGTCATCATTTTTCATGAATTCGATCGGAAAACACAGTCGTTAAAATAATAATAGATTTTATTTCATAAAGATAAATTATATCTCTAAGCCTTTTCATAGAACTTCCAAGGAGGCCACGTCAAAGTATTTTTTCATATAAAACTATATATTGCGACGGGTCTCAGAACCCTATGCGGCCTAGAAATATACTTTAATTGTAGGGTCTGAAGACCCTACAAAGCCTGACAGTAAAATATGACAATTTTACCGTGGCAGTCAACCTGTTAACGTTGTCGATAATGATGTGACATTATTAGTTCTCTATTTTCTACTCGCAGCAATTATAATAATTTATTGTCAAGACAAGAATCTAAAAATAATGGTGATGAGTATAGATTTAAAATATGTTCTTTTGAATATTGTGATACAAAAATAAAAAAATAAAAATTTATAAATTAACAATAAAGAGAAAAACGGGATTAATACGGGACCTACTTGAAAATACGGGACAAAATGTGTCCCGTATAACTTGTCAGGACAACGGGACACAAAGTGGAAAAACGGGACAATCCCGTATAATACGGGACGTATGGTCATCCTAATTTATACTGCCTTTTTAATATTATTTATTAGTTAAATAATTAATTTTTATAACATTTTACTTAAAAATAAAAATTGATTTCAAATTATAGTACCTACCTATTATATATAGTAAACCTTTGTGCAGAATATGTGTGATGTATGTATAACTATTGTGACTATCTGATTGTGTTTGTGTTTAGAAGAATTATATAGTGTAAATCAATATAATAAAAAATATAAGCCTGTATCACAACCTGTTATCATAATTCACAAGCAGCGAAACGATACAACACGTGTTTTTTCACAATCGATACTATATGTAAATATTGAGTAATTATGGACAATATCATATTCAAACGTTTAATAATATTGTGTATTGTACAATAAAATTCCAACCCAGTTTGATTTCTTCAATATATTGAACAATCCTTCAATATCTATATTAGACCGTTAATAATATTGTGCAATATTATTGATCGTGTAAGTAATCGGTTGTCTCATTTCCGCGAACCCCCACATGACTAGGAATCCAAAGAAATTGAATGTTATAACTTAATTGACCATGTATCATTTTAAAACGGCGATAACGATCGAATGAAGTAATGGATAATTTTTATAATGATACCAAATTTTTAATTATACCAAATACTAATGATTTAACTTTTATCTGTTTTTTTCTAATATATAATTCTTTTAAGTAAAATAGAGCAGATATTTGCGCAAAAAAATGTTCAATTAAATTTACAAATTACTTAAAATATATTGTATTTTCGAAAAACGCTCCTATATTTTAGGTAAAATTAATTTTAGTGCCTAATTTAAAATCTGGAATTTCATATTTAAAAATTATTTAGAGTTTTAATTTTTTTATATGGGTTTTAGTACCTATTTATTTAATATATGCTAATTGTTAATCATTGTGTTAATTAGTTACATGTAAAGTAAACATAAGTATCAACTATATGAAATAATTGTACATTTTTGAATCCCTATTTTTAGTAGATACATACTTAAAATTAAAATATTTTATACAATTTATATACGTGTAAATAAAAATTAAAAAAACAATTTATGTAAAATATATAACTTACAAAAGGTTTGTATACAAAAAAATTATTAAGCTAGATATATTATAATGCATACATGATACATTACATACATTTATAACATGGATATGTTTTTTAGATTGATATATAGAAAAATAGTGTTGACAGAAAATCATTACCTTTTTTTTATTAATTGGTTACTAAAATAATACAAGTCAACAGTGTACTAAATCAGCTTTAAATGCTTTAAACTTTTAACCTAGAAACTAATCCATGATACCATGTGATATCATTGTAATTTAAAATTTGATCCATTTTTATATTTGAATTTGTAGTTTTTTTAACGGGTACAAAATTTAAAAACAGGAAAACCATTGATAAATATTAATCAATGATATAACATATTAGTATTTTTACCAGTTTAAAAATCGTGGGATATTAAATAATTTTTGTAAAATATAAATTATATAAATGGATATGGTAATTTTTGATTCAGTCGGTACTGTTTTTCAGAACTCTATTTTAGGTTCTTATCATTTTTCGGACAAGTGTTTATCATTCACTATTCCAGGTCTTAAATTGGTCTGTTGATTATTGATATAACTGTTGGTACTTTTTTAACTGATAGCATTGATAAGTTTCAAAAGAAAATGTATTATTATTCATGAGCGTCTAGAGTCAGCGCCTCTTATCTGCAATATTATTATCAGTATTACACTATCACTACAGTTGCTTTATCACATAGTTGGTTGATTACATTTAAATATTATATTTAAACAAACAACCATAGTATTATATTATCTAATAATTATATTAATTATACTAAATATTATAATTAATATAATTATTAAATAATATAATCCTACAGCTGTTTGTTTAAATATAATATTTAAATGTAATCAACTGATTATGTGATAAGACAACTATAGTGATAGTGTAATACTGATAATAATATTGCAGATATGAGGCGCTGTCTCTAGACGCTCGTTTATTATTCACGCATTAGACCATAGAAAAGAGATTAATTGACCATCAATAGTGAAGACATAAGCTATTAGTCAACAGATCACAGAATTATTTCTATGGTATTACCTATATCAAATATTAGTTAATATTGAATTGATTTTTATCATTGTTTAAATTAACGAGTTTTAATACCAGTAAATATTAAATAATTTGTTTTAATAATAACTAGACAAATTTCGAAGTATGATTTGAACTATTGAAATTGATGCAGTCCTGTAAACATATTTTTTGATAGTAACACTTGTGAACTGGTGATGGATGAACAGGAAACAGATACTGTCATAGATACAAGTGGTCGGGAACAAATTGTTCGAGGTATTAATATATTATTGAATTTATAATATTTATTTTTGATTTTAATTTTTAGAAATAATATATTTAATTGTAATATTTTTAAAAGATCTGCTTGGAAATGATGAGTTTCAAAGTGAAATTGATTCTGGAACTTCACCACCTCAACTTGATTCTTTTCAAACACCAAAATCAATGGCTAATACTGATTATACACTTACTAATACTCCTGGTATTATTTTATATTTGTTCATTCTATATAAATTGTTCTATATTTTAATGTTTATTACAGAAAGTCAAAGACAAAGTGTAATAACAGTACTACCATGGGGAGCACATAAAGAACGTTCTCCATTTCCCAATGTAGACACAAATATTAAACCAGGAGAATATGTGATGCGTACATTGTTTGCTGACTTTACTGTGCAGGCTGAACGAAAAATGGAGGAAGTAATGATTGAACTAGAGAAACCATTAATGAAGATTTTACAACGTGGTGAAGATCCACAATTTGATCAATTATTGATTGTATTTGGATCAGTTGCTGAACATTGTTTACCTTCAATATTGAAAGCGCTTTTTGCTTGGTATGTTCGGCAAATTGGTGTATTAGATATCAATGCTACAGACTCAAAAAAAATTGAACTAAAAGGAAAAAAGTATGATTACACTTTATAATGATAAATTTATGTAATTAAATTTGTTTATATTTATTAGAAGTAGTTTAGAAGTATTTATAAATATATTTTAAAATTATAATTAATTGATATAAAATGTATATAAATTTTTACTTTAATAATTTATAAATTAAAATATGTTTAAGTGAAACTCAAATTTTTTCAGTGATACTATTGATAATAAAGAAATGGAAGTAATAGGAGAACGAAGAGATTTAGCTGTTGAATTTATATTTTGTTTAGCATTAATCGAAGTATTAAAACAACTACCATTTCATCCAGGACATGAAGATTTAGTTATATATATTGAAAATTTGTGCTTTAAACATTTTAAATATCGTGAAGGGTATGTAGAATCTCATATTGAATTTAGAATGATCTTGAGTTTTCTAGATAAACTTAAAAATAAAAGAAATTAGGAAATATTTTAATGAATTTTAATGAAAACAAGTAATAACTATTATTTCAATATTATGTCATATATATTTGACAGTTTTATTAATTAAATTTTTATTATTTTAATAAAGAGCACAGAGCTGTCCCAATGCACCAAATATACATATGGTAGCTGATTTGTATGCAGAAGTTTTGGGTGTTTTGGCTCAGTCTCGATTTTTATCTGTGAGAAAACGATTTATGGCTGAATTAAAAGAATTAAGAGCTAAAGAACCATCACCTCATGTTATACAAGCTATAATTTCATTGTTAATGGGAATGAAATTTTTTAGAATTAAGGTTGTTAAGTAATTTTTTACTGTATGCACATACAAACACATCTTTGCATATTCTATATATTTATTACTAAATAATAATTATTCATAAACAGATGGTTCCTATTGAAGATTTTGAGGCTTCATTTCAATTTATGCAAGAATGTGCTCAATATTTTCTTGAAGTCAAAGATAAAGATGTAAAACATTCAATGGCTGGATTATTTGTTGAAATTTTGTTACCTATGGCTGGTGTAAGATAAATTTTAGTATTTCAATTTATTATAATAATCATTTATTTTAATTATTTTAGATTGTTAAAAATGAAGTAAATGTTCCTTGTTTGAAAAACTTTGTGGAATCACTTTATTCGACAACTTTAGACATGTGTACTAAATCAAAACATAGATTGTCATTGTTTCCATTAGTAACTTGTTTGCTATGTGTTAGCCAAAAAATATTTTTCTTACAAAATTGGCATTACTTTTTAGCAATGTGTTTATCAAATTTAAAGAATAGAGATCCAAATATGGCAAGAGTTGCCTTAGGTAATTAAAATATCATTGACAAGAGTTAAATATTTTACTATCAATATTTAGTTGTATAATTATTTAATTCTATAGTGTTATATTGGAAACTAATAGTAATAAAAATATGCATCTATACCTGTACAATCATATATTATATGTATGATTTTTATTTTTTTAGAGGCACTTTATCGGCTATTATGGGTTTACATGGTAAGAATAAAATGTGAAAGTAATTCTGCAACTCAATCTCGTTTACAAAGTATAGTAAATTCATTGTTTCCTAAAGGAACAAAAGCTGTTGTACCCCGCGATACACCTTTGAATATATTTGTTAAAATTATACAATTTATTGCTCAGGTACATATTATTTTGTAAATGGTGTTGATAATTTGTATTGTGTATTGTATTATATGATTTTTTCCTAGGAACGTTTGGATTTTGCTATGCGAGAAATAGTTTATGATTTATTAGGTGTTGGACGAACAATTAAATTAATTCTTACTCCTGAACGAATGAGTATTGGTCTTAGAGCTTTTCTTGTTGTAGCTGATAGTCTTGAACAAAAGGAAGGTGAACCACCAATGCCAGGTACTTCAGGGGTATTACCTTCTGGTAGTACACTTCGTGTTAAAAAAACATTTTTGAATAAGGTTTGTATACTACGATATTAATTATATTACATATTTTATTAGTGGTGTGACTAACTAATGTGATGTATATTAAAAATTTATATATATTTTTTTTATTATTTTATAATGAAATAAATTTTAATAAAGATGCTAACTGAGGATACTGCAAGAAATATTGGTATTCATTCATATTTTCCTCATGTGCGTCGAGTATTTGTTGAAATCTTAAAAGCATTAGATATTCATTATGGAAGACCTTTGATGATGACTAGTACACAAAATATGAACAAAGTATGTATATATATATATATATATATTTATTGATATAATAGATTTAAAATATTTATTTTTAGTCTATAAAAACTATTATTAATATATTAACTATTGGACATTTGTATTATCATTGATTATAAAATAAACCTACCCATGCAAAGTTAACATTTAACTATTATAATTAGTAAGCTTAATATTATTAAATTAAATTATTTAAGAAAGATTACTTTTTTAATTTTTTTAATTTTGGCATAAAATATAAATGATTTTTATTTTATTATTTAAGTTCAGCAGCTCAAGAGTTACAGTTTTAATAAGAAATTTATTTCGGTAGAAATGTTGGTTGTTGTAGTTTTGGGGGGTGACATCCGCATTAAGATAAGAATAAAAATGTAATTTTTTGAAAAAATTATTAATTGTTCATTCATGGAACATTATCTATCGATAGTCTATATGAACATAATTTTAGTAGCGAAAACCTCAATACTATGGGAAACTTGTTTATTTTATAATTATTTATTTATTTTACATTTGTATTACATATTTGTTTATAATATTGTTAGGCAAAAGGATTTAGTACACAATTTGTAGAAAAAATGCATGTACATATGTTCTTAAAATAATCGAAATATAAAACTGAATTTTTTTTTCATAGTAATTGAAAAATTTGACTTATTACATTTTAGATGAAGATAATTTTTTTTATTTAGTAATTTACTGACAACAATAACACTATGAACATAATATTACTCTGTACGGTTGATTTAATTTTCTTAGTCTTCATTTACTGTAATGAAAAAAAGGGTTTAATATTTAAAAAAAATGTATAATTAATGAAATGTTCACCTGTAAAGTTTAACTATACAATAAAATATTTTCTGATTTTAAGGAATTTAAATGTATGGCAATTGTTGGTTAGTTTATTTCTATAAATTTACAACAAACATTCTATATCTAATGATGTTTTCGGTCCATATTTAAAATATGCTAAGTTATTTAATTTTAAATCTTCAGGTACACCCTATAAACTTTCTTGGTTTCCACATATCATTTTAATAATTTTAAAAATAAAATTGTAACCATAATTTTTCTCCAGCATAGTTTAAATTTTTATCTATGTAAATTTTGTTTTGTGTCCTCAACTATCAAAATAGCACTAGCAAGTGCCTTGTTCTTCGATACAAGTAAATGAGTTTGAATACTAGTAATCAAAGATTTAGTTTGAGCCCAAATATTGGGGGTGCTGAAATTGTTGAAAATAAAATTGATGGTATTTCACTGTAATTATTATTGATTGACTTAAAAAAAAACCAAGGGTGTTAAAGTGTATATTTTGTGCAGTCTCGTTAGATATTGTATCATTTTTATTAACAAGATTACAATCTCAAAATTGTAGTAATAATAAAGGGTATCTTGGATCCACAATCTGACTTGTTTTACCATTTTCAAATGTTAAGTAAACAAGTATCACATCTGTAAATAATATTTTCGTTAGATAATATTTGTAAGATACAATGATTCCATCATCTGAGAATATATTTTTCTCAAATTTTGTTATATATTGTTTATTTTTTGATAGAGCTATAATTTATAATCTTATTTTTATTTTTTTATTTTTAGAACCTTTAGTTATTAACTATTACAGTTCAACAATTACAGATAGTGATTACATAAACCAATTAAGAAATTAAAATAACATTGAGGCAATAGCAATTGGTGATAACTAAACGTTAAGTATACAAAAGGTGTTGATAAGAAATAATGATTATTAATTTGGATTCGGGAAGATATAAGGAGAGACGGTATTCTTAGATAGTAATGAGTTTAAGAGTGTGGATAAAAGTGAAATTAATGGAGTAATGAGGGAATGTAATTGTGTAACAAATTGAGATAAAATATTTGATATAGATTCGTTATTATTAGAATTGTTTGAGTTGCTTGAAGTTGCTTCTGCGTTTGCCTTGGCCCTAGATTTTTCTTTGTGTCGGGTGTGCGTGGACAGGGACAGGACTCCACTGTGACTGGCAAGATCACCTTTGAGGGCACTAATGGTGGTACAGGTGATGTGGTCTTGAGGTGACCATTCTTATGATTCTTACGATAGGTGTTCATAAATTTCTTTAATGAAGGACAACCTTTAAAGTTCGCGGTATGTGCGCCAGAACATAACGCACACTTTACAGGTAGTTCCGAAGATTTGACATAGTCCTTGGTGAAATGGTTGTTGCCACATTTGACACAACGTAGCGATTCGCTACAGTAGGAGCGAGTGTGACCGTATCGCTGACATTGTTTGCATTGAGGAGGGTAACGGGATTGATGCGGATTTTCGACAACTATTTTGGAGTTAAGAAGGGAGGATATTTGGAAGATACTCCGGTTAAAATCCCTTGCTTCTAGGACAACGGTGAATAAAGATAGAGCTTGTTTACTGTGGGATTTAAGTAATAAAAATCACTCACAATTTAATTTAATTAAAATAGACACTATATTATATAAATATGTATGTACAAATATCGATACGCGTTATAATTGTGGAGGAATTGCCGAATATATCGCGGAGTGTAATTCACGGTATGTCGCGGATTGTACTCACGAACTGACTGAATGAGCGTCTGACCAGCCGGTATATATATATATATATATATCAGCGTCGATTGTCTAGAACATTCTCGAAATTACCTTAATGAGATAATCACCGCATATTCTAAAACATGGGATTTCCCCTTATCCACTGACAATGTTGAAAACTACTTGGACGATTCGCGGTGCGTTGTTTACGTCACCACATTTACTAATTCTGTGGCGGACGTTTAGCACACTTATGATTGAGAAGCCCAAATCCCGGAGGGCCTTCTCTATATCTTCAACAGGAATAGTATAATGCAGATTACGGATAAGCACTTTGAAAGGGTGGATATGACGGGGTGCCCACGTATGGCATTCTAAATTTTTTTTTTTGATTCGTTGCAGTAATCGACTAGTTTATTGTAACCATCAAAATTATGAGGTTTGATAATAAGAGAACCCTTGGCGGTAGCCGTAAAGCCATCGGTACCCACCAGAGATATTAGATTTTTCTTTAGACTTGAATAGACTCTTATTTTTATTATTTTCTATTTACAATAATATTAATTTACAAATTAACAATGAAATATGCAGAAAAATTTAGATATTTTTCTAATTGCCGTGTTCAGTGACACGATGACTCATTCTTAGATTAGGTATATAAACTAACATATGACAGGGAAAAAAATTATGTCAACCTTCAAAATAAATTATTGAACATAAATTAGCAAAATATGCAAAATTATTAATAAATATATATATATAAATGTATAAAAAAATTTATAATTCAGTCTATAATGTCTTAAAACATGTATATTTTATTTAGATTATTCTAGAGCCTTTTTAAAGAATATGCAATTGCAAAACCCCCTGAAACTCTATAAATTATATTATTAATTAAATGGTTGAAAGGTTTTTAATTTAAATATATATATATTTTTTTTCGAGTAGTATGGAAATATTAAAATTTAATATTTTATGTAATTTTGGATACATTTATTCATTTTATATAATTTTACAAGTTATTTCAGTATTTTGATATCTTTTATATGTGATTTAAATAAAAATATTTAAAAAAAAGTTAGTTTGTATTTATAGTTATTTAACACCCGTATAATTTAATTTATAGTTTAATATATGGTTAATATCTTTAGTCTTAAGAATATAATTTAAAATACATTTCTTTAGGAACCTGATGAAATGATTACGGGCGAAAGAAAGCCTCGTATTGATCTATTTCGAACATGTGTTGCGGCTGTTCCACGATTAATACCTGAAACTATGACTGGTGGTGCTGATTTACGAGATATGTTGTCTCGCTTAACTGTGCATATGGATGAGGAACTTCGAACTTTAGCATATCAGAGTCTTCAAACTTTGATTATAGATTTTCCAGAATGGCGGCATGATGTAATTACTAGTAAGTATAATTTAGTATTTCATTAAATTTAAATATACTTTACTATATTATACATTGATTATTTAGGTTTTACTCAATTTTTGGCTCGAGATGTTCAAGATACGTTTCCACAACTAGTTGACAATGGTTTGCGTATGTTATTACAATTATTAACTTGCTGGAAAAATAGTATTACACCAGGATTGATTAAGAATCAAACAGAAAAAAATAAAAAAGTAGATTTAGCTGAGAGTCAACAAAAATCAAAAAAAGTTGATTTTTCTCAAGTTGAAGCATTTGCTTTAGTTATGCTGTGTAATTGTCGACTAAGTCCACGCCGCTTATCTGCTCATATACTTCGAGAAATAAAATGTCTCATGAAGATATTAGGTTAGAATTTTTCAATTATTTCTTAATAATTTTTTGAATAATGGTTAATTTTATTATTATTTAGATAATATTAAGGAAGAGTTGCCAGTTATTGATATTATTGATAAAGCTTGCCCTCAATTAATTGAGAGATGTCTTCCTATGTTACCTTCTGCAGAAAAATCAGCTGCGATAATGGCATTTGCAGCAAATTCAATTGATTTGCAATGGATTGTTGATCGTAATGCTCCTATATGGACAGCTGGTACAATAATAATTTATGTTTATTTATTGCTTTTTAGTACTTATGTATTTAGGTGTTCAGACATACTATTTTAAAATTTTTTTAGGAATTCAAGATGATTCCAATTCGACCAAAACTGCTTCTTCTTTAAGTTTATTGGGTGGGACTGGAAATAGTGATCCTTGGGGAACAATACTTTTTGGTATTTTATCCCAAAATGTTATTATAAAACAATGTCCTTCTGTTACTGCTCAGGCTTGGCCCTTGGTATTTTCTAGAGTTCAAAATCTTTTTACAGTAATTGACCCTACGTAAGTTAATATTATATACTTGAAAATTATTGTATTATATACTGTATTTATGATTATTTTATTTTTTCAGGCCAGTTAGCGATAATAGAGCTTCATTGTTAAGAAGCTCAGCTCCTCCAAGAAAACCTTTAACAGAACGAGATCAATATTTGACTCTGTGGCGATATTATGCAATGTTTGCTATGCGAGTTGTACCTCTTGCTCCAAATCCAGTTATACGATGTGCTTCACCTGATCTAAGTTTAAGTTCTTCACCTGATAGTTTAACAACTGAACGAAATGATAGTAAAAGTGTTACTCCAACAGTTTTGTATAAATTAGTTGCTCCATTATTGAGATGTGAAGTAGCTGATGTTCGAGATGCAGCTGTTTATGCAATGGGAACTATAAATCCTGAAGCATTAAAGTAAAAAAAAGAAAATCATTATTGTCATAAAGTTATTTTCACATTATTATTTTAAACAGAGATCTATTGGAAGAATTAATTGCTTACATTAAAGAAGCTGTGGATAGAAAACAGGAAAATATGAGAAGACGAAGAAGAAGAGATGCATTGCGTTTACAGTTAGTTAAGGTTTTTGAACTCATTGCAGGATATGGAACATTTGGTTGCAGGTATTTATGCAACATATTATTTTAAAACATATTGAAAGTCATGTATAAAATTATATTTTATTTGGTTTTTTTAGTTCATTTGTTCTAGATAGAGATACATGTTCATTACACCCAACAATTGAAGAATATGTCGATGGAGCTAGAATCTGTTTAGAATTAGAGTCAGAAAAAGACAGCCTTCGAGAAATTAAGCTGCACTTCTGTAGATTTGTTATGAAGATAATAAAAAGTTTTGAACGTAAGTACAATTGTAATTTAGGAGTTTCAAAAATAGTTATTATTAAATTGAATTGAATTAAACTTTTTTTAATTTTGATTTCAGTGGAAAACTATCGCACATTGTTAAAACGTGAATTAAGACAAAACCTTTTTACTCTTTTTTGTAATTGGGCTGAACATCTTGGTTCATCAGCTATATCAACAAGTTTATTAACAATAGATTTAGTTAAAGATGATTTACAAATGGCATCTTTACAAGCAGCCTGTGTAGTCCTTACTTGTGGACCTTGTTTTAATCATACTTTAGTTGAACCTGATGGATCTTTATATGCTTGGATAGATGTATTACTGGCACATCCTGATAAACGAGTTCATCAATTAGCCTTGGAAACAGTTGTTTTGTTGTTGGATTGTAATCCTGATTTAGGGGCTCTTCTAGACTGGGTTGTAGATAGATGCTATACAGCTGCACCATCTGTAGCAGATGCATGTTTTCATGCACTTGGAATAATTTTCAGTACTAGGTATGTAAAATTGTTTATTTATATTTATATATTTATTAAAAAGTAACTTCAGTTATTATCATTATTAGCAAACAAAATAAATACATTTGTATTTATTTATTTATTAAGATAATAAACGGGTTAAGACCCAATTACATGAATTAAATTTAAAATAGCGTTAGAGAAAATTATTACATAAATACAGAATAAATTAAAGTTTGGTGCAACAAAAAAATATAAAATAAAATACAATTAATATTAAATAAACATATCAAGTTATATGTACTGCTAGTTCAGCTGAAACATGATTTTTATAAGAGTAGAAGAAAGTAGAAAAAAAACAGATCAATATTATAATTATTTACAGAGTTCATGATTCTCAAGAGTGATGTGTTAATTACATAATTTGTAGTTTGAGATTTTAAATAGAATAGGTTAGTTGATCGGATGTGAGCTAAGGAAACTTTGAATGATAGACGAGATAAAAGGTTAGGACAATCAATATAACCATTTAATAACTTAAAAATAAAATATAAATCAAGCCTGATTCTATGCTGTTCAAGAAATTTCAGATTCAGATAAGTAAGTAAAGGATGGTAAGATATATGGGGAGTTCTGGATATATTCAACTTATAAGCTAAAAACCGTAAGAACTTGTTTTGAACTTTTTCTAGAGTATTTATTAATCCAATATTATATGGTGACCAGATAATTGAACAATATAAATAATAAAATAATAAATAGTATTGATTGGATAATGTATTAAATTAATTATATTTTTAAAATTATTAACATTGTTAAGTATAATATATACGATAATTAATAAATTTCCATGGAATTTTGTTAGGATTGAACTTTTTTTATTATTCAGTTCATCAGTAAGTAAATTTAAAAATTTATTTATTTTGTTCCAGGCATTATTGTTTTTTGTCTCATCTCTATACCTCCGGGTACTTTGGGTTCCATAAAATAGGTTGATTTTAATAATTCTCATAGGTGTGCGGAATGTGCCCATAAATCACCCAAAATGTTTTAAATGGGGCCCTACAATTTAAGTCACAATTCGGCCCCGCCGTTTTGTCTTCGTCAAAAAAACGAGTCCACAGACGTTTCGTCCCCGTAAATTAAGATAGGACGTTTGACCTCTGGAATTTTAAAACACTAAATTTAAATAGTTTTTTCTTTTTAACTTAAAATTTAAATTATTTTGAAACGCACAATTGTACAATAAATTTAAATCCAAAATAACCGTAAATTGCATAAGCTGTACACGCCACAATCGGAGAATGGTTACAGGCACGCACCAATAAAAAAAAACCAATTATAATGATAATACCTAATAATAATTTAGTTACAATTATATTAAGTAAACATAAATTATAAAAAATATATGATTAATTATTCCTGTCACATTTGTACAAATATTATAATTAAAATAAATCTATATAACTCCTGGGGGCCAAATAAACTATCCTAATAACAGACGGGGGCGAAACGTCTGCGATTCTTTATTAAAATATTTAAATTAATAGTAATAAAGAAAACCAAGATATATAATATTGATCATTAACTTTGTCGAGTTTGCAAAGCGCGTGCTAGAGTGTAGTTGGTACTTCTCGTATCGTGTCACTAGTTGGTATATTGTGAGCAGTATCGTGTATGGATTTAAGTTACCATTGAGTTAGTAACTGATTAGTAATTAAAATTACTATTTAGTTTTAATTAAAAACAACTTGTAAGATTATTTTGGGTGGATCAAAAACCACTATGTGAATTGTGTGATTTAAATTTTTAATTAGAATAAAATGTTTGTCATCAATTTAGATTAATTATTTTTAAAGACTTGCTTGATACAAAGCATAATATATAAATGTCGATAAAATCGATAATTCTCGGAGACAGTTTAAGCTTTACATGACGTATTATAAATTTACCCCTTAAAACGATGGATTATTTTTTTCAGTGGCGCCGAAGTCCTAAAAATTTAGTTAGGCGAAAAATATTTAAAGATGTCACAATATCTTAATATTAGCCCTAATGGGATATACAGCGAGGAGGGGATAGTGGTTTTATCCCAAAAATATTGATAGAGGTTTTAATTTTGTAATGAAGGTTTTATACTGCTTGGCAGCCAAACTTCAGTTCAATATGAAGCGGTCTCATCCTAAATTTTCAAAAGATGTCAGGCCAAGGCTTAATCTCAGTATAGGGCTATCGACGCCACTGATTTTTGTTAAATTATTTCAATACTTCATTTGGCGGGAAAGTACATTGGCAGATAAGAGAAAAGTATGATTTTGGTGGAAAAGAGAATCAATCAATTTACTATTTGATGGAATAGTCAAATAACGGTACACTTAGCCGGAACCTGGTATAAACAAAAAGTGGCAGTCACCTACCATCTTTAAAAAGGTGTGTGAGATAGGCTGAATCAGTTTTTTGATAATTATATAGTACTTGGAGTTTAATATGTGTATTGTTCAATATATTGTTTATTTCATTGTTTTATTCTTGATTAAAATTCATTGAAATACCCAATTTAGAAAAATTAAATTTTTTAACACTTACGAATTTTTGCAGATATTTATATTTAAATCTGCTGTTAGTGAGTTTCTGAGAGACATTTTAAAAAGATTTATTAAAAAAAAAAAAATAAAAAAAATAATATTATAACCAATAATAATTAGATTTTTATAGATTTATTAAATGGCCTATATAGCCTAAAAATATATTATAAATTATTTGAAAACATTTGAATTTAAAATTTCAATACTTGTAAATGTAATACTATTTTATTTACCCATAATTGCAATTATTATAATATCATTTAACTGTATAAAAACCTTATTTGTTGAATATTTTAATAACTGTTTTAATGTTGGTAAATGGATTAATTGTACTAATTGTTATAATTTTTTGGAATATTGTGTTTTGTGTTATTTTACTTTATTGTGATTTAATTATATTATTTACCAGTTTTCTACACGTCATAACGATACTAAGCTTTTTCAAATTTTGTTTTACTTGTATTGAAAAATTATCGATATTTTATATAGAGAATATCCATGTGATCATTATACGGCAATTATTAACGTTACTTTGATGAACACTGGTTGTCCTCGATCATCTGTACGAGATACTGCTTTACAGTTATTACAAGTCCTCGATAAGAGATTTTTTGGATCTGGGTGTGTTGAACTTTTACCTCCAACATTACCATCTGATTCCCCAGTTACAACACGTGAGTACTATTTTACAGTTTATGTATTAATATTATAGTTAAGAACTTAAAAGTATCTATGTTAAGTTAGAATGTACAGCTCTATAATTTTTAATTATATCTTAATTCTTAATTTACATATTCGGATATAGAAGTATTATGTATTGCTTATTTTGAATTTAAGTGTACAGAAAATATTATAATAAATTAGAAATTATTTCTATAATTTTAAAGTGTTTTGCAATAGACACGAAGAATTTAAAAGTACAATCATGAGATAAAATTTAATTTTCATAATTTATAAACTATTTTACAATAAAAACTATCCATCGATTTAATTATAAAAACTATTGTAAGATATTTTTAAAAATAATTTGTTTTTCATGTTAGGTACAGTGGTATATTGGAGGGTATACGCTGGTATACGCCGTATACCCGGATCTCTGTTTTTGGATTTATGCGTATACTTTTAAGAAAATTCGTCTTATCATGGTTAACTAATCATTCATTCATAATGGGTATACACAAGTTTCTAATTTTTCATCACCATAAAAGCATACATTATACAACAACAGTATAGAATTTATTATTATTATTATATACTATAGCCACTATCCAAAAATAGCCTCGTGCCCGCATAAACTTAAATTAAATTTTCTTCGACTTCGGGTATTTGTGAAGACGGTCGGAAACTGCCGAGCGCCTACATTCTGTAACATCAGAATTTTAACAATACCGGTGGACATGTGCGATATTGTATTGTCGAGTGGATATTATAATTGTTAAAAATAGATCAACAGTCAAAAAGTTCTGTTTATAAATTTATCACATTATTAACCGATCTGTCTACGATGTTTTGGATAGATTGTGATTATTAATTATTATATTGTTGTCAGTTTGTCACTTAGTATTTATTTGTCGCATGTTTGTGCAAATTATTTTAAATTAATACTAAAATATTATTACACATAATAAAACATTAGGTTTCGTATATGATATATACCTACGAGTTAATTAAAAATAAGTTTAAAATGTAGACTTCCATATCAGGCGTGGATGTAAGGGGACTAAGGGGGTGCGCATCCACTAAAAATCCCCCAAAAATACTTTTGTTAAAATTTTTTGTACACCCTCTTCTTAGGAAAAAAGCCTTGCGAGGGTATATCCCACGTCCCCATCATATTATGTAATTTTGAGTTTAGGCAGGTAGAAAATTTTCTTTTTAAGCGGTTTAGTCCCCCTTCCTCCCACCAATAAACGCTTATGTGCTGAGTGTATACCCTAGAAAAAAATTACGAATACACTACTGGTTAGGTAGGTATATCATTCTACATTAAAATATTTACAAGTTTTTATACGAAATTGTTCAGGAATATTAAAATATAACTTAGAATTTCATTGAAAGATTTAAAAATTAATATTGTAGTATTATCCGTATTATATACGTGTACAATATTCGTTTATGAAGTCGTTTTTTCGTGGTTTCGATTTTACGTAAAATATTTATTTTAAATGGAATTCAGTAATAGTTAGCGTATGTTTTAAATCAAAAAAATATACGAGGTATAAAATGGTATGTACATATTTAATATTAAAATTTATATTTCTTATATTTCTTGGGTTTGTCGGTGATTAAGACCATCCTGTCACACATCCAATTCTCCAGCCTTCCTTATCAGCCGCTCGTGCTTTCTAATCGGGCCTTCCATTCAGTGGCTCCATGTTAAGTTAAACTTAATGTTCATAAAAATTAAAAAGTAGTATTTTATTATTTTGTTATATATCATTCAAATTTGTGTTCATGTTAAAGGCTTTATATATTAAAAGTAAGTGTTTAAACATGCAGTTGAGTAAATTATTTCAAGCGTTCAAACTTGCATAACTTTATATATTTGGTGGGTTGCAATTTAAAATGGGAAATTTCGAATAAATACAGGAAAAATGTTACATTATTTTAATTGATTAGTAATTTTTATCTGAAAATATAATACAGACATTGACTTAATTTTTTTTTGAAAAAAAAAAATGAATTATATGTATACCTATTTTCCTTCTATGACGTTGTTAAGAATGTAGTTTTCATGTACAGAACCTTTTATTGGACTTATTGAATGAAATTAACTATTTGTGACTTTATTTATTTGCAAAAATGGTAAACCGAAAAACATTTTTCGATATATATTATCCATTATCTTACTGCATTATTTGATTAATAATAAAATTATGAAAAATGCGAAAAACATTTTTGTAGCAAAACAGTGTGCGGTTTTAACCTACTTAAATTATAGAGTAATTTGAAATAGCTATATAAAATAAACCGGATAAAGTGTAAAGGTTCGTTTTCCCTGTAAAGTCCATTCGCAATATCACTAGACTGTACATTTTATATGTGTCTTCTTGCGCGTTGGTAAAATAACGCAATATGTCCAGACGAACTACTTGTTTGGACAAGTGCTGCAGCATTTAGACGTCCTATGTCTATACATTAAAAATGTCAAAAAAAATTGTGTTTTCATCAACCGAAGATGTAATATTAATTGAATTAGTTGAGCAAAATAGGGACATTTTCGACAGTGCTAACGTTTTTTTCACATTAACACTAATATAACAGTAAGAAATTGGTAAAGCAAACAACAAAGAGCGAAAAGATTCGTCTGTAGCTAGATATATAGATCATAATTAAAAAAAAATTTGATTTACAACATAAAATAGTTTTACGTACATATTATGGTTATGGCTATTACAATTAAGTTTATTAGTAGGCAATTTTCACGCTAGTATTCAATTATTTTTTAAATTAAGTATTATAATTATACTGTTGAATGTATTTCTCTAATTAGGAATCATTATTAAAAGTAATTCATCTCTAAACTCTTATTCTTTGAACATTTCACAAATAATATTATTATTATTATTTAAAATTCATTGTCTTTGTATCATGATGAAGATATTTGTAAAATTAATTTAAAAAGCACGTGTGTAATCACATTGTTGACAAGTACTATGATAGAATTTCAGTTATCACAGTTTGTTCGAAAAAACAAAAACTACTGCGTTGAGACGTATGTAGAGAAAATAGGCGAACGCTGCGTCTAGATGACAAATTCTGCGTCAGAGTGTGCGATTTTAAAATAGTTCCAATTGACCTGCGCCAATAATGCGAAATAATGCATGATTTTTAATATAATGAAAATTAAATTCTATTTTAATTTTTGTATTGGCATTTATCAATATTGGTAGCACTATTTAATGACAAACATGATGTTGATTAGAGGATACCATAGAAATATGCCTTTAAATTTTACTTTTATAAAAGTTATAAGTATATAAAATAAATTCATAAATGTAAATATTAAAATAATAATACGAATAAAATGTAAATATAAGAATATAATATAATATGAATCTGCAAACTCTTTATTATATTGTTATATTCAGTGGTTAAAGTGGGAAAAATGTTGTGGGGGGACTATATTCATCAAAAACTGAGGAGCGTTCCTCTACCTATTCTAAATCTTACTAACCTTTTTTAGGAAACTCATGAGATCTAAATTTCTTCTGTTACACATATATGTTCATAAAAACTTTATTTTCATAGGATGTAAAAATAAATTGAAATATATAGTAGGTAATGTTTAAATACTTAACTTAAACTTAACAAAACTAAAAAGAAACAATTACTATTCTTGCTAGTTGTTGGTCAACGTAGACAGTAACAAATATGTACATTGTACATAAGGTGTGTACTATATATATAAGATAGTGTCTATCCTCTATCACAATTTAATATTTATACTTTTCATAGTTAAGCATGATTCACACTATTTAGTCACGTACCGACAGACACCGTACCGTACCGTTCCGGAAAATATTTTAATATTTGTTTAAATACAGTAATTCACATTTAAACGTTTCCGTTCCGTTCATACACGTAGCGAACCGACAGAGTCCGTCCGGCATTCCGCGCTAGAATGTTTTGTCGGAACGACACGTGTCTGATCCGGTCTGAACAGGTATGATAAGTGTGAATGAACAACATACATAATATTATAATATCCGTCTGCTGTTATTCACTGGAAAATTATTCGCAGTCACATACTTTTGAAGTTCGTACATATTATACAAACTTCTCATTTTTTTCACTTTTTTATATTTTTTACTCGTGATGAATTTAGAGTTATTAATTGAATTCGTTAGAGACCAAGAATGTCTCTATGCATTATCACAAAAATTTTTAAACATATTTCAAACTTAAAATATAAAAAAAAGCGAAAAAAGGGAAACTTGTGTAGTCACTTTACGATGTTGTAGCGAAAATGTAGGTATGGGAACAATAATAAGTATAGTGTATTTGAATGGTACGGTACGGTGTTGGTTGGTACTTGTCTGAATAGTACGAATTGACCAATGTATCCAATGCTCGAATTGGGAAAAATTAAGTAGAGGAGCTCAGTTTAACGATTTGAAAACTGCGTTCCACGTGAGCAATTATTTGACACAGACCGTAGGGGGTTTCGTCCCTCTTCTCCCCCTCCACCAACCTTAAATATATTTTAAATACCACTTTTCAGCTAAACAAATATTTAAATTCCAAGTATAATATATTTTGATAGCAATACCAACATCCTATATGTTCAATAGAAAATAAAAATAAAATAATAATTAACATAGGTAATTGTAGGTTATCAGGCAGTCTCATGAATCGAATGATATAATCATATATTTGGTTTTTGTTTTTATCTATTTTTACTCTTTAGTGCGGGCCACGGCCTTAGAAGATTAGTCTAAGCATTGATTATAGAATAGATTCTATTCTATAATCAATGGTCTAAGGTCGTGGTGAGGACATTTATTTTTTCCAAAATTACGATATCGTTGATCGTCAATATTAATAACAAACTGTACAATGTATAATGTATAATACACCAAATTCACAGACATTACTATTTATATTTTTCCGGAAATGACGACGTGTCCCTTATCATAACCACCATATAAACTTTAATTATAAAAATAGTTTCGATATTATAAATTGTAAAATTCATTTTCCAACTGACGTAAATTGAAATTCACATAAAAATTATTTTGGACATCAATTAGGATGAACGTGGCGTCTCCCCGTTCCGGTGAAAAAATATAGTTGGGGTACGCAAAAAAAAAAAATAGTAGAGGAGCTCCGTCCATTATTAGAATGACGAACAAAAATTATTTATTCATTATAAGCGATTTGTAACCTTATCCGAATTAAGTTAAAAGAATGTCCTCTATGGGGGACATAGGGTCTGAAAGGGTTAAAATTATGTATGTTTTTTGACCACCTCTAGTACTTACGTTTAGTTTAATTTGAGTTGGTCCTGTTTCCAAGTTCTTTAAGTCTAGCAGAAATGAGTCATTTAATGCAATTTCAGAATGCTTGGGTTGAATATTGTTAAGATTATCAGGTATTGACGATTTATTTATTTTAATTTTACATTTATTGGACTTGGATCATCCACTGCAAAGTCTTTGTTGTCCCTAGTTCGTGGTAATGTTTTCTTGTCAGGCTTTTTCTTTTTATTAATATACTAAACATTTTTTTTTAAAAAAAATAAGAAAAAGAAAAAAAAAAAGAAACATAAATATCAAAATTAATTATAAATGTATGAAATAATATGCTTTATAATTAAGTATAAGTCAGACGTGTGTGTGATTAGCAGTACACGAGCAAACAACAAAGACGGACCAGTCACCAGTTTCGAGAAAAATACTGATAAGTAAATAATTATTATGTGTGTGTTCCATACAAATTATTATCCGTTATCGGCACAGCCGTGCCGTTAAGATTGGGGCCCAGGGCAAAATTAAAAATATTTGCCCCCTATTTTATTTATCATCAATCCTTAATCATAATTTTATAAATTCTTGACACCCCTTTAAACCATGCGCCCGGGGCGTTGACCCCTAGGTCCTTCCCACGGCACGGCTCATGTGTATGTTAGTGCAACAATTGTCAATACACAATGTTAATATTTAAAGCTTGATGAATTTTAGGAAAAATTATTAAAGCATTTAAATTAGAATTTTTTTAATTTTAGATAAAATGAGGGGGCTACATTCCCCAACTGTCCCATGTATACTACGCCTATTATTTTCTCCGAAGGACATTGATGTGAGTCAATTTATGACTAATATAATAATATATTATATAAACATAAAAAGCGTTAAAACATGTGGGGTTTTGAATTACTATTTACACTCAATTGAGTACAAAAATACAAAATTCGAATTTAAATCTTTTTTTTGATTTAATTCAGAATTTAGATTTTGTATCCGAAAATTCTAAATTCGAATTTTTTGATTTTACGAGAATGCGGATTTATATCACATCATTAATAAACACTGGAAATATAATTTCCTCAATATCTTTTTTCTGGATTATTTTATTATAAACAACAAAGATTTTTGAGGATTTATTTATAAGTTTGTAAACTTATGATTTTAATGAAAAAATTAATTTTTTAAATTTGACAATGTATATTTTACAGTTGTTATAATCTTACATAGATGTATCATTTGTTAAAAAAAGATTGAATTACTATATTTTTTTAAAAATGCATTAGTTAAATTATGATCACAATCTTACAAATATTTTACTATTTACAGTTTACATGATTTTAAGTATATTATTATTAGGTGCTTTTAATTTTGTCCGATTGGTATGAGTTCATGAACTTCTTTCCAAGTCCCGTTCACAGTAGTTTGTTTTGATCCCACACCACTTTTTGAAAATTCTGATAATACTGTAACATAAGTATAATATATATAAATGTATAAATGTATAATGTACATATACACACACATACAATATATATATATATACCTGCATACAGTATGTTAACCAATTTAGGGAACACTGCATTTCTCGGCCGGATTATATTGGAATAAATCTAAGTTTTTTACAAGCTAATAGTATATAAATACACATTTTAGATTCACTTAAAAGTTTATTTTTTTGGTATGCATAAGCGCAATAATTTTTTTTTTTTTTTTAATATCAATACTTATTCTAAACATTAACTACTACACTAACTCGAATAAGCATATTTTTTTAAAGTAATTTTTATGTATCAACTATGATTCTAAAATTAATATTGACTGAATAAGAGTCATTTTAATTTTAATAAATAATATATTTTTACGATTCATTAAAATGTATATGACTTTATAGTAATAATACTCTTATTTATAATTATTTATTATTATATTTAATTTTAATATTAGTTTAATTAATAAATTATGTTTTTATGTATTTATTTTTATTTTTTATACGTATTATAAACAAGATTAAAATACTAACAACATATTAACAAACAACTAAAAACCAACAAAATGTACAAATGCTTTTAATTTATGGTAGATACTATATAAATTCTCGCCAGTCAGCAGAAATGTATTCTAAATAACACCTGAATAATATCTCGGTCGATATCATTAATCACACAAACTTTTTATTGAAATAGAAAAATTTTTTTTTTATTTTTAAATTCTAGTTTAAAAAAAAAAATTAGACATGTTCAAAAGTTTTACGTATATCTTTAACGGTTAAATCGGCAACCCGCAGCCCTCGAAACTTTGCTGCGGCCCTCCAATTATATTTCATTGTGTTTGAAATTTAAATTTTGTATCTTAAATTGTAATAAATAAAATCATGACTATTCTATAAAAATGTGAGATAAGTTATACAAGTAAATGAGAACGTAATCTGATTGTATATAAAATATATATATCAACGATAACGAAAAATATTAAAATATTTTATTAAAATCTTTCTGAAATTTAAATTTAAAGGAAATTAAAATGTTTGCTAAAAAAATTATTATTGCTTTTTGTTACACTTACATTTGTGAGCAGACATTTTTAATACTAAAATTCTGAAAAAATAAATATTGTTGACTATCTGGCGACGAACACTTGAATGCAATTTTAAGAATACCAACAACCAATATGAAAGTGGATATAAACAAATTAGGGGAAAAAATTCAACCTCAAAAATCATACTAATTAATAATTATTTTTAAATTTTTAAATTTTCTCTACTAATCTATTTAATTCAAAATTAGTTAATAAGGACAACCAAGTAATATTAAACTCATAATACGATTGTTGCTAACCATAAATATATTAGTATTATATGTTAAAATTGCATTTTTTAATATTTCAATTTTGTATGCGGCCCTGAATGAAAAGCTGATAAAAATATGGCCCACGTAAGTAAAAAGGTTGACTATCCCTAGTTTAACCGATTGAAAATTCAATATAGATTGGTAACAGAGGTAAGAATTATAATAAACTATTTTGTTATTTTCTAAAAATTACAAGTGATATTGAAAAACAATGTTATACTTTCCGAAAATTTGTTGTTAAATCATTAAAGTTACGTGTTTAAAATGATTATTTTAAGTGTTATAAATGTTAAACTATGTATTTTTGTTCAACATAAAATTATATTTAAATTTTTGATAATGTATGGAACTCATTTATTATTTTTCTGTGAACTATGTTTGAAATTATTTAGTTATTATTTGAATAAATATTTTATCATTTAATTCAATGTATTTAAAATCATAGAAATTCACAGTTTCAAGATAATATCTTTAGTTTCATTTATTAGTTTTATTTAAATCAAAAGTAGATATTTTTATAAAAATTAATTTTAAACCCACTTTTTTTAATTTGCGTTTGGGTAACAGTTTGATACTGTTTTCTAACTTTGTAGTTTGAATACTGATAGCTTACGCAATATATCTTCATATTATGAAGAATGTATTTATTTTTGTTTTGAATTAAATTTCATATTCAAAAAACTGAATATAAATGTATTTGTATGTGTATAATATATAGTTTTATTTTTTATAAATGACTTATGATATTGTCAATAGGTAAATTTACTTCTTGTCTCCAAAATCAACTTTAATTAACAGACATTTGTATAATTTCCTGTTTAATTTTAAACTATAGTTAATATTTATAAATATTTTTAATATACGAGTAGTTGACGTTTATAAAAACTATTTTTGGCGTATTAATAAACTACATGTTATATTGTTTCAAATATGATAATCAATATTTCTGGATATTGTTAATATCTGTATTTGCATAAGCATTTGGTCTAGCTTAACTTAATTTTGAATCTTTGTATTTGATAAATTTATATATTTTTTTTTTCATAAATCATAACTATAAATGATACTTGGTCTGGTAGTTAAAACTTGTATATTTTAATATCAATTATAAAATAGCGAATTTTATATATTTTTAGTTGAAAAATTATACGATTAAGTTCGTTTGTCAGCATAAAAATGCATAAAAAGGATTGTTATTTCAAAGTTTCTTTCACGCAAATAATGCTTACCTGTTGTAATCTGGGTGTCTCTAAATCTTTTATTCGGATGTCTTCTTTTACTCCAAAACTCAATTAAAGCTCTTCTAAAATTTTGACCACTTATACAGTACAATACAAAGTTTATTCCAAAGTTTGTGTTGTACATCTGATTTGCAATAAACTGTATTGTTTTGAATTGTGATGGGGTTTTCTGAAAGTGAAAAGTTAATTTATAAAAATGTTATGTACAAGTTTGAATCCATACATTATAATTGATGTAATTTTCCCCTTAATATAGTATTATTGTTATATGGTCTAGAAATAGCCAATTATAATATTTTTTATCAAACTTTAAGACCAATCATAAGTTTTTACCTGGTCCCATACAATCCATACTCGGAATACGTAGGCTGGTAGATTAAGACAAAGAAACACTGTAGATACCACTAAAAGCATTTCTGTAATTTTCATTTGAGATGTGTGTTGTGAATTACGAGGAGTAGGTTGCCTTCGTCTTGATGGATGAAGTGTCATTGTTCGTCTAGTTCTGGCTAACCGACACACTGATTGACAAATCATGCAATTGAATATCACGATCAGGAAAAATGGTATCACCATATTTATTAGAACATCTGCATAGTTTAGCCATACGAATAAATTGAACCAGTTAACGTTCAAGTCACATACTCGTGCTGTTGAGTTACTATTTATAAAATAATAAAATTTAAGTCTGAGACAAAAATAATTTACATAAGTAAATTTATGAAATTAGTATTTTTATTTTATTACACAAAAATTAAGCTTTTTGGATTTATAACTAAGTATGATATTATAGTTATATATTAAAATAAATAACAAGCATTACCTACTTTATTTATTTTAAATTATATAAATGTTGAGATAAATTTTCGTTTCCTATACAGTTTTTTTTACATAAACGTAGTTGAATCTATTTTTTTTGTTATCATTCTGAGTTTATGTTTTACTAGGAAAAGTTCCAAAACTTCTATTGACTTTTCAATTTTATTAACATTAATATTATATTATTTGTTAATGTATAACAATAAAGAACAATATTTAAAAAAATAAATATTTTTAAAATATTTACGTCTATATGAAATTAAATTTATTATTGCAATTTTGCTTATAGATTAGTAAATTAGTATTGTAATATTTAAAAGTAATTTTTGAAATATATCTTTAAAATATTTGATTAAAATAAAAATAAATAATTTTGTTTATAATTATTTTAATAATTTTATTGTTGAAGAAAAATATCTAATATTAGTAAAATATACGTAAACTTTTTTATCTTAAAGTAATGACTTCATTTTATTATGTTAACTACCTATATAATTACACATGATTATATGTCATTCTTTTTCCTTTTGATTATACTATGTAAAGGACTTCGGTCCGTTATAGTTTAATAGTTTTGTTAATTAAGGTAACTAATGTATATTCATTGTTGCTTTAAAATAAAATAAAGTAAAAAATGATGGTTTTACTGTATGTTTAATTTTATTTAATCGTTGTAATCGTAAAAATAAATAATATTTTGCTATTATCACAAGAAAAACAAATTTTAAATACTTACTTAACTACAACGTTTTGAGGTTCAGCTATAACTAAATAGGGCATATGCACGACTAATGCAATCGTGATTAATATACATAGAACAATTTTAGCTCTGTATACTGTACATACCACTGGTCTATGTAACGGATACCGAACAGCTATAAAACGTTCTGACGTGAACACCACCACCAGCCACACGCTAATAAAACTACATAACTAAAATAATAATATACAATTATAAAAGGAACATAAACACATTTTTAAATCATTATTTTATCTATAAAAACTGTTCTTTAAAAATACATGGTACATTTTATTTTTAGTTTTAAATAAATATTTAATATTTGTGATACTGTATTTATTATAAGAAAAGTACTATAAACTGAAAAGTAATACTCACCATTAATTAAATACGAATTATTTTAAAATGTTTTGATTACTCCATATTATTTATAACATTTATAAAACAATTGTCAATAGGTGAATCAATTTGGGTTTGTATAGTTTTTGGCTTTTGATGATATTATTATGTAAGTTATTCAATTGTTTTATTGTAGTTCGAATTATTTTGGAGTTACATATTCATTCAACTACATCTTATTTTTGGCTCTGGAGATAAATTATTTTTTGAATAATGCACGCATTCTTATCTGTTTTTCATCATAATTAGAATAATGCTTTAGGATAGCTTTATTAAAAGCCCACACCTGAGAGAAATTGATTTTCTTCATCTGTAATTTACGTACTGTTATATTTGAAGGAGAAGAATTGTTATATACGAGACAGATGTTGGTGCTATTTAATTGTTATGTTACTGTTTATTATGACATTTAATTGATTTAATTTAAATCGCGTGCATCTATCATGCTCCGTTAATTAATTACTACTAATATAATCTTATTAGAACTTATTATTATTTGATTTTACGATAATGTAAAAGTTAACATATATAATAAAGAATAATTTATTCTTATAAAATATTGAATTTGGTATTCAATTAATTTTAAATTTGTATAAACATAATTTATTTGTAAACGATATCAGTAGAACATGTAACATGTAAGTGTTTAGAGAATTTAAGTGGATATTACTTTAGGTTTGTTAATAGAAATGCCTTCTCATGTTAATATATAATATGTAATTTATTATCTCTTCATTAAATATGCCTTTTTATTAAATTATAAATTTTTTTCTGAGAAAAACTACAATAAAACATTGTTAGTTTTGTAACGTTGTATTTTTAAGGAAAATAATTTTTTTAGAAAGTAAAACCGTAAGTTGATCAACATTCCAAACCACGTATTCATTTAAGTCGATTGTAAAATTAACTTTTTATATATTTTAAGAGAGTTATTCGAATTTTGGAGTAATTTCAAAATACATTGAACATTTCTGAGAACGGTCTTATTTAAAGTATTCATAATGTTTATACATTTTACCAGTAAAATTTATTTATATTTTTTATATTTATTTAGCCCATAATTTATAATTCTTATTTTTTATTTTAGTGGTGACTATTTGATTCAATTTTTTTTTACAAACTTTTGAAAATGAATTTATCATTAAAATAATGAATTAAATTATTATTTTTGATATTGTGGAATGATATCAATAATTATGCTTATATTTTTAGTTATTTTTCTATTACGTTGAGCTGTAATATATACGAATTTATTTTGTTGTCTTTTTCTTAAATTGTATTTTATTGATAGGTATTATATTTTAGGTATATTTGTGTAGTTATGGTGACAAAAAACTAAATGCCAGTGTAAATAGAAGACATTTTTTTAAAAAAATCTTTATAGTTAGGTATTCCATTTGTGACTGAAATATTCGATTAATTACTTCTATTTCGATATGCCCTTACTCCACTTATATTTGGAACAAACAATTCATATGAATCCCTCGGGGTACCCTTAGACCACTTTGTGGTCACTTGATGGTACATAGTAGGTACCTTTATTTGACATTACAAACATGTCTATGTAAATTTAATGTTAGATTGTATACCGTTTGTGTACGAATTAGCAAAATTAGGGAAAATATTTGTATTTAAATGAACGTAAGCGGCGTTTATCCGAAGACACTTAAATCATTTTACGGAAAGTAATTCTGAATTTAGATTTTATCTTTATAAATTATTATTTTACTTCTCTACATTTGATAACTTTTTTTTATTTTTTCCGAAGAATATATTATTTTTTCAAATATTGAATATAAATTTAAAAGAATAGTATTTTATCCATTTCAGGAAAATATATTAATTAATTTTATTAAATAACCAAATTTTAAATTGTTAAATATTGTGTCACTGTTGAAGCACATTTGCAAGATGTGCAGTAAACCCATTTATTCCCGTTTTTGTTATGTCATAATTTTTATTAAAACAGTATCTTTATAATAAAAATAAAAAATAGTTCCCAGGTCGGTCGAGATACAGGGATGGTGTTCCTGTATTTTTGAAATTTATATCAATATACCATTACTATCAAAACACGATTCTAAGTGAAGGAAGTTTAATGGATCAGTTTGTATTTTTGAAAATGGATGATATAGTATAAAAACCAAAGTCCATATTAGTAGGTTGGACATTTAATTTTTTAACTTTCAAAATAAAGTCATTGAACATTTTGAAAATCGAAAATTTCAAGTTCTTATAAACAACACAAACTTCATTAAAATATACGAAACTAAGAAATATTTTTAACTTAAAACTACCTATTACCGTTAAATGAAAATTTGTTGAAATATTTGATTTCATCAACATTTTATTATGTAACGAATATATATTCTTTTATAATTCGTGAAATACATAATTATTTCATCAACTGCATACCTTTTCATGAAATGGACACTACATTTTCACATCGTGTAATTTTTTTTATCAACTGGTCAGCCACTTTATGAAATAAAAATATGCCTATTATTTTGCACCTGAAAATTACTTTATATGACTTTTCAAAATATTATAATGGTAAATTGTGTCACTTATCTATTTAATATAATTATTCTAATATAATTATTATATGATTCATGACCTAATTTTGATCTGTAGTTGATCTTGTTAATATATATTATATTTAATTTTCGTGTAATCTCCGTGTATAGTGGTGTATTGGTATGCACTTTAGAGAGTGAATCAGTACGTTGTAAAATTATATGCATGAATGTTGATTGTCATTTTAAAATGGAATTCGAATTGAATAGAATTCGAATAGAATGGATCCGAAAGTTGAATTTTATAGAAAGGTGGACATTTATTATAAAAAAAAAAATCTGGTAAAAGATCATATATCCTTGATTTCTTCAACGAATCATTGAAGAAATCACAGAAGCTAAATCTAATACGTAAGTGCATAGTTTAAATTATTATATCTTTAATCAGAAAAATGATAACCATATTTTTAGATATAAATTTAAGAAAAAAAGTAAGAGCCGTTGTCACAATACAAAAACTGCATATTAAAATAAATAAAAATAATAAATAAATTTTGAAAAAGATTAAAATATGAATTTTTATTGATATCTATTATATTTTTTAAATTTTTTTTTCTTTTAATAATTTATTTAAATTTAATACTATAAATGTATTATAGTTGTGTTAGTTGTTGTTAATCGTTTTTACAAATATTTAGAAAATTTTTTGGAAACTCGTAAATGAACCTTTGTAAATTACTAACTAGACAACATTTTACAAAAAAGAAAAACATAATTCATGGTAAAATGAATACATTACTCGTTTCATTCAGAATCTTATAGTCATCATTAATATTTTTATACAGCATTTAACGAAAAAAAAAAAATGTGCATAAATGTCAACATATTTAAATTGTAAATAAATGTAAATTTCAAAATAAACTATTCATTATTATATTCTTTAAAATACGAGACCTGTCATGTGAATAGTATTTTTGAAATTTTAATTGAATTTAATATGTATATAATGTGGTTTGAAATATATAATATGGCATTTTAATTGGTGGTACATTATATTTTTTTTATTTAATTGATGTATTGTGAATAAACTTATTTTTCATGGATACAACATTTACTTAGAGTTGTGTTTAAGATGATTGTTATAATTGTAATTTAATACTCAACACTATTTTTAGTATTTTATAGACTATAATTTAATTAAATTCTTATACTATTCAGTTTATTAAATTACAAAATTATATAGATAATTCAATAAATCGATAAACATTTTATTTTAATATATTTATAGTTGTAATTATTTTTTGAATTTTTTTCATTGTTTTGATAAAAAATCTATGAGTATTGAATAAAAAGTGTTGTAGCTTTGGGAAGGTCAATTTTATAAAACATAAAAAGTGTTTTATAATTTTAAATTTTAAAAGAATTAGTTTGAAGGATAAATATAATATTTCCGATGGTTATTTACTATATTATATTAAGTGATTTATAAGCATATATTGGCAGCATAATCAGTATGTTCAATGTTGATTATATGGAGAGGGGTATTTATTTTTAAAAATAAATTACCATAAAAAATAGTTTGAATAATTTTAGAGTTGGACAAGTACTTGACTTCGTAACATTTTGCGAGTCGAGTACTCGAACTCGATTTGTTGTGACAAAAAAAATGTTGTACTCATTAAAACGAGTATTCTATTTTACTCGACTTAAATGGAGTACTCAGCTTGAATCAATTAATGGAGTTTATTTCACTACTTCATTTAAAAATAAGTGTTAAAACCATAAATAACTGATATTTTATATAATATTTTCGATGGAAAAAAAAAAATTATACATTTTTTTAAGATTAAATATTAATATTAATTGATTACTCTAAACAATTATTTAAAATAGTATTATATAAAATAAATACTTTTTTAAATGATATACAACTATTGTTGGTTAAATTTTGTTATTACCTGTGTGAAGTATATGATAAATTGACAAAAACCATCCATGTGAAATATTCCAATTCCAACTTTGGCTAGTTCTGGCATTAATTGGGTTAATAAAAATAATGTGTCACTGATTGCTAACGAAGATAAATAGTATGACGATGATTGTTTCCGTAATTTAGTTCCAAAAAATACTAGTACTGATATACAATTTCCCAAACTTCCGAGACATATAACTGCCAATGGGTAATATTTTTGAAACCTGGAAAGTGGACGTAGCTTTATTAAAAGTTTTTAAAGAAAGTCTTCCTTTATCGTAGTTTTTTAAAGTACGTATTTTGAAATATTTTAATTAATTATCAGGTTTTTGTTTAATTTTTAACTCCACAAAATCTATTTCTTAATAAATTAAATTTTAATGGTTTCCTTTTGAAATATTTTATGTTAAGTAATTTAAAATGCATATATAGTTTTAATTTATGTTAGATTAAGATATATTTTATGGTAAACCTATACGTTTTTGATTTTAATTTATTGAATATAAATGATATATAGATTGTATACGTGGTACTTCAAAGAAATATTTGTAGTTTAAACAATACGAGTGTGCTGTATTTTGTAAATTGTTTTATACATTTTATTTTGAAAATAAAAATAAATGTGCTCTGTGATTTAAGTTATTTTTATATCTAATATTAAAATTTATTATGAACATTCATTATCAAAATAAATATTTATTAAAAAGGAAGTTATTGTTAAGTATGTACTACCTAGTTTTGTACTTTTTCTTAATTTATTGAATTATTAATTTTCTTAATAATAAATCTAATTTTAAAGAATGTATTGTATATTTATGTATGTATTTTGCATGTCAATACCGTATATTAACAATAGATTATTATTTAAAATGCTTTTATCCTTGGTTTGTATATTAAATGTATTAATAGCGAATACAAATTAATCTTTTAAACAAGATTCGATGAAATGTTCGGTTGATTATATTTTTTTATATTTTTCGAGGGAAGTGCAAAATAATATATTGGTTATATAATAATGTATTTATATTACATTTTTTTTTTTTTTGTTAGTCTGTAACCATTTTATATTACATTTAAAGTTAATATAATTTTATTTAATGAATTTACTGAGTTATTTTTGTTTTTTTTTTTCAATTGATATTATTTGAAGCAGTTGTAAGGACTTATTTTTAAGAAATATTCCATAAAGCCGGGTCCACACCAAATGCGCAAAACGTTTTGCAACGTTGCTACCATGTTCGGCGCTTTTGGTATGGACCTAGTCCGCGCACGAACAAGTATGTTCGTGCACGTTGCGCGTTAGTTCGGGTTGATATGGGAAATGCGCGGTGTTCGGCGCGTTTTTCTTATCTGGTTTGGACGAGAAATTATCAGTGTTGTATTGTTGCTGCTACGGTGAATACGAAATCGTGTATTATTTTAATAATAATTATAACAAACAATTAGAAATAAATAGTAAATAAAAATAAAGGTTATTAATTAATGAGCTGTAATTCAGAAAATACTTGGGATCAAGACAGAGTTAGTTTTTACTAGTTTTAACTACTAAAGTTAGGTTTTTACTTTCTGTTTTTTTTTTTAAGTACACTATATAAAACAATAAACGCAGCACTAGTGACTTGATCGGACATTTTACTAGTCAAAGATAATTTATAAAAAAATTAAAACGAAATAGCGGACAATTGTACTTTCTGAACGGCACAAACACATTGACGAAAATCGGAAAACATATGATCATGTTACAACATACATTTCTACGCGCAGTATGGACGCCTGTCCTCGCGAGAATGTTGCAGCTATGTTACAGCAACGTTGCGCGCAGAGGCGCGTTTGGTGTGGACCCGGCTTTAGGTTTCAAATATTTATTTCAATGGAATTTATCTAAACAAGTCCATTCATAATTTAATATAATGATATGATTAAACTTCATAAAAGAACATCGAATAAAAGTCAAATTTACATGATTAGTTTGTCATAATCTTATAATCAGTTACTTTTTATAATCATATTAAAAATATTTTGTGTTAAAAGTATCAATATTGGGTAGTAATATCTTTATTCAAGTCCTTCATATAAAAAATTTAAATACAAAAATTATTTATGCTTAATGTAAAAAGAAAATTGTGCAGATTGTATGTATTAAATTTATGTTGAAGGTATTATAAATTGTTATTACGGTAATACTTACCCTTCAGATAGCTTTATTTCCGCTGGTAATTCTTCTAAACTTTCATTTATGTGAGTCGACATTATATATAGTTTAAATGACAAAGTGAAATTTTGATTATTTATATACTATGAAGTCCTGAAAGTATAAATACATTTAAAATTAATTAATTTTATAAATGTTATTCAAATAGTTTCGACAATTAACTAAATAAATCAATTGAATTTTTCGTAAAATTATCAGATTTTATTATTTATTAAAAGGTTTTTTATTAATATAATTAGAAATATTTACTGTTTGAAGTATATACAATTTAATTATTACCAAATAATGTTTACTTTTAGATTAAAATAAAGGTTATGTTTGTGAATAAAATGTGTATGCATCACTATTGGAATAAATAAATGTACCCATAATTAAAATAATTTTGAGATAATTAACCAGTTAGATAACTATAATACTATAGGTTGTCAGTTGTTATCAGGGATAGGAAACTCAAAATAACTAGAGGGGCATTTTGTAGAAATTTAAAATCCGGTGGGTCAGAGAAAAGAAAGCAAAAAGAGTCATTAAAATTTACAGTTAGCATTTATTTTATGACTGAACAAATACAATAAAATAATTAAGTATCTACTACTTAAAGCTATGTTTTCTATGCTGATATGGATATTTATTATATTTAGTAGTTGGACGAATATTATTTTTTGATGTCGAGTCGAATCGAGTTCAAAATTCGATTACTCGATTATTTGAATTTTCAAGTATTCGAAAATCGTCTTGACAAATGCCAGGTATTCAGAAAAAAAAGTCGAGTACCTAAAAAATGAACTCAAGAGAAAAATTGTGGTCACCAATGTGTATAAAATTTTGCTATCATGATAATAAAATATCAAAGCAATAATCTATCGGAAATATTTTGCTCTTAAGTTATTTATAGTTTTAACATTTATTTTTCAATAATGTAGTGAAATAAACACAAGTATTTGATTCAAGTCAAATATTTAATTTAAGTCGAGTAAAATCGAGTACCTACTCGTATTTACGAGGATTAAAATTTTTATAGTATAGTTCTCGTTCAACTCTTATACTCTTATATTTGGGAATTTAATAATTTAGCTGCAGTTCAACACTATACTCCGTAAATTGAAAGAACGTGCCGGTTCTGTGCATGTAGAATGATGATCGAGCCTTTGCCGAGGTCCATTTCCCCCTCTTCGCTTAACATAAACCAAAAAAGATATGACATGGCGCCGGGATCCCCAGATTAGGAACTATCGCTAGTTAACGCTATTTACACCGCGCCGTTACCGAAAAGGTCTCAAAAAAGATCCGAAAAAAAGCTATGGCTGATCCCGCGCTAGGGGTGTACAATAATGTATAACCAATTTTTATCAGACCGCGGCACGTTTTCTCTCAGAATGGACTGTTGATAAGAATATATCTACTTTTTACGATCAACGTAATGAAATGAAATATAGAAAAATGCTAAAATTTTAAGAATTAATACGTATTAAAACGTAGTACGAGCCAGATAAAAATATACGATGATCGGATGCGGTCTACGGACTGCCAGTTGCCCATACCTGTTGCATAGAATAGTTTAAGTAAAAATCTTTTGAGTATGTTACTGAGTATTTGATTCACAGCCAATTTATTATTAAGATAATATATATTTTCTAAACAAACGAAATAACTCAAATAATACAATTAACTTTATATTCATTACCAACCGAACAACACATTCGTTATCTAGGCATCATCATTTACCAACGCCTTACCTCGCCATACTTACGCAACAAACTCTTAACCCTAAATGTTCATTTTTGCCTTCTCCGCTCTCTCATAACTTCTATTCATATCAAATTTCTAACCAAAATTCTAATATATAAACTATTTCTTAAACTAATATGGACGTTCGTTGTACAACTATGGCTCTGCAAAGATCTTGATTACAAGCCGTATTTAGCGCTTTCAATCAAAAACCCTCCGTGCTATAACTACAGCATCTTATTACGTCTTAAACCAGTTCCTACATAATAATCTTGCCATCTCGTTTGTCGAAGATGTAGCCAAAACCTTCTTCATACGATTCAACTGAAACCTCCAAGATCATTAAAATCCTTTAATAAAATGTCTTGCTTCAGCAAATATTACAGGCAATTTTCGAATAAGATTAAAAAGGCAGTGGTGTAAGAACCTATTCACCTAAAATAAAACACTCAAGCATTGTAAAAATATTTTAATATCTTAATAATATTATGTAATATTTTAATTGTGACTAACTGTTTGAGTGCCTTCAATGGAATGTTTCTTTATTCTGTTATTCTTGTAATTTAAACATTTCAACACTTATACTTATTGTTCAGAATATAAGTAACAGATGGAGTAATTAAACATTTAAAAACAAAAAAATTACCTAAAATTATATTTATGTATATTTAAAAAAAAAATAGAAGCATTAAAAATGTATTGTGTATGGTGATATTGACAATGTTGAATAATTAACTTTTATGTATGGAATGAGGCACGTAAGCAGAATACAATATTAATGCGGATTTAAGTTAATATACTACACAAACAGTCAGAATAAGTATCTTATTCGTAGAATCGTGAACGTGACACCGAGCGATCAGTGGTATACCGTTTGTCATCTGTTGATTTTCTTATCGTCGGATTATATTAATAGATAAATATCTAGGATATAACATAGAGAAAGCGGTTGACGAGCGATATAATATATATTTTATTTTCAATAGAATTATCATATAGTTAATTATATATCGTATGAATAAACTATCCAAGTGTAATTTTAATACAATTGCAAGAACCATTTTCAGTTATATAATTATTAGTGTAAAATTGCGTTTTTAATTAATTTTTTCGTTATAATTATAAAGTTTTTAGTTATTAAGCACGGTAAAGTGCAAACGGTAAGTTAGTTTATTATTTTATACATTTTGGTTATAATTTAAGACATGTTAATCTCAGAAGCTTCAATTTTAGACTAAATGATTCACGTTTATTTTGTATTTATATTCATATTAATTAGTGGCTTGTGCTAGAGGTACATCAAAAATATTAATATTCATTAGTTTTGAATGTCATTATTATGGAGTATATTATATTAAAAACAAATAGGTATAATTAGTCAATTAATAATTAATAAATAAGAGAAAGTAAACTCGTTTGATTTCTAAACAAAAGAAAAGTGATTTATAGTCACTCATCATCAAATTTATGTATATAAAATACATCAATTTATATAATTTTAGTAGATAGGTACATATTTATATTATTTATAGTTTATTTTAAAAAGATAAAATATGAAAAATTAATAAGTTTATTAGTCTTTTGACCAATCTTCTATTAAAAACAAACCTATTAATTATTTATTACATACTTATATAATATGTAACACATTCAAATGGGGGGGGGGGTGAAGCTCCTTAGCCCCCTGGATCCGTACCTGATATTATAGTATGTATATTAATTTTTTTAGTTGAGATTTTTATTTAAGATTTACTTTCGATTTTTCTCCCTCTCACATCCACGCTCTTTATCTATTATCTTAATTTACCTTGTTATCTTAGAAATTATTATCTTGGTTCGTTAATGAAGCAATATTCGTTACTTGAAAATTAGTAAATTGAGTGAAGTGATAAATAGATACAGGAATAGATTAAAATTCCATAAATAAACAAATTCAAATCTTATATTAAACCGTTTAGATTTCAACACTAAAATGTAGATATTATAAACAAGAAAGTTGAAAAGTTTGGACTGGTTTAAATTTTTTTGATTTGAGTTTAATAATTTTTTAGTGACTTCATTTTTGTAAGATAATACAAGGTAAAACTAATACATTTACGGTATTAGTAATTAAACTTACTGAAGTAAGGAAGTAGACCATGATTTTATTGTTGAAGTAGAAAATTAGTTTTAACGTATTACATTAAATAATAGAATTAAAAGAAACCTTGTAGTTAGGTAGTAAATTAATTGATGCATTTAGAAAGTGACAAACATTGATTTGATTACATTGAAACTTCTGTTTCCAGTATATTTTTAATTTATAACTTTTTTTTAATTGTAAATCAAAATATAAACCAAAATTAATTAAATATATTACCCAGCTATTAAGTAATTTTTATTATAAGTGTATAATATTAATGTAAACAATTGTTTTATACTCAAATAAGTTAATTTGTCAGGAATATATTTTTAAATAATATTTTAGAACACTTAAGTATAAGAACCATACGAGTACAAGTATTTATATTTTTATATGTAATATTGATTTTATAAAATGTGTTATTCACTAATATCTTGGTTCTTGGATTTTATTTTCCTCGTAAGAAGTTATTTATTTTATTGAAATGGTATTTGGTTTCTTTTAACCTCCATAAGTTTGATGTTTAAATTAAAAATTGATTGGGAAGGTATGAAAACAAAACATGCAATAGCGTTGTGTTATTTGTTATATTATGGTAATTTCTAACATTTTTGATTACTCTGGATAAAAATATATATTTTTTTACAATGTAGTCATGAAATTTAATTGTTAATTTATGAAACTATTTGTATAAGTTAAGTGGTTCATTTAATAGTATAAAAAACGATTTAGTGTTATAAATATCAATAATGAAGTTGGATGTAGTACAATTTTACGAGTAAATAAATTTTTAGTAAAATATAAAATATTATAATTATCAATATAAAATAAATTTGAGCCTCAGTTGATTGGATATGGAATATTTTTATACTCGAATGTTTAATATTTATTCATGTAATAAATTAGCTATTAGCAAGTAATTTTGGAACTATGAAAAATAAACATATTGATAATTTTATTTATTAAATGTTAAATTATGTATTAGGAAACAGTATGAATATATTATAGAAAAGTAATTTGCTTTATTTTGTTGTAAATTGTTGGTTATATTGCATATAATAAGTTCTTTATATTTCTACATATTTGTGTTTAAATTTTGATTTAAATAGTTAAGAACACTATAAGTATGAAAAAACTATTCTTATAGATAAAAATTGTCTATAAAAATAAATTATTTATTTTAATAAAGTAATACCACATAGTGTTTGAGGTAGATAATGACTTAAATTTATATTGCGTCCACATTGTATTTATATATGTATATTAATTCAAAAAGTTTGAAATGAGGATCATTAAGATTACGTGAAAAATATTAAATTCATATGTAAACTAATTTAAGTACGACCGATTAATTTTAAATTGTATATAATTAGTATGTATAGTTTAAATTTTTTTTAACTTTCTACACATGTTATAAAAAAATATTTTGTTTAAAACTAAATTAAATTTTGATGAATCGAGTTGAAATCAGAAGACCTATACAATTTAATATTCTTTTCTTGAGCTAATAAAACGATAATAAAAGGTCATAATTCAAGAACTATTGATGTATTGATAATAAAGTTTAAACGAACTTATTAATTTAAAAAGTTATTGGTTGTCAAATTTCGCGAAAAGTGAGCTTGGACCCTTACCCTATACATACACACATATAGTATTACAAAATAGTTTATGATATTTGTTATAAACATTATAAGCTATGGTTTTGAATAGTATTTTTTACAAATATTTTCTATTGGCTATGAAGGATTTGATTTTTTGTTTTATTATATAGTTATTATCAAATATAATTGAAATTAATTATTTATAATAAATATATATATATATATTTATATATATATAATAAATAATTTGTTTATTTATTTTAATTAAAATAATTGAATTCACTAATAAATATTTTTTTATTTTATTCTATTCAAATATACATTTAAGATAAATCAGGATTATATAGGTTTTATGAATTTTCATAAATAGTTTTATTTTAACGTTTAACTGAATTATGATGGTTTATTTGCAAAGTTATTAATTCTTTCATTATAATATTCGAATGTTATTTATTTGACCCCTTGAGTAATAATTAATTATTATTTATGATAAATAAAATACGTTTTAGTTAAAATAATTTCATTTTTTTCTATTATATTTATTATTATAATATAAACTTATTTAATCGTTTATAAATAAATCACTATTTTAATATTTTTAAATTAGTTTTATAGATGAGTGTTTAAACTCATTGAATAACTTCATTTTTTTTAAAAAAATTTCTTCAGTTCTATTTGAATATTTGACAGTCTTTAGTATAATCTAGCTTTATTGCTTTTATTTTACTTTATTTTGTAGAAAAACGAAGCAGATATATCAAACATAAAATAAACTTAGTTAAATAGTTGCATATATCCTATACAAAACGTTGACTGTATTCATTTTCTTTATAATCTTTGTCAGTTTTTTTATTTTGTTTTAGATTTAAATATAATCTTATGAAGTTGTATTTAGAAACTTATATCTGTTATAAATTATTGTTTGTATAATAGATATATATTTTTTGAGATAATACAATAATGAATTATAATTGTTCAGATTTTAATGCCATTTAGAAATATTAACTGAAATTGTAATTATTGTTCACAAAATATTTTAAATGTATGTAGTTTGTAAATTAAATTAAATTTGAATATTAATATGTCATTAAAGATTAAAGATCGTGAATAAGTTTTAATATTAAGTTTAAATAAATTAAAATAATTGATTCAGGTAAATTGTTGAGCATATTTTTGCTCTTAAGGTTATAAAATTGTTTTACAGATTTTAAATTTGCGATTTTCCCGTTGTTAATAATTTAAAAAAAAAACTATTTATATAATAATATTGTTGTATGTTTTATAACATATTATAATCTATATTTTAATGAAAACCATTAATCATTATTTGCCATTGGAATGGCTAAAATATTTTAACTTATATGTGTATATATATATAACTTATATTAATATTAGCATTATTTTTAAAATTTTTAAGTACCACTCGTTAATTAAAATTCTATATTTTTTGTTAACTTGACCAATTTTAAACCGAATACCATTTTTTTATAATTAATTAAAAAAAATTATATATTTAATTTTATAACTTTTTTCTCATATATCCTGAGACAATTTTGATATTTGTGTTAGTTAATTTTGTTTTTATAGCGTATATATATTTCCTTGATACTATTTTTCAAATTTGATAATTGTATTTTACTTATATTTACATTTTAAATGTAATTTATTAAAGTGATTTAACGAATATCTCGAAAAGTTTAATTTAGAAAATAATTCTAAAAAGAATTGCAATTATTTTTGAAATTTACAAATACTTTAAAACTGTAAAGTAAGTTCCGTCCAAAATTGTTTTCTATAATATATACCTATATATTTATTTAAAATTAAAAATAATAATATATACTTAAAATTGTTTTTATAAATCGTTTTTTTGATATTATAAAATCTTTTTCATTACCTACAAATATCTTTCAATATTTTTAAATTATTGTAATTCATAGTTTTGCTATCTAATATATTTTTTTATTTATTATTTATTGTGTTTATTATTTACCATTTTTAAGTCAATAAAACATCAAATAAAATATATATACTTGAATAAAGTCCATATTAATGTGGAGTTCTATTTAATGTTAAGTACAAAATATAATAAAGTATTAAGAAATAAATCACATACATAAATAAATATAATTTGTATATGTTTTCGAACACTGTAAATTATAGTATCTAATTTTTAATTATAAAAATAAAAATGTAAATTATATCAATATTTCTTACTTTTGATAATATTATTGACTGTATTAAATTAATAAAGTCAACAATCGAATAAGCATGATTTATTGTTAAATTAAAATAATTGTTTGACTTACACAGTAAGAACGTTAATTTATTTAATTTTGTAAATATTTGATTTTTCTAATAATTCAAGCATTAAATTTCACTTGTATTTGAATAGAAAATAAATCATTTAAATAAAACAAGACCATACTATCGGATTAACGAATATATTCTATATATGATTTACTACGGAGTCGCTACTTTCGGCACCAATGACGGATTGCTACTGAAACTGAAAGCTCAAGTCCTTCGTTATAGGCAACCACCGTCGAAAGTTCAGCGCCCATAAAATCATGGTGTGCTTTTTCCGCTTTTTTATTCCTAAATAACGTGTTAAATGTAGGCTCTCAAGTATAAATATTATTACTCTTATTTCGTGGGCATTAATATTCTAAAATATGTATATTATTTCAATATTGTATTTTGGTTTACCGGAATAATTAACATTTAATGAATATAGTTTTTGATTAATTAATAATGGTATATTTACCGATTTTTATTAACAATTAGTTTTTTAATAAACTTATTCGACAAAAAAATTGTACGTGATTTTTAAATCTAAAAATATTCATATTCATATTTGAATTGGTTTAGAAAATTTAATTGTAAATGAAACTATTTAATTACATCAATTTTTTAATTTGTACATTTAATTTTTGTATCCCATACTAACAAAAAAATATATGGGAGTATATATATTTTTATTGTATCGCTTGCGATAGTTTGAAATTATTATAATTTTTATTATGCGTATAAATTTAGTTTGAAAACATTAAATGCAACAATTAACTAAAATTAAAATATTTTTGATTCTTTTAACTATATTTCAAATTTTAAATTAAAAAAATGTTATTAAGTTATATATTTTTATTTTTTACATAGGAAAATGTTGTAGTCTTTACAAATAAATATTTTACGATTTAATTAATTGTTTTTATAGTACAGTAAACAATAAGGTTCTCCTGTATAATTTTATAATATATATCGTATGTAATTTTTTTGTTTTGGTTGAAATAATATCATTGTTAAAAATATTATTAAAAAATAACCGAATGTTTATCCTTCGTCATTTTGCTTTAATTTTGAATAGGATGCGTGGTAGTAGGGCGAATGGGGGAAAAAAAATAGAAACTATGTATGTGGATTTCTACAGAGCAGATATGTTGTGAATATAATATTTGTTTACTTTTGAAAGCAACTATTAATCGTGCAATTCACAAGACGGTTTTAAGCGAGTTGTGTATAACTTTAGTAATTGACGTAATAAATTTATTTTATTTTATTATAAATAAATTATAAATGCATTATAAAAAAATTTTTGTGGAAATAAGTATTAATAAAAATCACATTTATATAAAGAAATATGAATTATACCTTTTAGGTTATAGCTGTAGTAGCATAAAAATCCATTTGTATTACATTTACAGGCCTTAGAAATAGAAATTACTAATTTTAGTTTTTTCAAGTTTTTCCATTCGCGAGAAACAACTAAGACAGCCGAAAAATTACCTGTCTTACTGTAAGTACTTTTCGTGTCTTATTTGGGATCTAATGAGATACTGCATGAAACTTTTGTTGGTTTAGTTTAATATCAGAAATATGATTTTTATAGAAAACATAAAACAAATTAATTTCTCGTTTTACTTAATATTTAAAATTATTTTCAATTTTTATTATAGTTTAAATTCTTTTAAATATATTTATATTTTATTAACTATTATGTTCATGTAAATATTCTATGCATTTTCCTCTACTTTGTTAAACTTTTAACATTTATAAATTTATGGTTTTTATTTTAATTTCTTTAAAGACATTTATTAATTTTATTTTTACTAATTAATAACCAAAATATTTTAATATTGCACTAATAAATTCATTATTTTGAGATATTGAATAAGTTTAAATTCACATTTTTGTTTATACAATATATTATTTCTTAATATAAAGCTATATATTTATCTATATTAAAATTAAAATCAAAAGTACCTTTTTAAAGACCATGTTACTCCCAACAGGTATTGAATTGCTGTACGATGTACACACGAACATCTTTGATAGATATTATATGTCATATAACTACTTTAATCTAAATACTGAACAGTTGTGTATATTTTACTATGCGAATAATCATGGAACACATTTGTTAGAGAGTGGATACATTTCGTTTTATGAATTGTTGTTTTTAGATAATATTAAGAAGAATATTATTAAACTGTGAGTCACATTTTGTAGATTCCTTTATAGATAACGTTTTAGTATATCTCGTATATTATGAAATGTAAATTATGTCTATGTGCAAATGCTAAAATAATTTTTGAATAATATTTCCTATCAGTTTCAAAACAATAGATAAACACATTTTTAAAAATATTTATAATTTTTTTTTTTACTTGTTAGTTTGATATCAAAAGTTGGAACGTTTTATAGACAATGTGTTTTTAAATTGGTCCACTACAGTCTTCGTCTTGAGAAAGATTAAGACTAGTTTTAGAAACTACCTATTGTATTTATGTACAAACAATGTTGATCAAACGCAATTAGAAGTGTTATTTATTTGAAATATATATAGTAACTAATAAATATTAATTTATTTTTATGTATTTATGTGAATAAATATACTTGAAAATAATTGAAAGAAGTTTATAAAATAGCACTAGTCACGTATAGGTTTTTATTTTGGGGGTGGCGATTAATCTTATTTTATTTGATTGGGACTTAAATAATGTGCATTAAAGTAGTATAAACTATATATCTTAATTCGTGGTTACAATACTTTTTATGGGGGGGGGGGGGCTATGTCTCATCTAAATTATGTGCCTGAATAGTACAGCATATAAATTAGTATATATTTTTGATTTACATATTATATTAAATATATGTATTTTATATTAGATTAGTAACTTATTGCCGAATAGGAGTTATTTAAAATTGCATTTTATATTCTAAAGGGATATCATTTTCAAAATGGGTTTTGGACCATGATAATTGTGAATTATTTTAGGTTTTTATGCTTAAAAAAGGTTTAGAATAGTGAACAAAAATTTCTGGTTTACTAATTACAATATTTAATTTAATTTGTTAATTATCAAACATATATTGTCTTTTGGGTTAGTTTGATTTTTTACTTTTCACATTTCTGTTTTCCCAAAGAAATAATAAAACTATATTGACTTTGATGGTAAAATAAGGTTTTTTATTTTTACTTTTATTGTTTTTATAACTTTTTATTATTTACCTATTACTTTTCTGCTTATTGTTGTTAGTCTATTGTACATTTTTAACGCCTTTATTTTCAAACCTTAACCGTACTGCAAATTAAGTAAAAAAAAAAATCATTTAATCTTTGGTTTTATTTTAATTTAAAATTATAAATATTATGTTTTTTTATTTTATAAACGTTTTTGATTTCGAAATAATTCTGACATTTAAATATATTTTTATATTAATTTTCAGTATTTTAGACTGAAATAAATTTTTTTTTTTTTAAATTAAATTAATATCGAAATGATTACTGGACCTTACTGAGAAAAACTCTTCTAGAGGCCCAGGGTTATCTTAGATTACAAATATTTTTTATTATTTTAGGCACATACTACATTTTTATATAAAGAAAAATAAGGAGTTTTTTCATAAATAAATCACATCAATTATTTCATTAATATTACAAGCATTATTTAGTATGTTATAAACAATTTTAAGTCTTAAACATACCATATTTATATAGGATCCAGTGAGTAATTTTTTTTATAAAAATGAGTAGTGGTATATTAATCTTATCACTGGGTATTAAGTTAAATATTTTATTTATAGGAGGATATAATAATTTTAAATAACTTTTTAGGAGATGCATATTGACTTTTGAAAATGTTATATTTTTATTAGTCTTTCACTGATTTTTTTTATTGATATACTTTTTCAAAAGTAAATAATTAAGAACAAGTGATGTTTAGTATTCTTGCTTGCTCTGTAATCAGTATTATAACAGAAATCTATTACTTTAGCATAGGCCAAATATTTTGCATTTTTTTTTTTTTTTGACCCAATTTAACATATGATTCTTTGAATTAAATAAAAAATACTTGTTACACCTAATGAAAATGTACTTAAAGCATTGTTATTATTTTTAAATGAAATATTAAATATTTTCCATATTTTATTAGTAAAAATAACAATTATTCAGATTTTTTAACCATTTTTATTTTTATTTTAGCTCTTTATTATAAAGTTTATTTAAATTTTATATAGTTTTTTATAAAATTAATTTTCTTTTATTATTTTTTTCGTTCAATTCTCTAAAAATTAAAATATTATTTTATATTATTTTATAGATTTTAAGCAGTAAAATTTTTGCAACATTCATATATTTTTATTAATGTTGTATTTATTTCTGTTTCGTAAAATGATTTTTCTAACAAATTTTGTACCACAAACTATATTTTATTTTATAAGAAATCTGCTCAAAAAATAAAATAAATAATTTTATACCATATAAGTAAGACCTATTTGCAAAGTTACTTGTCTTCATGAATCATAAAGAATCTGTAATTAAACATTCTTGTTGGTCTAACTATCAAATCATAATATTTTGTGGGTTGCATGTTGTACTGTGTCATAGTTTAAAGAACTACTCTTATTTTAATATTATGAAAATCGTAATGTTTCTTTACAATATTTCCACGGGAAATGAATTAACTTCACGGTTTAAAAATTATAAAAAATTTAGCATAATATATTATACCATTATATGTAAGCGAACATATGTTTTAATTTTAATAAATTTCTTTAGTTTTAGCAAAACCGTACTAATTAGTATCTATATTGTAATGAATCCAAAGATAGTTCAAACATTTTTATTTATTTATAAAAAAAAAATTTATAGTAGAAAAATCTATGGAATTTAGTGAATAATAAGTAATTGTCACAAATAATGTAAAGATAAAGTATACTTGTAGCCGCAAATCGTTTATAAACAAAATTACCATACACTTAGTTATTTTAATTCAAAGTATGAATGTCATATTAGTTTAACCTGGCCGAGAGATGATTCATTTGTTTATTCATTTTTTTTTGTTCTGCTAAATATTTAAAATTGTTGGAATAAAATAACAAATATAATATACTTATTTTACAAGACTAATGTATCATAATTGTCTAATGTGTCGGTATACATTCTATTAATTTGATTTATAATTTGAATACAA